CGGGTCCGAAATCTACGAAACAATCCAGTCCCGAGTACAGAGCTATCAGACTTTTTTAGAGGATCGCGATAGCCCTGACTCCTGCGAGGTGCTTCGCATCGGGGAAGAACTACAGGCGAAATGGTTGAGTAGTCTGGAGAAGGCCGAGGATGAGGCCAGGAAGACTGAAATGCCCGAAACGACAGGCACAGACACAAAAAGGAATGACATCAAGAAGAACACAGATGACCAGATTGAAGGAGAAAGACACGCACAAACACTCGACCCAGTAGATCCGAGGTTGGATCGAACAGGGACAGGATGGTCTGAACATTTCGAGGGCGGTGAGTACCAAACCCATCGGGGACTCAGAATTGACTATTTCCATCCCGAGTACAACATTGAGCTGAGAGATTTGGCATTTTCAGAAACCCCAATGGACTTGGACTCAATTCCTTCGCTTCTCAATGCGGATTCTGGTCTCAGTGATATTAAGTGAGTCGAAAGTCGAATCCGACATCTATCTTTGATAACATCTCGCTCATCAGTCTTTTGTTTAGGCGCAGCGAAAAGTGGATGGCACAATTTGTCAGGTTTCGTAACAATATTATCTCTAAGCAACTGGACATCAACATGGAACGCATTAGGGTCACCGTCATTGATACAGGAATCGACAGAACTCACCCGTTTGTCAAAAAGCAGGGTTGGGAGGAATTTAGACAAGGACCAGGGAGGACCCAAATCGCACTGTTCAAAGACTTTGAGCTTGATGACACAAGCGAGACAGCGATTGACGAAGACGGACACGGTACTTTCATCGCAGGCATTGTTCTTCGACTTGCACCATTGGCAGAACTTTCCGTGGCTCGAGTAACTCGGTCTCAAGATGCGATGGAAACCGATCCTCAAGTTGCATGTGAAGACAAAGTCACAGCCGTAAATACCCTACCGAAAACGCTGCAAGCTGATAGAGCTGACGATTTCATCGTATAGGCAATATTGCACGCTATAACCGAGTGGAAGACGGACATCATCTCCATGTCCTTTGGTTACCAATCTATTAAAACCGAGGCCTTGCGAGATGCAATCAAGAAAGCTTCACACAGAGACATCATCTTGCTAGGTGCTGCTGGAAACTCTGGAAATGCGAGATCAAATGTGTCTATCCCGGCCAGACTCGAGCGAGTTTTGAAGATATTCGCCTCTGACCACCTAGGTAACCCAAGTTCCTTCAGCCCGAAAGGCACGTTGGATGAGACCTACTGCTTCAGCATTCTTGGCACCAACGTTGTATCAATCTGGCCCGAAAGCCAACGGCAGAAAGCAACTAAAGACGACGGCCAGATCGTTGACAAGCACAAAGACAAGGGGCTGTGGGTAGCCAAGTCAGGGAGTTCATTTGCAACACCTATTGCAGCGTCTCTTATTGCCATCATCTACCAGTTCTACGACGCGAACAAAGCCGACGTGTCGCTCCAATCATCAATAAGATTCAAAACACTAGAAGCGGTCAAAGCCGTGTTGCTAAAGATGGGCATGGAGCCTGATCGTAGGTACAGCTATCTGAACCCTACTGTGGGCAGGGACAACTTTTTCAAATATCAGGAGGAGAGGAAACTTGACAGAGTGACGTTCTTTGCGAGGCAGTTGAGCGAATCTATCTTGGCCGTAGAAGGTTGAATGTTCCCCTTGTACATTGAATTTACATGGTTTCATTGCCAGCGTAAGGTATCCTTCTGCCTTGTACCGCCGCAAACCCATAAGCCTGTACTTCCGCTAGGTACGCTTAGGAAAATTTCTACAATCCCGAGTCTGGTGTATGAAAGGAAAACTAAGCTTCATTTGCCATGATGATCAGACATTTTTCTTTGTCAATTTCGTCGACTCCTTCCATCCTGGTATTTCGAGCAGGAAGGGAAGGACCAAAATCGTCCTTCTCAGCCAGAATCTTATCAAGCTCATCAACATCAACCATTTCCTCAGAGACCTCTTCTTCGCTGTCGTCCTCAAAGCTGCTATCGTTCTCGTCACCAGGAGCACCTATACCATGAAGCTCCCCACCTGAAACATCATTCCCCAGCGTAGCCTTGTTATGGAAACTAATGTGGACTTTGCGCAGCCTGTATGCGAAGACGAAGTCGCCATTCGGTATACTGCTCTCGACTATGCCCTTGGTTCGATCTGTTCCACCCTGAACACCAGCTGAAACCGCTCCGCTAGTTCCTGGGTCAACACTGAGTCTCGCAAGACCTCCAATAGTTTGTCTCGCTTCTGAAGAACTCGGGCCTGGCCTCCTTGCTATCTTGACTCCAGTGACCATGTAGACGATCTTCTTAACCGGAATGGCTCTCTTCCAGAAGCTCTCGCGTGTCAACCATTTCTGTACCGCGGCCTCCTTTACACTGTCGGTGACATAATCACATTCCTCTGCTGCTCCAAGCTCGAGGAATGCAGTCTCTAGTTGGGCGGCGCTCCAAGACTGCGTGAACTCTCGCGATAGGTGAGCAGATGTCTCCGCTGCGAAGACTGACAGGAATTGCGCGAAGACGCCAAAGTTACCTGCCGTGTCGCTGGAATCCTCATGATACCAATCGCTTGTGAGCGATGAGTGGACGAGGTCTGATGGGATTGGCTTGAAAGGGGGCGCTATGCGGCGGTATGGAGCGAGAGGATCCTCAATAAGTTGGCCAAGTTGAATCAAACTGTCCGGCTTATAGTCAGCGCTGCGAAGGATGAAGTATGCCCTTCGATGGTCTTTCTGAGAGCGAGGCGCCATATTCTCTCTGCCAAACGAAGTAGGTACTAAGGTTTGCAAAGTAGAAATCACGATGTCTAAGTTCGGTGAATGTCAGAGAAAGGGGGGAGGGGAGTTATAACAATAGGCACCGTGCATGCCCCCATCATATCACTGTGTAAGCCTTAGACAGGTACCAAAGTTGCCGAGTCGGGGTCACATTGATTATATTTTGGGCTGTACTAGCCGTGTCTACAAGATCACGGTACGTACTATTACCTCAATTGGTGCCTTTTTATTCACCTCTTAGAGTCAGTCCTGCATGAAGGTGTCGTGCGACTCAATACTTCTGCAAGCCTCCTCCACATTCAGCATCTCTTCATAGGAAATCACGCATCAAACGTTGCCACATTCTTGTGCACCCCGCTCGTCCGCTCAACTCTGTTCAGCCGGGTGATAAGCAAATTCAGGCGGCAGGTGACGCAGCTGCACTTGAGCGCAAGCTTGGTAGAAGTAACGTTGCGTACAGCTTTGCCAAGAATGGTTTAGACAGCTTCAGAATGGCCGGATGGTTCATGAAGCAGGCTGAGGGCGATCTGAAAACAGAATGCCCGCCAGGAATGGTGTCTGCTCGCCCCATTCTTAGCTGGGGAGTAGCAGTCATGTGTTGCTGCAATAAAGTCCAGCCACAGAAGTGATCCTACAAGGAGTTTCACAGCCTGGCTAGGAATGGCCGCACGCGTTCCCCTGTATCTTCCTTGAGAAGATTGACACCTTATCTGTCATGCTGCCGAGAGCTGCTCATGCAGTTATTTTGAAACGTAGTTTCCCTTGGGCGTGGTTCCTCCAAAGGAGAGTGTCCCTGTTTTCCACGTAATCAAGGCTGGATGAATTCTGAAAAGTTCTCTCGCTTGACCTCTCAATATACACGCTGTGAATCTGAGAACCCAACACAATGGTTTTAAAAGGAAATGCCATTGCTGGGAGGACTATGGCTTGAACTCGAAGGGCTATCCATTCTGGACAGAGAAAGGTATAATGTAAATCTGGAAGATGATGATCTCAGCATATCTTGGTTTGGTGACTACGTACGTTGTACAAAGTACCTTTGGAAAGAGAAAAGCAGCGTATGCGTCTCCTCCCCGAGAACAAACAACATTCCGCGAGCTTAACCATCAGTAGTTAGCATATTATCAACCCACTGGTACCCAGAGTCATTCTGGCTACCAAAATCTCAGATGATTACGAAGTTGAAAAGAGCAAGCCAACCTGGGCTGATACTGACAGCCGGGGGGCTACTTAGTACTTTGGTCGGAAGACCCAGATACGGTGCCACTGGGGGTTACTGTACCGTCTCTGTATTAAGATTCGAATAAGCTGTTAGGCTTAATAACCAGACGGCGGAGAGCCAAGCGTTGTCGGAGCCTCCTGCTGTGTACATTGGTACGAGCGATCCGCTTGAAATTCTAGAGGAGATGGCGATCGTGAGTATCGCCACGCAGAAACCAAAAACAGGAATGACACGCTGTATAGCAGTGTATCTAGCTTATCATTTGCTACATAAGCTGGGTATAAGAGCCGGCTCAATCGTTGTCAATCGCTCTGTGCTTTTAGAATACATGTCATCGCGGAAGAATGACAAAAGCAATGCGTGAGCATAACAGCGATCAAACCCTCTCCAAAATTGTCGGACCACGAGAAGTCTGCAAGGCAGAGGCAGACAGCAGCCAGTTTCGACAAAGATTGGGGCTGGACGCAAATGTATTCAGTGCGAGAGATCCCCCGAACAAAACAGCCTCGGAAACTCCAGATTGCATACAGAAGCCCCGTGAATTGTCAGGTCACGAGTGACATTGAACCTGGAGGGAACAAATAAACAGCTCATTGGGGTAAATTGTGTTCATTTCAACATCATTGCATCACTATCCGTTTGAATTTTGTTAAATCTCCTTCTTGTCACTGGAACACCAACAGGCAATTGGTGGTTCTAAAATGGGCAGGCAACTTGAAGAATTTCTTGCTTCACCTGTCAGGCTGTCCCTTTTCAGCCCTTAGGGTGTTACAACCTCTGGACGGATGCAAAAATGGTCCTGAGCTGACAACCGAGAGATCAATAATTTGAGAGTTCTGACGGCCTCGAAGTTGAAAATAGAGAGAGAGGCAAATATTAATTAAAAGTTATCTAGCGACTGGTCAGAAGTCAACTGCGTTGGATCGAGATCAACACCAGAGCTGTCACCTTGAATATTCAAGCTAGCGCCATATTGACAAACTTGACAATGTATTGTCAAGCAGGTACAAAAACCGTTCTGGCCACACAGGGCACCCCCTCCTTAGACATCGCAAATAGATACCAAGGTCCAGGAATGAGAACACCCGAGTCATTTGGAAGTCTCACTGTGTACTTGCCCGCACTGTTCTTCGTGATATCAGTCAAAGGCACACGGCGTTGATCCGAGTTGACACTATGTGTCGCGCTTCCCATCCGAACCATCGCGAATGAGGCACCATCGAGTCCGCCCTCAAGCGTGATCGTGAGAGAGGATCCGACCTTGACTGAAGTGGAGGAGATGCTCGAAATTACCGGCCGCTTTGCCAACTCACCCGCGGCAGTGAACAAGTAGGGTGGGGAAAAGATCTCGCCGTCAAAGTGATCCTTGGCGCGGTCACACCAAGACAGGTCGCTGCCCTGGGCAGCAGGGCACATACCCCCGCCGCCCACGAAGACCGTAGCGTCAGGTAGAAGAATGCCGACGGCGTGATAGTTGCGCGGAACAGTAGCAGGAGCCATCTGAGTCCAGCCCCTTGTCTTGGGATCCCAGATTTCCGGGACCAGCACAGAGTCTGTGTCAGTAAAGACCAACGACCGGCGCTGTCCGCCCGTCACGATCACCTTGCCGTCTGGAAGCACGATGGCGTTCGCAAAGCCACGAGGAAAGTTCATATCCGGGAGAGTCTCCACAGTCGCTGGCACACCGGGATCCGTGATGGTGATAAGATGGGTTGCCTTCGTGCCATCACTGTCGGTATAATCCTGGCTTCCTCCTGCAGTAAGAATCTTTCCAACATCGAACATGACGTTGACGCCGCACATCTGGTCCATGACGTTCGTGCGGACGCCTCCTGGAGAAACAGAGCCGCCATTGTTGGTGCTGTACCAGTTCATCGCTTTACTAGGGCCAGCTTGGAAGACGGAACCGTTACGCCAGCCGTAAAGCCACGCGTGGTTGTCTTCACGCCACGGCCCCTCGCGATCAGTCGTCAATAGCGGAGTAGGGTCGGTTCCCTGGAGGAGAGTCCACTTGTTCTGGACAGGATCATAAGCCTCGCCTGTCTTTCCGCCAATGGGGCCTGTGAATGATCCTCCGATGGTGAAGATGCGGCCATCTGATAACGTAGCTGACGTCTGATATCCACGGGCGATGACCATATCGGCTGCGCGAGTGAACTCGCTCGTAGCAGGGTCGTATACACTAACAGCTTCGGCATTCTCGCCGCCAGAGATGACGATCTTGCCAGAGGCAAGTGAGCTGATTCCAGGGCAAAACATGTCGTGCTTCGTGTTTGTGATAGTCCGCTGAGAGACGGCGCCGGTGAGGAAGTTGTAGTCTGCGAACTGCGTGATGCCCGTAGGTCCGCTAAACGCGCGGTCACCCCATGAAGAGAACACAAGAAGTCTCGATGAAGAAGGTTGAGCCGGCACGACGTAGGCAGCAACGGGGATGATCGGAAACTGGATCACATCCGCCCACCGGCCGACTTTCGACGTAGCCTTGGACGTGCTAGCCTTGACCATCTGTAGAGAGGTGAACTGGCGGTTGAACTTCCAATCTGACGCGGCGGCCACAGTTCCCTTGATGTGGCAAACATTGTTCTGCATATCGTAGACGGCATAGACGCAGTCCTGGTTCGTGGTACAGCTTTCGGCACAAGCTTGAACGGAAGCACAGCCGTCAATAATGTTGACGCTAGGGACAGTGAAGTCTGCGTTCTTGCAAGTCGCGAAGCTAGCGCCGTTCTGGGTGGTGATGTTGGAGTAGCCACCTGAGCAGCTGGTAATGCCGTCACCATCTGCGAGGACAGAGACTTTGCTTATCGAGTCGAAGCCAGGCTGGTATGCCCACTGAAGTTCTTTCGGTTCCGCTTTGATGTAGCACTTCGAGCTTGACTTTTGGAAAACGGCTCTCAAGCAGGATGAGTCGTTGCCACATTCGATAGCGCATGCTTCGATCGACGTGACTCCGTCAACATCCCGAACCGTGGTGCCTTGATAATCTGTGTTCGGGCAGGCTGCCAAAATGGCTCCGGAAGAAGTGACGTTCGTTGCGCCAGTTGGGCAAGATTGGATAGGTGCGCCATTGCTCAGCTTGGAGACGAGTCTGATGGTCGTGAAGCGAGCGTCTGTGGCCCATGTGAGACCATCCTTGGCCTTGAGATGGCAGCCGAAGTTGGCCTTGTCGTAGACTGCCTTGTCACATTGGGGATCTTGGCTACAGGCTTGGGCGCAGTCGAACAATGTGGCGACAGTGTCAACAAACTTGGTTGTTGTTCCCTGGTAGTCGGTTTGATGGCAGACGGCCCAGGTGGAAGAGCCGTCGGCTGCGACAATGTTCTCCTCGGCAGATGGACAACTCGAGAGTTGGGCTCGTGAAGTCTGAATTAGTGATAAAGACAGGAAAAGGAAAGAAAAGAGTGTGGTTCGGCCCATGATGCCGGTTGTTTGCGAAAGAGCGACGTGAGACACAACGGTGACAATCTCACGATCAGTGGGAGTGGGGATGAGATCCCCTATTTGAAAGTCTCCTCGGGCCGAACTACCTAATGACGTACGGACAGGAAGCCTTCCGCCCACCGTAGTCAACCGCAGGGGCAATATCCCATCGCCGAGCTTCTAAAAGAAATACGAGCGTCTATCTCCTGGATCGAACGGTGCATCTTGCCTGTTGGCTCTAGCATGAAACACGTGGGCTTGCTCAAGAGCCGAGAAGCCGATCGTAAACTTCTATTTGAGGCCTTCTCTCATAAGCGGATCAATCACATAACAGGAATCATGAAACTTAGGCTCGAATTCTGGCACCGTCAACGGTGGCTGCGGTGAATTTAAGATGTGGGCAGTCTGCGACGAATAACGCCGAGCCTTGGAAGCAGCCGATGGCTTCTGGGATAGTTCTTTGGCAGATAATGTCCGTGTCGAAAAAGATGAAAGGGGTAGTCAATTTGACGGACGTCTCTTAGCGGACAAAATGCGGATGTGGCACGGCTTAGCGTTGAAATATGGTTGACACTATTGATCGCTTTGACTAGGCTATGCCAGACGTAGCTGGTGTCGCTGAGCACGAGCATGGGGACCGTCGACGATCAGTAATAAACTATACGAGTCTGTTCAGGTCGACAACTTAAACTCAACGGGCTAAGCCTCTGTTGGACTTGGCTCTGAAGTTTTCACTCTCTTGTGAGGCATTCGGCTTCAACCAGTTTAAACCGACGTTGATGATACAAGACTCACGGCAGGTTAGAGGTACATCTGAATGGTGAAGGTCGATGAAGTGTAATGGAATATACAGATTTTTGTCTATGTTTATTTACAGGTTTTACAAAGGAAAAAAATGCCTATCGCAACAAATACTGCTTCTCACTCCAGTCATATCCATCCTTCTAGTTGACATAGATGGTGCGGAACTTGCTGTCGACATGCCACCCAGCACTGGACAGAGACGGGTTGCCCTTGTTGTAGCACGTCCATGTGGAAGGGTTGTACACAATCTTGTTGCATCCAGACTTCAATTTGCAGAGCAAGATGCAGGCGGTGTCGGAGAGAACGCCGTACCAAATATCCGTGGCAGGGTTGTTGGTGAAGTCACTGCTGGGGCAGACCGTGTACACAGTCTTGAGAACGGTGACGGTGTACGTCGGTGCCAGGCACTGGGTAAGGGGAGTGTTGTCGGCGACCTTGATGAGGGTCTGGAAGCCGGAGTTGACGTTCCAGTTGGAGGCAGCGACGCTGGGGCTGCCCTTGAGGTAGCAAATTTGGGTGGAGGGCCTGTAGACAGCCTTGGTGCAGCCAGAAGTCTTTTCGCATTGGGTTGCGCAGTCCTTGTTGGAGGTGTAGCCGTAGTAGATCTGAGGACTGGGGATCATGAAGTCGGTATCGGGGCAGACTGCGTACAGGCCGCCGTTGTTGCCGACTACATAGCTGAATGGGTTCGGGCAGCTGGAGATGGGGCCGGTACTGGAAGAGCCACCAGTCACTGCGGAGGTGGTGGGCTTCACGGATGTCGACAACGTGGAAGGCTTGCTGGTGGTGGAGGTTGAGAGGGCGATAGCTGGGATAGATGTGCTGCTAGTGATGGCAGCAAGAGTTGTCAGGCTGCTCGTGACGCCAGCAACAGATGTCAAAGAGCCAGAGTTGCCCTGAGGGCAAACGAAAGTACCGGGGTCGGTGGTGAGAGAGTAAGAGTAAGCGTATTGAATGGTGTAAACATCGCTGCCGGAGGTGAATCCAGTGTTAACGGCGTAGCTCTTGTCCCAGGTGCGGGAGTAGAGACCGCAGATCTGAGCCTGTGTGACGCCGTTCTTGACGAGGAGGTAGCTAGTGAAGAAATGGCACCTCAAACCATTGAACGGGTTGGTCTCTTGTGCTTGAGCGGCGCAGTCAGTTGCGCAGAGGGAAGGATCGTATGCGTTGTTGGTGTGAGACTTGAATGTGATGTAGCTGTTGCAGTCTGAAGGAGCGTTGATAGTAGCCTTGTCGGTAAAAGTTGCGTTGTAGCCTGAGACGGGGTAGTCAGGGGCGGTGAGCTGGTATCCATTGGAGCCGGCGACCACGATGTGGAAGTCGTTTCTCCAACCACCGCTGTTCGTGGCAGTAGATGGTCCAATGCCGACACCCCAGAAACTGCACTTGATGACGGTCGTACTGTTGGGGTTGGGGCAGCTAGCGGCGGGATCGACGGTCGGGTCGCGCTCGAAGAAGATGTTAAAAGCGGCACATCCATCAATCTTGGCACAGTCTGCTGCGCAGAGAGAAGGATCGTAGGTCGCGTAAGTGCTGTAGCCTTGGTATGCCGAGGCTGAGGTGGCAGACTGGAGATTCTGGAAAGTCCGGTACCAGCCAGAAGGAGTGACGGCCGAGTTGGCGGCGTTGGAGAAGTCGGTGTCGGCAAGGAAGGCCTGGTCCGTGTCAGGAGACGGGACCGGGCCGCTGCCCGCAGGGAGAGCGCCGCAGTCGCGGGCGATCAACTTCTTGCCAAGATCACGCTTGGATGCTGCGACGGTCTGGTTGCCGACTCCAATGGGGACGGATTCCAAGGCGGGAGCGGGGATGCTTGCAAGCTCTGAAAGAGTGAGGAGCTGAGCAGCACCAGTTGCCGCGAAAGCGGCCAGGGTAGCGAAGGTACGCATGTTGGAAAGTGATTGAAAGTAAGTTGGTACAAAAGAATGTTGGTAAGAAGTGAGTGAAGAAGCTGTGTGAATGAATGGCTGTGAAGGCTGTGATTGAAACAGAAGAGATGAGCGACTCGTCTCAAGAGTTATATATCAGAAAGCTACGACGATGGACTCTGTCAGGCCATGACAGGATTGCAAGCTGCAAACCGTTCCTTTGAGCCACAAAGAAAAAGCAGGTATGGACTGACGTCTGCTCTAGCGGAGAGGAGCCAAGGACCCGAGGGCCGAACATGTCAAGTTAGAGTCGCTGGACTCGGGAGACAAACAAGGACTCGGCATACCATGCAGCTGGGCAGAATTGGCAGTCGACTTGGCAGTCGGAGACCCCAGGAAGAACAGAACCACGTGGGAGGTACCTATTGTCACAAAGAGCCTTTGTGTGTATGAGATGGTTGAACCGAGAGTATGTCATGGACAACAAAGACTCACTCTGAAGTGGCTGAACGTTAGCCTCTTGACATCGGTTGACACTTGAAGGCATTAGTCTTGATTCGGGTTGTGCTCCGTTCCGCCACAACTCGTGTTGACAGCCACTGCGTTGACTGGTATCGGCAGAGCTACAGCACAAAGAAGTTAAATGCATACCGAGCGTTAAGTCGGGTGCCAGTAGAACGTTGAGTGACGGCTAGTATCCAATCTGCCACGAGACTGGATGAGTATGCGAAGAGGAAAGGTCGGCCTTCGGGGTCGCCTGGCTGCTTGTAGCTAATTTTACATGGGCCTAGTCCGACCCGTGGATTTAGAGTTTTGGTGCCGTGCTTGGAATTAGGTACAAGATTATTCACTGACGTTTGCACTCGTTACATCGAAGAGATTCATGAGATGAGTTGACTGATCAAATGAAGGTTGACTAAAGGTCCTGTTGAGTACCTGTCCATCTGCAACCCTCACTCCCCACGTATCAATAGCTTTTACCCAATAACCCGGGTTCCAGCTAAGCGAATGCATACGGCATGTGCCCTGCCAGTCGGTGTCAGAACTCGATATATTCGTGTACAGGCAGGCGATGGTGGATGATATCATCAGCATTCAACATGTCTGTGCTAGACACGCGATGCTCCGCAGCCGCGCGATCCAGAACAATGCCTGAAGCAACGTGACGCTCTACCAGTCTTGCCCGAGACAACTCGCGATCAATGTTCAGAAACCACAACTCATCCATTAGACTCGCAGCTGATCGCCAAGGCTCTCTGTCAAGACTCAGATACAATCCCTCGAAGACTATGACGCGAGCCTCTTTTGGTACGCAAATGTCGTCTTCCACAGGATCCTTCACGGCATGGTCGAAGCTCGGAGCGAAGATGTTGGGTGTGGCGTCGGTCACTGGTTCTCGGAGGACTTGAACCAGGCGATGGAACCGCTCCGAATCGAAGGTGAACGCAGCGCCCCGACGATGGATAGCTTCAGCTGGATTGGGCATTGCTGCTAGCTGCGATCTATACAAATGGAATCCATCCATGGGGACCATGGCGACAAAGTTCTGTTTAGGCTGTGCACTCTGGAGCTTTGCTGCCAAGGCTGTTGCCAACGTCGTTTTACCTGATCCCGGAACACCAGATATCGCAATCATAACACGGCTACTGGGATCATATAGTTCGTGCAAGCCTATACTGTTTGTTAGCCTTATTTCTCGCCAGATCCTTGAGTTCACGTCGGCGAAACGTACGGAGAACCTTCGCAGCCAACCGGTCGAGCTGTGTAGTGTACACATCTGTCGCGACATCGGGCTGTCTCTTGAGCGTCATGTTAGATTGATTGCTTCAGTATATTATGGAGGCAGAGTTTTAACGAAAGGCGGAAGGCGAGGACTGAGTTGAGGACGGCGCTTTTGTTTGTTCCTCCAAGATGTACCTTTCTGCCGCTCACTGATATTTTCGAAAACACGCGGCTTCTGCGGCACTTGTTTGGCCGAGAAGACTGACGGGTCGTTCCTGACTTGCATGACTTGCACCACTCCACCACGATCGTCGTCGGACCGTGTCAAGTCCGACAGAAGGTCATCTGCAGCCAGAGAAGAAAGTGGGTTTATCATGTGTAATATGAAGCTTAATAGTTCAACGTCAGCGATCGCAATCCATCGGTCTTCTCTTATGATGGCCCTAGTAGAGCTTACCTATATCTTCAGTCAGCCTATCCGTAAAATTCTCAATACAGCTAGACGTTTAGTAATATAAGAAAACACCTTGTCGAAAGTGATGCGACCAGGATCCTCTTTCTCGGCGTTAGCTGGAGCGGTCGATGATCTGCTTGTCCTTCACGGGCCGTGTCCACGCCGCTTCCCGTGGATTCATGCAGGGATGCGCAAATGACCCGATACCACCACCAATCGTGTGAGATCGTGGTCAGCCTGCAGTTTCCGCGGATCTTACCAGAGGCACTTACCCCCAAGAGCTGGTCATGGCGGGGTATCTCAATTGGAGGTTCGCGACGCGGGGAGACAGCGAGAAAAGGAGTTACATAAATGATCCGGGCATACCACGCGGGTGGAAACAGTCCAATTCGTGTTCTTTCTCATTTATTCAGTCAAGTTTTCCTCCAAACTGCTAAATGACCCAAAATAATTCCACACTACGTCAACTTCGTCCCAGCACTTTGAAGCAACTCTGTGATCTCCAAGGTAGTATAGCGGAAGTCGTAGAACTCGACGGGCAATACACACTCAGATATTGGGCTTCGATGTTCTGCTACAGCAGTTCTAATTATGGTTTCGTAAAGTTGTGCCAAAGGCCAGCGCTTGCCACACGCATGGAGGATGAAGGCCAGGGTATGGAGGTTTGCGGGGACATCCGCATCGAGTGCCTTGGAGTACACTTGATTCAATTACCGCCAGGTTAGTCTTGGGGAGCATAGGCTGTAGAAATCGCGAGAGGCTTACCTATAGAAGCGTGCCGCTACAAACAGTGGTGATATCAGATAAGGCGATTCGCGTTCAAGCTGGTCTGCTCCTATACGGCGAACCTTGGCCGTCAAATTTTCACAAGCGTAGGTGCATCTAGTTGTGGCGAATGCCCACTGTAACAAATGATTGTCAGCTGTAAGGGGCGAAAAAAATGATTAGGTGTTCTTACATGTTCAAAGGTCGTCTCTATTCCTTTCGGCACGGGCGCCATCTGCTGAAGCAAAACGATGATTGCCCTGGCGGCTTAGGTTAGGCACCTCATGGAAAGTTTTGGGATGGGGAATGATCAACGTACTCATTGAGAATACAGTTGGTGAGCGTGAAGAAGGACTCCATTTCTCCTCGGGGCAAATGTCCTTTCTCATAATTGATGAGCTGAAATACCGCAGCAACAAATTCTTCGCGCCAATTTGTCAGTCTCTCATCTAACCTTTGTGCTTCGGACTGCCAGTCAAGTCTCTGATCCAGCTTGTCTAAATCATAAGATCTGCCCAGAAACTCGCGGACAACCTTGAGCTCCTCTACTGAAAGCATTATGCAAAGGGCAAACCCCGATGCATACCGCGGTTCTGAGTCGGAGCGTTCTATCACAGTTGGCGTAGACGACCATTGAGACTCGAGGCAGGGTAGACTAGCACCGAAGGGTGATGGCGAGTAAGGCATGGAATGAGGAAGCCCCAGGGTCGAAATGGCGTTCAACATCTCAACCATCCAGAAAGCTCGCCTCGCTTCCTCTTGCACTATACTACTGCTCGTGACATGACGATGCGTCATCCGTGCCCTGGACGTATATGTACAAGGAGGGCTTACTCCATGCCTTTGGAGATTTGGATGAGCGAGTAATCTATCGTAAAATTAGTAAAGCCAGTAAGTTCTTCTTCGTTTTTCTGATGAATTGCTGTACCGCCTGCATGTTGCCAGGATATTCCAGAACCCTGTCAGTTGGCCCCTAGCGTAGAAATGACTAGATAGAATCAGGAGAGCCTGCACAGATTGGAGCGACGAGGTGGCGAAGCCTCGTAGTAAGACCTGATCGCGAAGCTCTGCGGCTTTTTCCTGGTGCCATGGTAAAGTATCCGCCTGGTTAAATACCACCACAGCCGTGACAGCTTTATATACCAGTTCCTGGTCAGGGCTCTCAAAGGCGGGGAGTCCTCGGAAGGAACCTTGGTGTAAGATAGGAAACCAAGGGTGATAGCTTTGAAACCACGTTGTGAATACGTCATTTGCCGTAGGGAGCATTAGCGTAGCCGACTGCATCGGGGACTCGGTGTCGAGAGTATGAATGTGAGATTGAGGAACCGCTTCTAGCACTTCCTGGGCGACATCACCACTTACTTCGGCCAGATCTGGATCAGATGGATCAGATTCCAATTGGCCGTTGTCAGCTGACGGCAATGAGGCAGGAGTGCGTTCGATATTGAACGGCACGTTATGGCTACCCTGCACCAAATAATCCTCAACTCGTTCTAGCCTCGCCTGCATAGCTTCTGTCGCGGAGATGATTACTATTTCGGCCGCAGGACCCAATTATGCGAAAACCGTTTGGACTCACCAAGCTGCTGCTCCAATCGCGATACGTAGCCTGCTCGGAGTCCGGGCCGTTGCTGTCTCGACTTGTACACGCACTCGAAGTCATGCTTTGAGCAAAGTCCACATCGTGGGCGTTGTCGATCGCAAGCGACCTTACGTTGGCGGCATACCAGGCATCTACGATGGGCCGAAATAACCGAGTCAGCAACATGACCAATTTTGAAGTTCAGGATTTCAGCGCAGCATACGCAAGCCTAGGTTCTCTCTGTGACGCCGAAGACATTTCGTGATGGCGGAACCGCGATGGCGGGAACCGTGTACCTGTAGTCCTGGGCCGTGTGCGGGCCGACGGAGGTTATATACCGAGGCCTCTACGACGAGATCGGCTGCTAGTTCATGTAATAGCGCCCCATTTAATTGTCAGTCACGCGACATAAATGGAGCATCGTAACATGGAACACTCCCGTCGGCCCCCGCCCCGGCTCCCGCCGCGCAAAGGGCCGTGTAACTCCGAGCCCAAGCTGACTTCCGGCCATGTTCCGGCAATAATCGAGAAGCGTACTGCGCGCTCGTCGTAGGCCAGAATCGCAGTCGAGTAGCCCGCACCTTACGGGCCGTGTCAACACCGCCGCGTACCATGGCCAACCAATCAAACCAGGACTTCTATCCCCACGTTCACCCCAGAATCGCGAGATCTGGGGTATTTCCCGATGCCGCATCTGTATATTTGTATAAGCTTCTCCCCTCGACATGGAAATGTTGAAACCATCCATGTTTGCCGCCCTCGTGAAACAAGCAAAGGCATCTTATTATCGCCAACGGACTCAGCAAAGACACGTTCTCGACCGTCACTGACAACATGGCGAACCGATACTTCGGGTGCCGGGGGAGGTCTCTCCTCATTTGGCTGACCGTGTGCTATGTACGTCAATTCTCCTTCCTTCTCAGTACACTTTGCTAACCTAGACCCTAGGTTTCCTCCATGGCGCTCTTCGGCTACGATCAGGCAGTGTTCAGTACACTCCGTTGCGTTGACAGCGTCCGCCCCCCTTTTTTTTCCCCGCTTATGCAAAAACATGAAAAAAAGCCAATTTTACGCTGTGACGCGCATTTCTCTGCATCGCACGCAAAACGCGTCAAAGTCATCACCAACACCTCAATTGCCGTCAATCACTATAGTCCCAGTAGTATTCAAACGTATAACTACACGATAGAGACATAAGGTGTGTATTTCATGCTTCCGTAGCAGTCAATCTACCCATCGAGGCATTGCCAACCCAGCTAGTCACCTCATCCCCATACCATTCGACCAACAAAAGGTCTATTTTCGTCATGAGAGATCAAGATGACATTTGCTGAGGAACAGAAGAAGAGACCTGCTGTATGACTTTATATATCTACTCAGCATACGGTTTGTATGGCTCTGAGTAATATATAAGCATACCAAGGGGCTTGATACGGTTCTTCAGAGCAAATGCTTTGGCAGTCAACAGGATTAATGACTCTCCTGATAGCTCAGCTTGTTCACGATATTGAGCAAGAGTCTACTGCTGTATAGATTGTGCCCTGTTACTTACAGTTTGCCGCTGGTCAGTACATGTCCGTGGTTTATTATATCAGATACATCGAGAAAGACGCCGGGCGACGACGACGATACAATGGCGCCCAGAATATCGAATCTACAGCTATCGACGATCGCGATGATACTGCCATTCGAAGACCAAAAGACCCACGAGCTGGCAAGTATCGTTGGCTGTACCGAACGAACGATTCGACGACATAGATCACGACGTAATATCACTGGCGAAGTGCAGAGATATAAGAGGTGCCGCCAGAGTCGACAAAAGATGGAAATATGGCATCGTACAGAGCTTCTTGAACTACTGCAGTACCGCAGCGATCTATCTCTTGAAGAGATGCAAGATTTCCTATTTGAAGCCTTCGAGATCCAGATCAGTCGTTCTGCAATCAGTCGACAGTTAAACTCAGCTGGCTGGACGAACAAGAAGTCCAAGATTATTGCTGCTCAGCGAAGTGACGAACTACGATACGAGTACTTGTACCGTATACGACGATATCGCCCCGACCAGCTGGTATTCGTCGACGAATCCGGCGTCAATAAGGATACTGGGATACGGAGGACTGGATGGGCGCCGAAAGGGCTTGCTGCGTTTCGAACTGCAGAGATTGATCGGTTTCAGAACTCTCGCGTACAGATCCTGCCAGCCCTCACGTTGAGCGGTATCCTACACTTGACTACGTATTATGGTACGACTGACGGCGATGGGTTCTTTCGTTGGCTACAGGAGTGCCTTATCCCGAAATGTGGGCGTTTTCCAGAGCCAAACTCTGTCATCGTTATGGATAACCTCTCCTGCCATCGTATACCTGAAATCGAGGGTTTATGCCGGGTATCAGGTGTCCATCTCGAGTTTCTGCCTCCGTATTCACCAGACTTCAACCCCATCGAAGAGTACTTCGGCGATCTAAAGCGATACATCAGGAAGACGTATTCGAAGTGGAACAACGATGAGAATGACACTCGGGATTTCATGGAATATCTACGTGACTGCGCTATGGAGATTGGGTATCGTCTACCCCAGATCGAGGGCCATTTCCGCCATTCGTTCGTCAACTTTGATGGGACAGAGCATATATTTGACGATATCGAACTATAAAAGGGAGGATTTGCTGCCAATATTGAACATCAGCAAGCAATCCAAATTTTCATCGTGCGTTCGCGCGCAATAGATCTTAATCGTGTCGTCATATGATGGTCAATCATCAAATCCATGATTGTAGCCAACAAGATTGCCAAAAGGTTAGCCACAAGCGCACCAGAACACAAAAAATATACCGTCGTCCATTGTTTTCGTCGGTAGCTACGTATACATATCAATTTTGCCTGTATAACGGCTGAAACGCGTTGTTGATGCTTGTGACGATGATTTGTGATGATGACACGTCATCACGATCAGAGACTTCAACCATAGTCAGAGACTTCAACTGCCCCTAACCAGTATCGGGATGGACCGAAGTGTATTGTTTGCAGATCCAAAATAACAGTAATTCTATTGCTTTTATACGTATAGAGCGGCAGTGTTGAATCTACGGCTATGGGTAGACTTTTCCGTGGTTGAACACGTCATGCAAAAAAATCGCGCATACAGTCAAACTTCACACCACTCTTGCTGTATCACTCTTCTTCGTTATCCTCCTCCGAGTAATACGTCTCTGTTGACGACGTATCACTCGAGATTTCAATCTGATTGTCCTCATCGCCTTGCTCGATTTCGTCTTGTTCGATCTGTAACTGCGTGGGCAGCATCTGCGACGCTGACAGCAGTGGTGACGAAACGAAACCAAAGAGTTCCGAAACGCCTACAAAGTTAGCCATATTCGACAGTAAACAGCTCTATATACACTCACCACGTCGACCAACTTCAACTGGCGTACCACGGATCTCTTGCTCGATGGATTGACGTGGCACTAGGGCGTCGATATGTCGGGATGACCCCAACTCGCCTGAAACTAGCGCCGCAGAGTTTTCAACTGGCGCCGCCGCCGTCCCTCCTGGCAATCCAGCGTATATTCTTGTATAAACATCTCCTTCTGACTCTCGATGGTTTGAATGAAGTTCAGAGTGAGATACCACGTCGGAGAGGGCGTCAGACTGCCCTCCGTAGTAGGCGCTGTTGTCTATGAAGGATTTGATCGAGTTCCTGACATCTTCGGTAAGATCTTGAGTAAAACCCTGTTCAGTAAACCAAATATCTGGTAACTTGCGAATTGCCCGCAAGCTACTGTCTACTGATCGCAGTTTCTGTAGCTTCTTTCTGAACCCTTCGTCGACGTTATATCGCTTGCCGCGGACGGATATAAACCACTTGATGAAGCTGGCCACTTGATCTAGAGCTTTTCGAGGCGAATCCGGTACCACTGGCGAGGACGAACGAATCGGGAGTGCGATACTTGGTTGACGAGTGCTTGGAAGGTTCAATGGCGGAAGAGTTGGCAACGAATACTGTGAGATGTTCGCATATGGCCAATATGCCGGCGGCGGCGGCGCCGGCGGCGGCAGCTGTACGTATGGGTTAGGATATTGAAGATGACGATCTGGCGCCCCCGCGTTGCCGTATATATTGACGATGGCGTTGCTGTTGGCGTTGGTTAGGCCAGATCTTGACCCTGATGATGGAAGTGCGGCATTTTCAGCCTTCTCTTCCGTCATCACTGTCGTCTCCTGGTTATCATCAACCTCCACGATATTCTTACTTCTCTTGCCCTGGCGTTTCTGATCCTCTATAAACTGGTCGTGAAGAATCTCACCAAGCAGTTCTTTAGGTGGTTCCATATTGTCAACGCCAGCCTGTCCAGTCATAATAGCCTTCGCCCACTTCTCTATATGGTGAGATTTGATCTTGTAGTGCTTCTGGCCTAGTATATAGCACCAGTTGAACTTCTCGTCGCCCGAACTATTCTTACATCTCTGGTACTCTGGGCAGATGTGCGTACGGAGAAGTTGTCTGTGCATACCCTCCTTCCGACGCTCGACGTTTGCAGGATCGTTAGCCTCACGATCGATCGCCTCTTGCATGCCGGCTGAAACGCCTGCTCGGCCACCTTTTCGAGGCGTTCGTACGCCAGTCACTATACCACCAGAGATTGGTACGGCGCTGTATTGCCACTTGACGGTGAGGTGGACTTCACCCCTCTCTTCAGCTTGTTCAAGAGAGGGGACAATATCAACCCATGGAATACTTGGCCAAGTGACCCCTCCAGTAGACGGATAGACCCGAGTGAAGATTGGTGTTGGTTTAGATGCGTTGGTGGGCTTCCTCCAAGCAACGACAACAGCGATATTGGCCTTCTTCACAATATACGAGTGAGCCACTTCTGCCTCAAGTTGGGCGCCGCTGTCTGCCTCCCAGTCTCTACTATTCGCATCTAATACAGGAGCAATACTGAATCTGTTATACGCGATGCTCTCGATGGTTAGATCGAGAACAGGTAAACCGTTACCCTTGAGCGCTGGGCCACGGGTAACCTGGATTTGTAGCAGAGTTGGTTCCTCGTTACCCATATCGTCCTCCTCTTCAAATACATCGTGGAACGACATAAACGTATCATCAGCGCTATGGCGAGGGGCCGTAGGCGTATCGTCCGCAAATCGAGTGGTTTGACGAGGGGTTGGGTTAACTGGGGTCGAGTCTGGTCGAAACGGTGGCATCGACGAAGGCAGAGTACTTCGGAGCCGGATCGTATGCGGCGGATCCTTCTTTCGCTTCCTCTGCGTTGTCGTTGCTTTTTGGCGAGAGGACGCTTTTGGAGCTCTTCGTGATGACGGAGGGGCTATAAGTACACGCTTTCTTCGCGATGTAGACTCAGCCGCCACCAAATCATTAGTCTCGGGTCCAGCCTCGGCGACGATAACCTCCTCGGCGGCCTCCTCGGCGGCCTCTTCGGCGGCGGCAGCCCGGCGAGCCCTCTCGGCGGGCGTAACGATCCTGATCGACGGCGAGGCAGAGCGTTGAGGAGGATCTCTGGCGGCGTCCTGTGCCAGTTGTTGTATACGTCGTTGTTTCCGCGTACCGTTGGCGATGGGTGACGGACGATGCCCAGAAGGGTCATCATCCGCCTGCCGAGCCGCGCGGCGGCGTTTAGGAGGCATCACGATGCCCTCAGATAATGAGATTCAATAGAAATAGATCAATTGAAGCCATCAGAATAGGTCAATTGCCGTACTACGAATATCTACGTGGCGTTGGGCAAATTTTCATGTATATACAGGGATTATGCGTGCGTAATTTCGGCAAAAAGGGGGGGCGGACGCTGTCAACGCAACGGAGTGTAAGTCCAAGCCGCAATTCAACCCCTCAGCGTCGTCCGCTATGGTATCTTGTTTATTGACTTGTAACCTTCCTCTTGACTTCAGGTGGAATTATTGTGTCGAAAGACTTCCTGAAGACGATGAATAACCCCGATGCCAATCTGCAAGGAACAATCACATCCCTGTACAACGTCGGATGTTTCTTCGGCGCCCTGTCAGGCTCATGGATCGGCTCTTCCCTTGGACGTAAGCGATCAGTCATTCTGGGCACGACGGTCTTGGTTATCGGGGCCATCCTGCAAATGACAGCCTTCAGCGTACCCCATATGATCGTCGGCCGCCTCGTCGCCGGCCTCGGAAACGGTCTCAACACCGCAACTGCTCCCGTCTGGCAGAGCGAGACCACCCAGGCCAAATGGCGAGGGAAGCTTGTGGTGCTAGGTCTGGTGGTCAACGTTGCCGGCTTCTCTCTCGCTAATTGGGTCACCTTTGGCTTTTCCTACCTGGAGGGCAGCATCTCTTGGCGCCTCCCTCTCGCCCTCAAGCTGATCTTCTGCCTCGTTATCCTCTGTACCGCGCCTTGGCTGCCCGAGTCTCCCCGATGGCTCATCTCGAAGAATCGTATCCAAGAAGCCGACGTCATCCTAGCCGATCTGAAGGGGGAAACCAACGTGTCGAATCCCGCTGTGCTAGCCGAACGCAACGAAATCGTTCGCGCGTACAAACAAGAAACCGAAAACGCCATGACCTGGTCTCAGCTGTTCCGAGGAGCATCAGAGAAGGGTGGATCTGGAGCGTTGCGCCGTTTTCTACTTGGGCTGGGCACCCAGCTCATCGTCCAGCTGTCCGGTATCAACGCAACGTCTTACTATCTCCCGACGGTCTTGATCGAGTCCGTTGGGCTGGAAGAGAAGCTTGCTCGTCTGTTGACCGCCGCCAACTCTGTTCACTACATATTCTTCTCATACTTGGGGATGATGTTGATTGACAAGTGGGGTCGCCGTGGTGCTATGATCTATGGTCAGTGGTTATTCAGTAGTACATGGGATCAACACAAATGGAATTGCTAATTTTGGGTGTGATGTAGGAACTTCGGGCTGTTTGGTATGCTACATCATCCTTACAGTCCTCATCAGGACTGGCCAATACGCGACGGACGAAGGACTGAAGTACCGCGTCGGAGCCGCCTCGGTGTCAATGATCTTTCTCTTCTACGCCATATTCGGCGCCGGTTGGCAAGGCACCGCATGGCTCTATAACACCGAAATCAACTCACTGGCCATGCGAATGAAGGGCGCCTCGGCCAGTGTGGCTGCACAATGGGCGATCAACTACATGGTCGTTCAGATTACCCCCATTGGCATCCAAAACCTGGGCTGGAGGTTCTATCTCATTTGGGTGTTCATGCAGTTCTTCTCTGTTCCCATTCTGTATGTTTTCTACCCGGAAACTGCGAATAGGAGGCTCGAAGATATCGACATTGTCTTTGAAGAGGGCCTGCGGACATGGGTGTTCTTGGACAAAGAGGCTACGCAAGTTGCGCGACCACACCGCTTCGTCGTTATGGAGGAGGAGGAAGTTGCCGATGCTGCCAATGACATCAAGGCCAAGGTCAATAGCCCTGAGTTCGAGCAGATTGATCACCCGACTCAATTCAAATAGGGTGACAACTGTAGCAAACGCACTATTGACGTCGGCGTTTCTTTAGCGCAATGAATATGCCTGTCGGCGAAGAGTTAGCTAGGAATTTATGCGTTTGAGAGTTTGTTGTAAGAGATTGTGGCTTCAAGTAACACCGTATCCTTCATCTCAGCGAGACTTCTCAATCATCAATGACAGCACAAGACCATGCAGAGTACGACTGGTGAGAAGTTGATTGTCACTTTCTTGACAAATGCAACACTTAAACAAGCTGAATGTGAAGAAGTTCTGGGAAAGCTATAGGCCTCTGACGGGTTACTGGCGTCAGACAACCCGACAACTCGTGCGTTCGGCCCATGTGGGGTACTGCCGGCCCGGAGCCGAGCGACGACCGGCGTAACTCAGGCCGGCTACCGGCCCGTAGGACTAAACCTCCCATGACCTCCCTCGTACCCCTGCCCCCCAGACCCAAGCGTTGGACTAACCGGCGACTGGGTGGCATCACTTCCCATCTCAACGGACCCGCCGTACCTCGGACTACTAGGCATCTCGCTCACACTGTTCGGCACTTCAAGCTCCGCAGCTTGCACCCCCGGCGACGCGGTCGGCGACGTTGCGAACCTGGGCTTCGGCTCAGGGGATGAGTAGGGCGTATAACCCGGCAACTCCGAGAAAGCGGCGCTCTGCCTTGAGTTCTCGGCAGCTGCTAGCTCTGTTGCTGCCTTTCTCTTCTTCCTCCGCCGCAAGATGACGGCGAAGATGCCTGCGCCGACGAGGGCGATGGCTCCGAGGACGCCGCCGACTACCCCACCAACGATGGCGCCTTTAGATCGCCCGCTCGAAGAAGAAGTTGGCTCGGGAGTAGTGCTATTCGTGGCAGCGGTGGGCTGCACGACGAGTGTGTACGTCGGTGTATAGGCCGGTCTCTTGAGTGATGGGTCAAAGACATACTGCAGATAGACATCACTCCACGCACGAGGTTTCGTGACATATGCTCCTCCTAATGCCGTCCCCCCGATGGCCTTGACAACCTGCTCGGGCACCGGTGCCAACCTCTTCGCGGCCTCGGTGTCGTAGCTCCCCGTGTAATTGAGCGAGACCAGGGAGAAGATCTCAGCGGGCATGTGCTCCGAGCACATCTGGACGTTCCCGCCGCTGCCGTCGCTCTTGGTCTGCATCCCGCCCACGATCAAGAGATTCTCGCCGACGGCGTGGCACGTGTGCCCGTACATGCCGTCGGCGCGGGTGTGCACGAGGATCCACTGGAACGTCGGCAGGGTGAGGACCCAGATCTCCTCGGAGGTAATGTAGGTTGCGTAGTTCTCGACGCCGGCGATCATGTAGATGTTCCACGATGAGGAGTCCTTGGCGGGAACGAGGACGGCGCAGATGTCGGAGCGGCCGGTGGGCATGTCCGGGAGGCCGAAGGTCTCTTGGCGGAACCAAAAGCCTGTTTCGATGTCGTAGATGTCGACGAAGGATTGGTTGATCTGGGGTCTGTCAGGGGATGAATGGAGATGTTGAAGGGGGAGGGGCTTACGTTGATGTTTCCTGATGCTGCATCATCGATCCGGACGCCGAATTCCGTTTCGTCTCGGGTTGTTTGCCCACCGATGTTGACGATGATACCCTTCTCTCCAACCGGGACGTGGACCATCGCACCGTTCATGCGTGGCCCAACGTACGTCGGAACGGAGATGTTCGTCAGCTTGGGCTGGGACTTGTCTGCGGTGTCAAGTTCGAGCATTCCTTCGAGAACTATAGTTCATGATTGTCAGGAACTAGTTTCCATTATGAGTTTCTATGCACTTACAGCGAAAGTCCATGGAGGGTGTATACTGGCTGTTCGCAGGACTGCTCCTGCGCTGTGTATACCCCTCAAAGATATAACTCCGATTCAACGTCGGCGCGTCGCAGAATGCCGCAGCACCTGGCCGGTCGACAATATGGTCGTTGTTGGATACCTCAAAGTCCGTAGACTTGGCCCATCGCTCCGTATCGATGTCGAACTCCCAGATGGCCGGCTCAGGGAAGTCGTCGATATATGCTGGGTTCTCATTGTTGTTGGACGACCACCAACCACCTAGCTGATAGACCTTTCTGGTCGTCTGTGAGTACCACATCGCATGCTCGATCAGACCGTTCGGGACGTCCGGCGCTTTCCAGATGGAGCTGTATGGCCCGGTCTCCTGGTTCGTGAAGTTCTTCGACAAGTCTAGGACGAGGAGCTGCGTGTCTGGGTTGTGTTAGTCATGTCACAGTGGGCTCATGGGAGACTTACGCATTCCAGACGTGAAGACGCCAGCTTGGGTATTGAAGAAGGTGTTATTGCCCTTAGGCACAAACGTGTTTCCTCCATCGATGTAAATCTTCCCATCGGCGTAAACACCTAGCGAGACTTAGACTAAGGCCCATGAAGCGTCATCGAACCACTCACTAGCATGGCGAAATATTCTGCAAAAGTGCTGTGACAAATCAAAGGCAGTGCTGTTGATGCTAGCCGCAGGAACGGCTGTAGGCGCAGCAAACACAGACGTGCTACTAGCACCACCAGAGACCACCGCTGAGCTCACAGCCTGCCTCGCATCCAGCGAAGCAAAGACCGATCCAGAAATGGCCGCAAAAAGCGGCCAAAGTGAGACAAATCTCATGACGGTGGTTCAATCAGATAAGAAGAGATGACGACCAGGTCAAGAAGACGGCCTGGATGGGGCGGGCATCGACGGGTATTTGCAGGACTCAACCCCCGGGGAGGCGTCGCTGACAGCAAACATCCCCCCGGTTACCCAGCAGGACGGTCAAGAAGGCTCTCAAGCCCGCCAAGCATCATCAGCGGAAGTCTCACATGGGGGAACCAAATCGCGCAGGCAAAGAAGCTGAAGACCGCAGCCTGGGGCTCGCACACGTCGCTGCAGTGGCGGGCGACGCAAAAGCCTCAACATGCCCGTTTCGGCCGGTCTGGCCGACGATCGAATCAGGACAGCATGGGCGGGCGCGGGAGCTAGGGTGCTTCCATTGGACCTTGTCGATGAAGGAGGGTGAGGGGATCGTGAATCCTATTTGTCTGGGAGAGGATAAGCATCACCCCCAATATGCAAGGGAGACTAGACGGAGCCTGCTTGTGGTAGTCGCACTGCTGACGGGCTTGCGGCCGTGGGAGACACACAGGTGAGGAGATGGGGGCCGCGATGGCTGCTGTGTTTCTTGATGAGAGGTGGAAACACATTGTTCGTGAGATGAATGGAAGGGTGTACGAGCCAGGCTCTGGACCTTGGTCCGGATGCTTGATCGTCAATGTTTGCTCGAGGACCGTCGGGTCTGCGGTCCTCATTTGGATCTTGGCGGGCTTATCTTCAGGCAGTGCGTCACGGTGGCTTGTCCACTTGGGGCAGAACATGATAAAGAGAAGCAGACATCCACTCCCGTCATCATCAAGTCTCTGGATCACAAGGCTCTCATAACACCCCCCATTTGAGGCTCTTCACTCCTTCAAAGGGAGTTGAAGATGGCAGAGTTGAAGAATCACGGGCCGAAGCCATCCCCTGCTCTGCACATGGCCCCCACTCCCACTCCCTCGTTTGCCATGCAAGTTGCAACTCCCACCTCCCGCTAAACAAGCGCTGTCAAGGATCCCCCGCCTGCTCCTCCAACAGCCCTTCCCCGCAGCACTCAGCACTCATCAGCAATAAGCCTTCAGATAGAGGAAGCATTATGTTGGCTGGTAGGAGCGGTATCAGCCAGGAGGTGGTGGGGGATTGGCTGGTCCAACCCCCGCGTGCACCACCTGAGTCAGGCCCGTACAGCCGCGACGCGCCAATCAGCAGCAGCGCAGTATGATGCCACAGGAGGGGCCATATTCAGCACCCCCTAGTCGCTTCTTTAGCACCTAGTTAAACCCCTTTTAGCAGTTTATAAGCGTCACAGCTATAAAGGGTACCTACTACCTTATAGCTACCTAAACTATCCTTATACTAGATATTTTATATAATAGCCGTATAGATTAAAATAAGCTACTTAGAATGTATAAATATATTATTTATTAATAACTTAACTTACTATATATCCCTCTAATATTAAAGTATTAATATCCTTACTAAATTTATCTATTTTTTTATTACTATTATATTCTTAATATAAAATTAACTAATCCTACCTTTAATAGGTTTATTAAGAAAGTTTACTAATATTAGAAGCTCTTTAAGTATAGTATAATTAGAAGTAAGTTATAATTAATAATATATAGTATTAAATACTAATAAGATCTAAACTATAAGTATAGAAGCTACTCTAAGAAGTTTATAGTAACTTCTAAAGACTTAATAACTAATAAAATAGGTTATTAGTAGTCTATATAATTATTATAAACTTTAGAGGGATAAGCTACCTCTATAGTTAATAATTAATATAACTACTTACTTATTACTAATAAGTTAAAGCTATATAGTTAAGCGTTTTGAATAATAGCGTATGAGGTAGTAAGTAGCAAAGAAGTAATATAAGTATATATTAAGGACCTCTTAAAGTTAAGTAAATTAATAGTATATAATATTACTATATAGATAAATAAAGAGGTAAGTATTAATTATATCTGTATAATTAATATATATAATATTTAGTATTAACTATATTATAAAAAGTATAGCCCTCTTTTAACTACTTAGATATTTATATATAAACTAAAATAAAGTATAGATATTAGATATCTAAGCTTCTATTATAATACTAGCTTAAATAGGATTAATATAATCTTTTAAACATACTCTTAGTACTTTAAGTAGTAGTAGTAAAATCTAAAATTACTATTAATAGATATTATATATAAGGTTAGTTATAGAGTTAAAAAAAAGATAAGTAAAACTAACTAATAGTAAGTAAATCGCTTTAATATGCTGCTTTTTGAGATTAATAGTTTTATTATAGTATACTTAACTTTTAATGCTACCTTCTATTTTATCTTAAGTAAAAGTGCTGCTATATATAAGTAAGTTTTTAAGTAGCTTAGAGATATAATTATAGCTGAAAAAATCGTAGTTCTAAAAGTAATAATAACTAATTTTAATAAAGCACTTAAAAAAGCTATTAGAGTTATATTTATAAATATATAGTAGTAGATCTATATTTAGTATATACTAAAAAATATAGTATTAAATATAAAAAATAAATAGGATAAGGTGTTAGAGAGGGATAATAATAACTAAGCTGAAAACTAGCCTTCTATTAGGTTTAGAAATACTAATAATTTTAGCATGCCTTATATTAAGAACACTTTTAATTTACCTAATTTAACTATAAGTAGGGTTAGGGAAACTTTAGTTAATCCTACTAGCTAGGATTTTAAGGCTAATATTATAGAAGATCTTATTAACTTAGAGGCTAGCTATAAGGTATAGAATTTAATACTAACTATTAACTTCTTACTATTTAATAATAATAACGCTAATAATATTAACTTTATAACTATAGCGCTAAACCTAGTTATTTTATTAACTATTAATTCTAATAAGATTAAGTAATTACTAGATAGGGTTTTATAAGCGTAGAAGTTATATATTTATATACTAACTAAAGCACTATTTTAAAAGCGTTAGAAAAACCTTAAAAAAGCCTTTAAAATAACCTAGCTTTAAATTATTAACTACCTCACTACTACTTACTTTCTATTTTACCTCTAATTTACTAACTTTACTATTAGAAAGTATTATAACTATAGCTTTAAAGTAATATTATATATAAAGTCTACTTATATTAAGTTAAAGTTATATTTATATAACTACCTTACTAATCTTTATAACCTCTATTTTATAATTACTAAGATAATTAAAACTAAGAAGTAAGTGTTATATAATTATATTAGTAAAGAGAAGTTCTTATTTAAGAATGTTTATAATAAAACGCTTATACTATATTAGTTAATTTAGGCTGTTTTATTTAAAGTACTTAATATAGTATATTAATAATATAAAGTAGCTTATAATATTTAGGTTAATAAATTATAATTAAAAAAGCTAGGTTTTTATATAAGCTCCTTCTTATATTAATAAAGCTTACCTTATTACTATAATATTCTTAACCACTTTAAGTTAGTAGATAATAAATACTACTTTACGTAAAAAGCTATAGATTACTATTAATAGCTTAACTAAACCTTAATATATATTTTTTTCTTTTATTTTACTAAATATATCTCTAACTAACGTTTTATAGCTAGAGATTATAGTACTTAGAGTAGTAATAAAAAAGCTTAACCTTAATATTATCCTCTAAAAAAGGAATTATTAGTAAAATATTATATTAATTAATAATAATAACACCTTTATAGATAATATGCTATAATATTAATTAACTATACTAATATCCTTCCCTTATACTAACTATAATATATTTACTAAAAGAGATCCCTCTATATTTAAAGTAGCTTAAGCTAATATATTTATTATATTACTACTGCTATTAATATAGCTACTAAAAAAGAAGAAGAAGTTAGCTATTAAAAAGTAAGCTAAAAAATAAGAGGAGAGGATATAAATATTAGTTAGCTAGTAGTTCTATTAAATAAACTAGTAATTAGCTTAAACTTTATAGAATTTTACTTTAAGCTAGTTATTACTACTTCTATTATTACTACTAGTTCTAATATTAACTCTTTTTAGCTAAAGTTAGCTTTAGTAATACTTATAGACTTTCTTATTACTTCTATAAGTATACTTTAAAGCTTTACTACCCTTAAATTAGTAGTAATTTAAGTAGTTTTTAAGTTAGCTAAAGTAATAATATAGGTATAAGTAGTATAAGTAGTATAAGTAGTATAAGTAACCTTAGCGTTAGATTAATATATTAATATATAAATTTTCGCTCTATATTTTATAAAACTATATATTACTATATATAATAAATCTTTTAGTGGCTAATAGGGTTAGAGATTTACTCTACTATATATAGTGTAGCACTAACGTAATAACTTACTAAAAAGGGTTTAACTAGGTGCTAAAGAAGCGACTGGGGGGTGCTAAATATGGCCCCTCTGCTACAGCAATCCGTCTTGCGCTGGCGTCCTGAAACTTGCTCACCTCCATGCCGTTTTGGGATTCGGAGGCTGGTCACAGGGCTGTTGCTTGTGTTCATGTGCTACGCGGCCCATCTTGATAAAGCTCTCTGTCCTTGTGAAGAAGATGAGGAGCGACTGATAAAGGAGCTGTCTGTTCCCTCGTAATTCTAGAAGATCCTGCATCTTTCATCTCATCGTGTCGTGTGCCGTTGAAACTCAATTCGAAGCTCCAACATCACCCTCTGGACAATCATCAACAGGGCCGGTTCCCATAGTAATCACCGCCAAAATGCCGGCCATCTTTGCTGACCAGTTCGTCGCCCCTGTCGCATACATATGTGCTTCTCGAGACATTCATAATTCATACTCACATTCTGATGACAGACTTCTTCCCGTCGGGAACGAGCAAATGATCAAGCTCGACGCTTCGATCAAGGATCAAGAAATCGCACAGCGCGAGGTCCCCAGCACCGCCGACTGCGCAACCCACCTCAGACTTCTCGACACATTCGTCGCGCTCCGCAGAAGCGTCGAGCTGCTCGCCGACGAGGCAGACCTCACCGCCGTGCAAGGCTGGGACCTGTACTGCAGACGCGCCGTCTCCCGCTTCGAGAAATGGTCCACCAGCACGCAGAGAGGGCAACCTCCCGTCGACGTCTTGATGGCGTGGCACGCTCTCATGCTGCACCCTAAGGCGTACGCCAGGTTTATTGAACTTGGCGGCAGTCTCGGCCTGGACGGCCTGGACTGGACTGAAGTCGTAAGTTCACGCACTTGCACAATTCCTGACTCGAGACCGTGAGTCGCTTCAAGCTTCATCTGTGCTGACAACTGACACAGTCGAATGCGGTCGACATCGACATCACCTTGTCGGGATTCCTCGATTTGATCGAGGCCGACGGCACCCTCGAGTCTCTCGTCGCCGAGGGCCGTCAATCAACCGGCATCTTCAACCTCAAGAACCCAGCCGGCACGGTCCTCTTCTCATACGACCTCTCCGCGGCGATTAACCGCCAATTCGACTTTTCTACAAAGATGTCCCGCTACGCCTGGCTGCGTTCGCCCACCGCAGAGGCCACCCTCGCACAGTCCGTCGAGCGTTACCGCAACTTCTTCCACCTCATCGGCGCGCACCCCGGCACGGTGATGGTCCCGACCCTGGACATCGACCTGGTCTGGCACACCCACCAGCTCGCGCCGCTGCGGTACCGCGCCTACTCCAAGAAGGTGGCCGGCCGCCTCATCGACCACGACGACGAGATCAGCGCGGACAGGTTGCAGGAGCTGTCGACGGATATGCAGGGTCTTTGGCGCGAGGAGTTTGGCACTGAGTACCACGCCTGTCTCTGCTGGACCTGCGAAGCAGGCAGGGCCCACGTTAGTGTCGACGCTGTTGAGACTAGGTTGCGTGATGAGGAGAGGCAACGCGAGCTGCTTCCCCTGGCAGACCTTGCCTTCCCTCGCTGTGCGGACTGCGGCAACCATCCCACATCGTGCTGTCCCCCGAGTGATGGTGCTGAGTGCGGAAGCGGCTGCGGCGGAGGGTGCGGTGGTGGTTGTGGAGGCGGTTGTGGAAGCTGTGGTGCCATGAAATAATTCGGGAGAGTCTTGAAGCATACAAGCAAGATATATCAAGAGGCAAAACAAGCAAAAAGATATCGAGTTGCCTCGTGCCTGAATCGAACAGGCGATCTCCTCATTACTAGTGAGGCGCTGTACCACTAAGCCAACGAGGCATTTGATGATTGTTGAAGAAGTTGGTGAAATCTGTCTACTTGAAGCGTCTCGAAGCGAGATTTTGTGGGTGAAGGGGTTGATGTTGACCCACATCATGTCTTTGCCTCTGTGCGTCTGCCGAACAACCCATGTTAATCCACGTTTTATGTTCCTTTCTTTTTTCCCGCTGAAAATGGGCAGCCGCGGAAACACCTGACTCGTTTTCGCATTACGAGAACGCCAGATTGAAAACACATGGGATGCCCTTGCCAGATGGCCAGCCTTCCAAGACTTTTCACTCTCTTTGAGTTTTTCTAGCGACATTCGATCTCCGTTTCATCAACACAGCAATGCCCACCGGCCAATAGGGGTGCCACGAATGGTCAGCCGACGGCGCGGCGAGTGCTGCAAAGCTCCGAGAAAAAGGGATGAACTCCGTGTTAGCATAAGTAATTATAGATGAGAGGTGGGATCGTGGGTGCCGCTAGGCGTGGTCTGCGCAGGACAACCCGGTTACCCGGCCTCCTCGGGGACCACGTAAGGCGCGGCAGCGGGGCCGGCCCTATCGGGCTCACCGTTTTCTCGGTCCCACCCGGTGGCCGATGCCTCGGATGTTCTTCTTCAGCCCCTTTGCCCCCCTTGCGCCAAGGACTGATATATCCTCTTTTGTTGTGGGCGGCCTTAGATCGTTCGATATGTTGATGAAGCAACAAGTCTTATAAAATCTTTATTGCGGCCTCGACCAACGACAGTCCCTCCTTTTCGGATTACCACTTACACCAAGTACATCACTTTCGTTCATCACCAGGCACAGTAAGCCACCACTCTCGTTGACGTGCTTTACACATCACACTCTTTTTCTCCGACCCTCCTATCCCCCCCAAACCGCTGAAAACATGCGTGCCTCAGTCATGGTCGCCGCCGCAGCTTGCGCCTCCTCAACCAGCGCTTTCGCGGTCCCCCGCGACGAGGACCCTAACTTCGCCTGGCAGGCCCCCGACGCCGCGGCCAAGCGCTCGCCGTGCCCCATGCTCAACTCCCTCGCCAACCACGGCTACCTCCCGCGCGACGGCAACGCCATCAGCATGGACAACCTCATCTCCGGCCTCGGCAAGGCCCTCAACTTCAACGAGTCCCTCGTCCGCACCCTCGGCACGCCCGCCTTCGCCACCTCTACCACCGGCGACGCCAACACCTTCAACCTCGACGACATCGCCAAGCACAACGTCATCGAGCACGACGGCAGCCTGTCGCGCGCTGACTTCGCCGTCACCGGCGACGCAAAGACCTTCAACCAGTCCGTCTTTGACGAGACGTACGGATACCTGACCGAGGGCGCGGCCGCGACGGAGGAGAAGGTGAACGTGGCGACGATGGCGACGGCGCGCAGCAAGAGGATCGCGACGGCCCAGGCGACGAACCCGAGTTTCAACTTGACTAGCAGCCAGGTCACCGTCTCATTGGGAGAGTCTGCGGTTATCCTTGGTACATTGGGTGGAAGCTTCTCCGAGCCTGCTGCGCCGTTGGAGTGGATGAAGATTGTCTTTGAGGAGGAGCGTCTGCCATTCAAGGAGGGCTTCAACACCAGCACTGAGGTCATTACCACCGCTCAGGTCCTGGGGCTGTCGCAGCTCATTGCTACCAGCAGCACCTAAGTTGGCGGAGGCTACGTTGGGTTCTTTGATGTGTAGATGAGTAAAGAAAAAAGAAATTTCACGGCAATTCCTTGTCATTCCAATTGACCTACAACGCATCTGATGATGATGCGAAATATGCAACACTTGATATAGGCTTTGGTTCCATATGATTAGGTTGCTCGACGGGATAGGGTAGTAGCCACGGGAAGCTTGGCCCTGCAACTCCAAAATAAGCATGCATTTGGAAAGAGGATACAGATGATTTGGGCCAATTACGCATTGCATCCCTGTCGCTGGAGATCAGCGAAGGGTCATATCCTGAGGTGTGTAAAGAATAGACTTTAATTCGAAATATAAATCGTGCTATGCCATGCCGACTCCGGAATAACGCTTCAACCTTGAGAGCAAGATCATCTCGTCATATGCTCAAATTCCAAATGACCATGAGTTCCTCCCCACAATTCTGCTCTCATGATTCCGACTCGATGGTCGCAACGGCGTCAACGCCCAGCCATACTGGTCCCGCCCGTATGCAGCCACCACCGGCGTTGCTTTGCCATGAATTACCTTCCACCACCCTTTTACAGAAGTCGATCCATGGCGACCTCTACGGCATGAACCTAAACCATATCCCAAGCACCTTCCGATCCATAGCCCTCGAATCCGCTATCAGACGCAGAGAGATCGCCGCCCTTAGCGGGCTCATCAATGTCCATGGCGTCGAGGTCCTCATCATTCTCGTTGACAAGCGTCTCTGAAGGCGACAAGGGGTCCGTGGGCGTAGAAGCTTGTGCCATGGTCGAATTGTGGGGGAAATTCGAGTTGTTGACGGTATGTCTTTGATCTCCAAGGTAACGCTCTGACCGAAGCTGGGCGTTCTGCTCTTCCAGGTCTTCTTTCTCTCGAATAAGGGCCACGATGAAGGCATCCTTGGTGGCGTTTCTGCGCTTGAGCTTGTCATTCTCGTTCTGAAGCTTGATTATTTGCTCCTGATCGACCTCTTTAAGCTGCGCCAAGTCGTGGTTCTCGGTAGACAGATGACAGACCTCAGCCTGGAGCCGACAGATCTCGATTTGGTCGATCTCGTTCATTTCGGCGGGAAATGAAGGCCGATCGAGGGTGCTCATAATGGAGGATGGGCTAGAAGGAAGCGAAGAGAATGTATCTTGAAGAATAAAGGAGGGCCAGCCGCCTTGATTGTTGACAAAAGTTGAGGGAAGGCTTTGAAGCCCGAGAATGGGTTGTGGATGTGATGCTTTGGTACTGTTCTTTTCGTGAGAAGATGGAAGAGAGGTTTCTTTTGTAGTAGAAAAGGGGGTGGTGATGGAGCACTGATTTCACACGACAGACTAGAAGCAGGAACGTGGTACGTCTTCCCCGTTCAGGAAGCCCCAACTGGTTGCGATGACTCTTCGGAGAAGAAGGTGGAAAGATAAAGAGCACTCACTGTTTGTGGTCTTCAAGCGGCGGGCATGACTTCATGAGGTGATTTCCCTCAGTTGTATGAAGCTGGGAGTTCTGATGAATCTCAAAGTTAGCGGAACATATTTTGAACTAAGATCGTCTTAGTGGTAGGTGTTGTTAGGTTAAAAACTCTTGTTGAGTCTGCTCCACAGGCTCTGAGCTGTGAGTGGTCGTGAGAGGGAGGGACAGAGTAGCAGAGGTAGACGACTTCGACAACCTTAAGTATACTCCAGGACTTGGTAAGAGCGGCGACTTTGGCGCTCCTCTCCCCCTATCCACGTTCAGATGACATGATGGGTGGTGAGGTTCCAGGAGTCATGTGAAGCGAATAGTACCCAGATTGATATGGGATGAGAAGTTAGAGGGTAGAGGGAGGTAGTCAGGAGACCTCTCCTACCCGAATACGTTGGAAAAAGGAAGGTGGAAGAACTCGGGCCTACCTGGAGTTTAGTCATTATTGGAAACGTTGAATGATGAATGAAAACAGTCTTGATGAGATGGAAACCTCATTAGTAGGACAGCCTATATTTATACCCAGACGAGAACACTTGTTCTTCATAGAAAACCATTTGAATACGGCAAACAAGAACCGGTTCCTGGGAACAGGAACAAGATATTTGAAAACCAGAATTGAATTCTAGATGTGCATGCACCTTGGCGCTGCACCAACTGCGCCTCTAAGCTTGGCATAATCCATGAGGGGGCATGTAGGGTAGCAATGGAATATGATCCGAGTTGTGTCTGGCCTCGGCAAAGAATCGATAGAACTTCGATTCAAAATAAATTAAAAATCAATGACTTGACTTCATTGTCATGTGTGCTCCGGCAGAACTATGACGATGTACAAGTATCTGACGATATTTGGCGCAGGGAGGACTTGGTTTCCTTCTCATCAACATGGCGGGCGAAAACGACGGGGAAGGAATTGAGCAGCACGGTTTGTGAGTGACAAAGGGGGAGACTAAGACGGCAGGAGGAGAAAAAAAGGGGAGAGAAGGAGGAAGAGGGGAGGGAAGGGAAGGGAAGGGGGAGACGAAGGGCAGAGGAGAAGGAAGACAGCGAAAGAAGCACAGAGAACTGGAATCGGATTCCAGATAGCTTTTCATAAGTCTGAAATTGAGAATTTGCCAGCGGCGGCTAATGCTTGTTGGTAACTCGCTCTGTGTTCAAGACCTGTTGGAGCCTGACGGGGGTATGGCAAACATGGCTTAAGAGATTACATAAATGTCTCGAAAAGTAATGTGGTACCTAGATAAAGACTAATAACCGTAAGGGATAGCCGCCCTAACTTGTTGCTACTTGGACGTGTTACAGCAACCTTTTTAGGATTGTCCAGCATTTCGAACTACTGCTCAGACTAGACAGGAAATAATGCATATAACGCAACAATGACTGTTTATCAAATAATTTGTCGTTAAAAACTGTGGCGAGATCGTTCAGATCCCATCGTTTGATGAGATTGTAGAAGTTGACGTCTGAATGCCTGCGTACAATGTCTCCTGCAGAGCCGAACGAGACTGGTAGAAGTTGGACAGTTGCTGTCGAGTGTGATGTAGCGAATTGATCGAACAAGCAAGAAGCTGCGTTTTCGAACGAAGAAAAACTATCGGTCGAGTCTTGCGACAGTGTTTCAGCAAAGGATAGCGCAACAGTCGAGTTACCAAACAATCAGAATCATCCACTGTGAATGTGCGGAAAATGCTTCAGCCGCGACCGATGTTTGAGAAAAGCCGCTGGTCTTCCGTTGGTTCCCTCTAAATCATGACGCGCGGCGTGTCTTCGTTCGAATAGTCTCGGATGGAAACTCTTATCGACTCAATAATCACCACCCCCTCCCCTAATTTTGCAAAGGCTGAAGCGCAACCAACGTTAATGTTTCCGATCCATCTAATGTGCTCAGAGGAAATGTGGAGTTTTCTTCTAGCTTTTCTCTTTGTAGGGAACCGCTGAATAGGGGTTGCAGTTAAGCATTTTCAGGCGGAAGACTCTGCAGCCCAGTATCAAATGATGCATCCCTTCATCTTTAAGCCAAACCTTCCAGCTCATTGCCTCCATGACTCAATCTTGCCATGTAGGGTGAGCAATTCGGAATACGTATCGTAATTGAGAAGTCCGAATATTGAAGGGACGAGGTGGTGTGACGAGTGAGGGAGGGCGAAGGATCATATAATACCCAACAGCATATTAATAACGTCAAGTTTAAACCCACTAAACTTTAGCTGTCTAATAATGAGAAGCATACACTAATGAAAGGCGGCCGGCGCATCCAATAACACTATAATCGATAGGGTCCAAAGTCCTTGTATCCAATACCCTTAACAAAGGTCTGCAACCATGGGCCCTGCGTCTTCGCCTCCGCCAGCTCTAAGAAGAGTTTAGAGTGCGCCTCTCCATCAATCTTGAAGGCCGCCGAGCCGTCTGCCTTCCGCTCATCAATGTAAAAAAATCTGCAAACTCTTAGTCACGTCCACACAGAAAGTAAAGCAAGGTGGTGAGAGCCTACTTGAATCCCTTCTCGTTATATTCAGCGGCAGCAGCCATCATCATGTGCGCAGACGCCGATTTGCCAGCGCCCGACTCCAGGAACTGCGGGAGGGCTGTAACGTTAAGGATATTCCCCGTAAAGAAGAATGTTCTTGGAGCATCGACAGGCAGATCCGCAAAGCCAAGAACGGCCTGTTGGGCTGCGACAAAGACACTGGTGTTGTTGACGGTCATGTCTCGCTGGAAAGAATCTAACGATATAGCAAAGGGGTCGCCTGGAGGAGAGAACGTAGCGGCGCCGGCTGTGAAACCTTAGCAGGGCATCCAGCTTGAGTCCTTTGGTGCTAAGACGTACCGTTGTAGATGACTACGCTTGGGATCCCCAGCTCTTTTTTGACCTTTCCAAAGGCTCTGACAACATCCTCAGGGTTGGCGAAGTCGCTTTTGATGTTGAGTTGCTCATCTGTGCTGTCTGCCTCGTCTAACGACCGGGCTGCGATGGCAACCTTGTAGCCTTTTGAGGCAAAGGCCTTGGCAGCTGGTATGCCTACCTTGGGCCCGGCGCCGAGGATAAGAACGACAGGAGACTTTTCGGGCATGATTGGAGATGTGAGAGAGAAGTCTGACGGTGTGCAGTAGAATAAGAAAGCAAGAAGCAAGAAAGCAAGACGCCTGTGTCTGTTCTATATACGTTCATTTCTGATTGAGACAAAGATCGGGACTGGGGGTTGAAATGCGCAATCGGTAATCGTTCAAGTGATTCAAGGCGGCGCTTCTTGTGCTAGTAGCGTTTGTAAGCATGCAGAATTCGCTGCTTTGGATTTGTGCTGCTTACAGCGGTTCAACTCCTAGGCCTATTAAGGATGCAAGCCAATCGCGGATCGACCAGTCAGATTCAGGGATTCATTGAATAATCACGGACCCGGACCCTTCGGAGGATCCGAACTTGCATGCCTGATGTCCAACTCCGTTCATCGCCAATGGTAGTCTTGTCTTCGAGTCCTCCGCTCCGGCTGACTTTCTTGACTTGTGTTTGTGTAAGCTTGGACATTTGCTATGCATTGGCTCCTTGAGTGCACTCGGTCGAGATAGACCTCCTGCGTAGCATTGTCAACACTTGCTACCTTGCAAGCCCGCACATGATGTGTATTATATACTTTCAAAAGAAATAGCAGTCGAGTTCATCGATATACTTGGGACTGCCGGATAGGAGGCGGTGATGCATATAAAACGAGATCAGAAGTCCGCCCCGTCTCGTGCTTTGTTTTCCATCAACCACCACATGAAGGAATTCGCAAGCTTTCACCATACATACCACTCCAGAACAACCCGATACACCTCATTCAAAATGGCGGACATGAAGAAGATCAAAGTCTTGGGAGTCCATGGCCCAAACGCTGGCAAGGTCATTGTCCTCTGCGAGGAGCTCGGAATCCCATATGAGACGGAAATCATCCCCCTCAACGACGTCAAGAACCCCAAGTACGTTGCCATCAACCCGAACGGCCGGCTGCCATCCATCCAGGATCCCAACACAGACCTAACGCTGTGGGAGTCCGGCGCAATCATCGAGTACTTAACCGACACATACGACAAGGCTCACAAGCTCAGCTTCGAGTCGGGCACAGCTGCGGCCTACCACGCTCGTCAGTGGCTCTTCTACCAGACCACCGGCCAGGGACCATACTACGGGCAGGCGATGTGGTTTATTATTTATCAACCACTTCCCGAGGCGCGCGAGCGCTATGTCAAGGAGGTTAACCGCGTGACCGGTGTTCTGGAGGGACATTTGGCAAAGCAGACCCCTGACGCGGACGGCAACTCTTGGTTCTTGGGCGGGCGGATCTCGTACGTGGATATCGCCTTCTTTACGTGGCAGCACACGGCCTCGCCGCGGATCCCGGACGTCGAGTTCAATCAAGATGAATTCCCGTACGTCAAGAAGTGGCACGACAACATGCTTGCGCGCCCGAGTGTGCAGAAGGTCCTGAAGATCCAAGAGACAAAATAGGTCTTGGTGACTCATTGTTGTGGGGGGGGTCTTTCTATCTTGCACGGGCGAGTCACTGCTGCGAGGGTGGGTAGAGCTAAAGAGAGGCTGTTGTTGATTGTACCTGTTGGAAATAGAATCAGATCATCTGTGGAAAATTCGTTTGCCGTCCGTATATCTTTCGTGTTGTGTATGAGTGTATTTTGGGGGTTGATGGTGTGAAGTCGGCCACTTCTATACCTACTGAGTTATGAAATAGTACTATGAATAGGTAACTCTGTATTGTACGCCCCCCTGCCCAATATTTCACGTTACCATGTTTCTTTGCAGGCACAGACCGAACCTCAATATTGTTTCCCGGTTCGTAATAAGTGGTTGGGTCACGAGAAGCCAGTCCAGACATCCTGAACATCCCGCAGGACGGCACTAGGCTTACAGCATCCATCCTGCTGCTATAGGCGAGCTAGATCTCTAATATAGTCTTATTTGTAAACAATCGCGCTGAAATAATTACGCAAATGCTGCTGTATAACGTCCCACACCTACTTCTCAGCCACCCCTATATTTCAGCTACCTACTTTTAATACCTTTATATTTATATATATTAACTTTAACTAATATTTATATATATTATAATACTATAATAATATAACTTTTACTATTATTAAGGTTTTTAAACTTACTAGATTTATTTATATTATTTTTAAGTTTATTTACTTTAATTTAAGCTTTCTAAATAGCTTTAATATTAATAAACTTTAAATTTAGGTTTATTTTAACTTTCTTCTATTTCTTAGTTTTATTAGTATTAATTTCTATTTATAATACTTTAATTTTTTATTACGCTACTACTAATTATTATACTTTTTTATTAAAGCTTTTCTAAACCTTTTAAAAAAGTAAGTACTATATATATTTATTATTATTTAATTTACTAAATAGGTTAAATTAATCCTAAAACTTATTCTTTTTCTTAAAAATTAACTAAAAAACTACTAATATATTTACTACTTATTTTTTATTTTCCCTACTATTAGAGAGCTTTTTATAAACTTAATTAGCTAGTTTAATAGGAGTTAAAGTATTTTTAAATATTAGAGGACTTATAAAAGGTTTAGTTATATTAATAAGCTATAAACTAATTCATTTCTAACTACTAATAATATTCTTATTTATTAAAGTTACTTTATATATTTTACTATAATATATAATAAAATTTCTCTTATTTATAATTATATTAGTATTTTATTTAGTTAGTAATCTAAGTTTTTTTTTATATATTACTTTAAGAAGTTTAAAAATTAATTAATTAAGTAGCTAAAAGATATATAATATATATACTAATAAGAAAAATAAGTATATCTTATTCTTAAAATATATATATATAAAAGTAATAGTTTTATAATTTCTATAACTATTTAAAATTAATAATTTAACTTCTAAAAAGTCTTTTAGTTAAGTTAAAAAAATAAAAACTTCTATTAATTACTTAATAGTTATAAAGTTTAAAGTTTATTTATTTTCTATAACTATAAACTTCTAAGATTTATATAGTATTAGATCTAAAAAAAACTATTACTATTAAATATTTTTATTTTTATATATAATAAATAGAAGTAATACTTTATTAGTTATAGAGATATACTTAATTAAAAATATCTAAGTATATAATTTAAGTTATTTTTTATAAATAAAATAAGTTTCTAATAATCTAAAAATAAGTTTATTTAATCTTCTACTTTTTAGAATATTAATCTTATTTATATTATATTAATTAGAGGTTTTAATAGTTATAATTTTAAGTATAGTAAAGTATTTAAATTATTACTTAATTATATTAATTAAAATTCTATTAATATATTAAGAATTAATTACTCTATTTTTTTGGATTTTTATAAATAGGTTTCTCTTAATAAAAAACTATATTTAGTTTTTTTTAAAAAACTAAAAGTTTTTATAAATTTATAGAATATATTTAGTAAAATTTTTAAGTTATTAATAAATTAAAAGTAAGTTTAAAGTAATTTAAATCTAAACTTATTTAGCTAAGTAGTTTTCTTAAATTATAAAAAACTTTTATAAATTAAAAAAAGTAATATCTTTTACTTAAGTACTATAAATTTAAAATTAAAATATTATTCTAAAAATATTATATTATAATAAAGTTTTTTATAAGTTAGTACTAGCTATAATAGTTTTAAATACTTAAGAAACTTTATTCTCTATATACTAATATATTTAGTAATTATTATATTTTATAGAAAAAATAATAATAATTAAGTAAAAATTAGTAAAGTTATTTAAGTTTAAAAATAGTAGTGAGCATTTTCGATAAAGTATTTTAGGGTGGCTGAAATGTGGGGGTAGCTAAGAAGTAGGTGTAGGATGTTACTCTAGGCGGAAAAGATAAACAGCCTTGTTTGCCTCGTTGTGTAAGTTGGTGCAAGTATTATGCATTCGCCTGAGTTCCTCGGACCTTGCGTATGTTCTTGGATCCTTGGCAAGCGTATCTAGCAGATGTAGAAATGGCTTGAGGAGATGGAGGTCTGAGAATACGCTCGGCGATGTCGGGTTTTGCGTTAGATTGTAGAGCATGCTGCTGGCTGCAGCAAAGAAAGAGTGAAGAAGCATCCTATAATGAGTCAAAGAAAGGACACAGAACGGTTGTGGATTCTAAGAGATTATTTACCAGATGCAGGAGCAGTCTTCGTGAGGGATGGCTTCAATGAGACGGATCGCTTTGCGTGACTCAGCGAGGCACAAACTGCCTGGGGGTAAAGATATTCCAGACCGGCCGACTTCTTGGTCCAAGGGAGATCGCGCCGTCAGGGATAAATGGCGATCAATCATTGTCAGACAATGAATATATGTGAGTCGTAGAACCACCTTGTGGATCATGTCCCCTGCGACTTGGGATCCTGAAGAAATCAGAAAGTCTTCGGGGGGTTCCAGCTGCGCACTGGACTTCCAATAGGACAACACAGAACTTAACTCTTGTGCCGCAATTGCCCTTTGTGCCTCCGTTTGTCGTCCAGCCCGGATCGAGTACAATTGCTTGTACACCTGACCCTGAATAACCGCAAGTCCTACGCGATGGTTGAAGAGTTCCACGTTACATGAGTCGAAGTTTGTGTTTGATGGCAGTCGGACATCCATGTCATCATCATCTTGGCCGAAGGGTCGACAGGTCCGTAGACTGATATCCTTGTCAAGGACGTATACCTTCCAAAACACCCGTCTCCGTATCTCCGCTTGTTTCTCAGTGAGACTTGGGTCGGACGCCTCTCTGTGCAGATTCAGAGCCTGTGCCAGGCGTAGGGCGGCGGCGACGAGCATCGAGGCCGGCTCCGGATTCGGGGTCCCCTGAAGAATGCAAGCCATACCAACCAGAGCTTGGACGGCAGAGATGCTAGCGACGTTCAACTCGGAGACGACGCTCAGGGCGTTTTTCATGTAAACACCCGCTAGATTATTCTCATGCGCTGGGTTCGATGTGCGCAGGCCGCGGAGACGATGAGCTATTGACAGCACGACATTGAGACACGCCCACCAACTGGCATCTTCGGGGTTGGAAGTCGAGTATTTGAGGTGGAACTCTCTCAAGAAGTCCTCTTCGTCAAAAAGCGGAAGGAATCTATTGTAGTTGTTGAAAGTTTCCTGGACCAGCTCCAGAGCGACTGCCTTTGAGGGAAGCTGCCCGTGCGCTGGTAAAGATACTGATCGTGTCTCTGGAGCAAGATGAGGCCATGGGCTGCCAGCTACAGGGTCAATTACAAAACCATGAACGGTGGAAAACTCGGGTTGGTCGTGGTTTTGTGCGCGCAATGCAACGTCAAGATCAAACTCTTGACTACTGGTGTGTTTTGACGACGGAATATGTGACTCGCTCATTGGAATCCATGAATTACTTTTCCTCGGGGATGTGATCAGTGCCGCTATGTTGGTTGTTACTGCGGAAGTTGTTTGCTCCTCACGCGAACTGTTTCCAGGCACAGTGGACTTATCTCCGTGAGACTTGATGTTCTCTAGTGCTGAGAGCCTTTCTTCGAGCTGTGCGATGTATTTGAAGCTGCGGAATGTTTAACAGGCGCAAGCTATATGAGCTAGAGTAGCAGACTAACCCAGCTGGTCTTCGAGGCTTCCTCTTCATTGCAATTGGCGTAAAATGACACCTTGTGCGATATTTGGTGCACTGAGCGCATCCTTGCGTGGTAGGTTCACAGCGGATCTTTTTCTTGCGGCACATGTCACAAGCCTTATTTTGTAGTGTCAAGAGAGGCGACATGATGTTAACTCTTCGGGTCAACTTACACGAACAATGGCTTGCTGGCCCCATCCCCCAAGACTAGGCTGGACCCTGGAATCCGTTTGTGACTCCATGACCTGCTGTGCAACGGTCGTATCTACTCGCGAGGCTGCAAGAAGAATCCTCAAAAGGCTTGGGCCTGATTGCTTAACTACTCAAAAGCAGCTTCGAGAAACCTGGTGGAGCAAAATGTTCTAAGACGGCACTCGATCAGTTGTCAAATCTCATCCCATTTGACGTGATGACCAGACAGCAGCAGATTGATTATAAATCAATTTCTTTGCCAATCATCAGCCTTGGGTATAGTAAGGGGGCTGACAATAGGCTCACGGGTACCCGTGGAAATGACTTTGTAAGCAGATTTGGCACACATATCTTTAGCCAATCGGAGGCTTGAATTGGATTTAAGCTGTCCTTGATTTCACAATTCAACCACGATGCAACCTCCAGGCCGACCCGCAGCATACAACGCCTCTTGTTTGGCATTATCTCTCTCGACTCGTTTCCAGATGTCTCCCGTACCTCTTCCGCTATTCAGAAAAGGGTCTTCTCCTTCTTCTGCAACGACAAGCTTATCAACCCGTTGCTGTTCAGCTCTATCCCAGAGCGACTCGCCTGTTGGAACCAGGCAGGGTCTGACAAACATGGCTAGAGACATTGAATGGCTGTTTCGAAAAATACTAACTAAAGAATAACAACCCAGCAACTCAGAACCCAGGTGAACACAAACATCTCCTGCTAAAGTGCGGTTCAGCGTATCCGGTTTTCTTGCCACCAGCTTTCCGGGGTACGCCAGGGCTAGGTGCCGAGAAAACTGGACCAGCCCGAGGTGCGAGGCCCGGAGCTTGGGATCGGAACTGGAGGGGCTCCGGAAAAGATTCGGGCGACATGGAGGACTCAGCTCACACGTTGTGGCACGGGAATAATGGGGCTGAGCGTCTTGTTCAAAGGGTGTGTTGGCTCGCATGCGCCCAAAACCTTCCAACATGGGTGGCTTCAAGGCAGCCAACCGCCAACAAGCGCCAAGTCCACATGTTACCCGGGTTGTTAGCCCATGCAGCACCTATTTCAGTTAGGCGGCAACATCAGGCTCAGCTGAGAGGCGTTGAATCGTGGCCGCCATTTCTGGCGAATCGTTTGGAGAAAGATAGGCAACAGCACTAGATCTCATACACGTGCTCCCGAGTCTGCCACCGACCCGTGTGCGCAGCTCAAAATCCCGACCTTTGCGTCGCCTCAAACTCTGGCGGTCAGCTTCTACATTACTAGTCATCATGTCTAAAAGCCGTCAACCTTTCAACCGTGACCGTGATAGTAGCTCAGAGGGCGAGCCTGTGAGGTCGATGTCACCGGCCATAACCTCAACCGATGGCTTGAACCTTGGGCTGGAAGCCAAGGTCAGACCCGTAACCCCCTTAACAAATTGCGAGAACTCCGCAAGTATCTGACACACCGAATAGAAAGGGAACGGCTGGCTCCGCAACAAAGTCGCTCCGGCGATGTGTTATGGTATCGCTACCGTGGGTCTCATTGCTGTTGGTCTTCCGGTGCTGATTTCGACGCCGGCTATTGGTGTGGCAGGAATCGCGACACACTCTGTAATTGCAGGTCAGCTTCAACCGCTCCACAAGCCACTGCTCTCATAACACTTGCCTTCGCAATTCCACGAAAGAATGGGCTTGAAGAGTACTGGCTTAAACATGATATTAGGCACTGTGGGACACTACGCGTTCATCTTGTTTTGCAGTGGTGCGGGCGCCGCGTTCAACATGGCTATTCATCCTTGGATGAGGACCAAAATGGGAGTTCCAGACAAGGGACTCTGGTACAGATTCGTTGGGAATAAATCCAGCTGTAAGGCAGGGCGAAGCGGCCGCAGTGAGGAGTAGTACGCCACAGATAGTATTGAGGCGACGAGCACCTGAACGGATGTTGCGGACACTCATGACACCCGAAAGGGCGGGTCTCAAAGTTCATGAAGATGGTGCTAGATTGCGGACCATGACTATGCGAAATTATATGTTCTAGTAAGGTTTGTCCTAGCCAGTTTGGACGCACTCGACGGGAGACTAAGGGTCAATCAATGCTTGGCAGTCCTGTGTTGTCAACTTGGTTATTAGGCTGTTGCACATCTCTCCGTCCTTGTTGGAGTTTACACCATTGGCACCACCGGCACCGTTGCAGATTGGTGCCTTCATCTACCGTTTCTTTCCGTTGACAGCTGCAGGAGAACCGCGATGGGCCCTTTTGAGGGTCTCGTCCAACGAGAGCACCAGTACTGTGAGCGTGGTCAGTCAAAATCTCACGTACCCGGAAAGGGAGGCTTACTCTTGAATGGGGCTTGCTGTAATTGGCGTGGCGATCGTAAAGGCCAAGAGCGCCAAGGTGATAATTTCACATTTTGAAACATTTTGATCTCTCACAGATGATGCAGAAAGAAACGCCGAAGATTGAGATGAATCATAAAGTCAAGATCCATTCGCTTGAACGGCGGTAACAGCTTAGCTATTCAAACTTGTCAGACGGAGATCTACTTCATCGTTGCCAACTGTTGAAACGCACCGTTCTCGGAAAGTATGATACAACTAGTCATCGAAGTAGCGTTGACGGGCGTTGTTAAGTCGCAGCAAGGACATAACTAGAGACTTAAGTTGAGCCTAGACACTCGAAGGCCACCAATCGACCCGCGCTTTCGCACCTCTATGCGGAAGCTATATAGGGAGGCCTGTGGCTGCACCAACCCTAGGCCTCACTACTGCTAGACGTCTCAGCTTCTCAAGTTCGTCTGATGCGTCTCAGATTGCCAAGGGTGGCAGCCGGTCTCCAGCCGTAACTGACTTGTTATCGACTCATCACCCAATGAAGGTTCAAGCAGGTTGTCTAATGTCAGTAGAGTTTGCTTTCGGCGTTGGGGTAGAGGGAAAATGTGGGCAGATTCAGCCTTAAGGTTCTCTTCGCTGTGGAAATACCCTCGTCGCAACCAACCTACAACGGTATATTATCCAAGTGGGTTTACCTGGAGGTTCTTGATACGAGAACTTACGAGTAATAGGACCTACGAGTAATAGGCAGCCAAGCCTTCTTAGAGCCTTATCTCAAAAAACCACCAATGGTAGACATGTGTTGACTAGGCGTTGGCACGTTGGTGGTGAACAGACAACGTTGCTGGGCTGTTTTACGCCCCCGACAGAGTTTAGGTTACCGGGAAGACATACATACCCGTAGAATCGCACACCTTTAGAAGTGGTCACGCAGACCAAAAGATACGGCTCAATTGCGAAAAGGACATGCACCTTGACGGCTGTTTTGACTATAAGTAGTGGCGATGATCACAGCTTGCCTGCCAGAAATCTTGGACCTCACAACAACCTCACAACTTCAGCCGTTCAGTCTAATACGCCAACAAAATTCACTACCATCTACCATGCGTCCCACTACCACTCTCGTTGGATTGTTGTCCGTGGCCTCGGCCGCCATGGCAATGCCTACCCTTCCCAAGGAGCCTGTCGCCGCGCTTGTCGCCGAGTCTGACACCAATGAGCTTGCAACTTTGGGCTTGTTTGGTGATGTCGATGATATGTTTGACCTTCCTTTCAAGATAGGTCGAACTCTCTTCAAGCCTTTCACAGAAAAGAAGTTTGCCACCCCTGACGGGCGGCGCATGAGCTTGGTGGAGCTACTCATAGAGAGGATGGAACGTGAAGTCGCGGAACAGGAGGCCGAGGGTGCTGATGGAAACAATCCCACTGAGCCTGGCACCGAGGACGCGCCTGCCACCGAGGGCGAACCTGCCACCGAGGGCGAGCCTGCCACCGAGGATGGTGCTAAGGATGACGCCGATCTCGACGCCTTCTTGTCCATATTCAAGGGGCTTTCAGAGCAGGCTCCGAGGAACGACTAAACTTAGTCCGACACCAAGGACGATGCTGAAGATGACGGCGAGCATATTTATTGTCTTGAAAGGTAAATGCCAGCCAGTTCTCTAGAAGCTGAGACGAGATACTGACTATAAACTTAAGTCTTAGAACCAGCTCTCAAGGATCCAGAGATGGATGTATGGTTAGATGATAATTATCTCAGGCTTTGAACAATCGATAGTAAGTCTGTTTCTCCAATCTCGCTCAAGGTCTCGCTGACTCGATAAAGAACTTTCGCTCTTCTTCAGTGCCGTCAGGTCTTCTTCGTCTTTCAATCATCATCACATCGAAGCCTAGGTTCACTATTTAGAGGCATTGGTTGAAATGACATCAGCTTCGACGGCATCAGTTGTAGTGAAGTGATAGTGATAGTAATTAAATTTACTATGCAGTTTAAAATGCTCTGACCCATGGATATCGAATGTGTCCGTCATACGTCGGCCTATTATAGACGGCGGTTCTTTCGAGGCCCTGCCTGGTCGTGTTTGCAACCAAATTAGCTCCCTGTGTCCAGGGACGCGTGACGAGCATCTTCATTGACGCTTAAAGTAGACCAAATAACAAGGGCAGGTAGCCGGTGAAAAGAGATGTGATCAGCTTGGTTGCCGTTCCGCCACACTCAATCTTCTTCACTGCATCGCAGAGCCAAGATACTCCAGGTGTGTCACATGTGGTTTGTGTGAAGTTGACCGACAGACATGTGATGGGCAAGGAGAAGAAAACGTACACCAACAGCCAGATGGCGAAGTAGAATGGTACGGCCGAAACAGTGAAGAGAGCCCTTGAGCGAGACTGCTTGGGCAGACGCAGGTTGAGCATCTGTGCTTCCGGAGGTAAGGTGAATGTCAATGGATCTTGATCCCAATCGGCGGTGATCATCTTGTTATCGGAGTCCATTTTGGATCTTGCATCGGTGTTTTCATTTTATAACTCGAAACTTGGTGTAAGCTAGGCTTGAAAAGTTTGATGCGGAGAACCGTGACGTTTTCGGGCTGTGGGGAGCGACATATTTATATTAGTCAGGGACGCATGTGCGACCGGCTATGATTCACTGCTTTCTACATTTTCCACTCCATTTTGAAAGGCTAGAGTCGTCAGGGAAGCGTGAGTCACTACTCGGATACCTGCATGAATCACTGGTTAAGGTATTTTTTGGCCGGTGGCATCAGCTTTCGAAAAGGCAGACAACAAGAACCCTTCCCCGTGATGTTGCAGACATTCGAGTACTTGCGCATATATTTAGATATGATGGAGAATTCAAAGCTCAACTCGTTATGAAGTTGAGGCAAGTGCTTCCATCAAAGTCAGCTTACCCAGCCGTGATGCTTGTTACGACTGGTTGCTTATGGCAACAATTTCCAACATCATGACGGGAGTCTCCCTCCAATACTTACCTATTTGCTCGCGGCTGGAACCTACATGAGGCTACCATAAGATATAGCCCGGCTAGTTTATTAGAAGCTAGCTTTGTGATATTCTGATGTTTGTTAACCTCTGTTCCGAAGAAGAGGCGCATGTCGGACTTCACAATGCCGTTTGTGTCCGTCAGTGGGGACTCTCACCGGGTCTCCCGAGACTGCCGTGGACTGCGGACTCTGGATATCTTCGACCGTTGCCGAACATGCAGAGAACAAGGGCAAGTTGCAAAAAGGCGGAGTAAAGATCGATGCGCTGTTTGCGTAAATGTTGCGCGCGGGCTTCTTACACGTCGGCATTATACACTTTGTAGCTTCGTTTACAATATCATTGAGATGCTTGCGTGGACACCGGCAAAGACATCTCCCGGGCCTTGAGTACCTTAATGTTACTCAGTTGCGGGCTTTTAAAGCACGGACTGCTCCGGAGCCGTAGACTTTGCGACTCATTATGAATCATCATGGCCTGTGGAGAAATGGCGCGTGGTACAGCACTCACGACTTCATCGACAGAAACGAGATTCGACTTTAAATGCATTCAAAATGACTGTGGAGGGCCTGTTCCTCAACATTGTAGCAAGCAAGAAGCTTCTCGATTCATCCTGACGTCTTGATATCACGCACATTTTTAGCACCCTCCTCGAAAACTCCTATCCAAGTTTCCACGGTCCCGAACCACCAAACATGAAAGCATTCCGATTCCACGGAGCCGACGCGGGTCTCCGTCTCGAGATTGTCCCGGTCCCCACTCCCGGCCCCGGCCACGCTCTCATCCAAGTCAAAGCGGCCGGTCTCTGCCACTCAGACACACACGTCCTCCACGGGGGCGGTGCAGCGTGGATGTGCGCACTTCCAGTCACTTTAGGTCACGAAGTCGCTGGTGTGATCACCTCCTTTGGTGACGACCCCCCGCCGTCTTCACACTTCAAGGTTGGCGACCGCGTCGCCGTCGCCTGCGTCGGTCACCCCATTGACGAGCGCAACTTCCAAGAAGCTCTCGGCGTCGGTTGTGATGGCGGCTACGCCGAGTACGCTGTTGCACCGCTCAAGAATCTTGTCAAGATCCCCGATACTGTCGACTTCGCTTCAGCCGCGGTCGCCACGGACTCTATTGCAACGGCCTACCACGCTGTCGTCACAGAAGGCGCTGTGAATGACCGTTCAACGGTCGCTGTCATCGGTCTAGGAGGCCTGGGGCTGAACGGAGTTGCCATAGCCGCTTTAAGAGGTGCCAGGGTCTTTGGTGTTGACATCAACACGTCGAAATTCGATCAAGCTCGGTCGCTCGGCGCGGTTGATTGCTCCACCAGTCTTGCGCAGTTCTCCAAAGAGAAGTTTGACGTCATCTTGGATTATGCCGGCGCTCAAGCAACTGTTGAGGCGGCTGTATCTACAGTGAGACCTGGTGGATGCGTTGTGCTGGTGGGTCTGGCGTCCGAGAAGATTCAAATCACAACAACGGCGATTGTAACGCAGAACATTTCGCTCAAGGGTTCTACAAGCGCAAGCATACCAGAGTTCCGGGAGGTGCTTGATTTGCTGGCTTCTGGAAGATTGAAACCTCATGTGGAGGAGCTCCCATTTGAGGATGTTCCTAAGGGATTGGAAATGCTGGGCAATGGTCAAGTTAGTGGTCGGCTGTACACCGTACCGAAGCCCGCTGGCGATGATCTTGATAGTTAGTTGTACGCTAGAGGCCGGTGATGGCATTGAAACCAAGCTGAATTCCGTTGACTTATCACACAGACTTTGTATGGGCTGCGCATCTAATGTTAACTTACTGCAAAATCGTGTCAGTAGTACGGCGGATGTATTATCAACCGGGATCACTGGGCACTTTTAGGGACCGAGGCGACTGCATGGTACCTCATTCAGGTACGTGCCCGAAAACTCGGCCGAGTGGGCTCGTTTAGTGTTATCAAACTTTTGCTATGATGACTGCCAAGTTTTGTAACAGCCACCATCGTCCGAGCCGCTCGTTGTTGCAAAGGGAGCATATCATATGTACGGATAAAAGAGAGACGAACATCCACCCGGGGTCGGTCCGCGGATCGCGGCCTGACAACGCACCACCAGCGAGCCTGGCAGCGCCAGGGTCCAGCTGTTCGTGGTTAGATTACGCTTAACCAAGAATGCAATGCAAGATGTGGTCCCGCGCCCCCGCTGCGGCAAAAACAACCTCTGAAAGGCTGGGAGCAATACGAGATGATCGTCGCTGTTCAACCCACGTTTCTGGTCGCCCAATGCAACGACCATTACTGCGGGAAACAACGTTGCTCTCAAGGGACCTATCGCAGTGACTCGCAGTCGCTCGGTTTCTTTCGCTTTCTCATTTTGCCTCCCCAGCATCGTCATTAGCTCTCCGGGTGCCTGTCAAACTTCGCTTGCGGCTCCAAGATGCCGCCTGGCTGGGCGCGCTGGGCCCGAACCGTAGACTCCTTTCATCTTCACCGGGTCCAAAATGTTTCCTGATGAACATAAGAAATCATCAATCTAGTCATGCCAGTTGCTATTTCTGGACATTCTCCGCGCAGTGGACCCCTCCAAGCCCTCGACCGGGTGACCCGATGCTCTTGGCCTCGCATTCGGAGGCGGTGATCGTTGGCCCCCGTCGGAGTTTAGTACCGCGGCCTACCTACCGGACAGGCATTCCCCACAGAATGGTTCCCTCCCAAGTGACGGTGACGTCGAAATCATCAACCTCACCTGTACGACGACCGCCCTGCCCGACTTGGCGAGGATGCCTGCATCTATCGTAGCTGTGTATTTTGAGTATAAAGGACCGCAGGCCAGCCTCTCCTAACAGCTCCTCTAATCATCTCACTTCACGATCTTACTCATCACATAATCTCACCTGCTCAAATATCTTCAACCAACACAACCGAACATCACCAAAATGCAGTTCTCTCTCGCCACTGTTGCCGCCCTCTTCGGCGCCTCCGCCCTTGCGGCTCCTGCTCCTCAGGCCACCGACGCTCCCACGCCGTCCGAGAACATTGTCATCAACGACTTCTCCGTTCGCAAGCAGGTGAACGGCACCCTCAGCTACATCAGCTTCACCCTGTCTGGCGATGATGCGACGGACCTCGCCTGCTCCGGCGCCAACCCCGCGCTGCCCTCCGAGGTCATCACATGCGGCGAGTCCAAGTACCGCTTCACCCTGAGAACGGGTGCCGAGTCTGAGTTTGCCCTGCGCATCTACCACGAGCTCGGCCTTGCGTAAGTTTTTCTCTCGATTTTGGGAATCTGGCGGTTCATTAACTAACATGACCGCATAGTGTCGGTTTCTGGGGCGAGGGCGATGTTCCCGCCTACTGCCATGCTGGCGGCCTTGGTGACCTGCTCTGCAACCAGGTCAACGCCCCTGCGACGATTGTCATCGACAACACCCCTCCTCCCGTCAACCCTTAAATGGAATTGAGGAGAGAGCTGGAGAACGAATTAGTACATAATGTGTAAAATTTCTGTAAATAATTTGCGATGCCAATCGCTGCTGCAAGCCGTCGTGGCGCCAGCAATAGACTTGTTCAAAAGTTATCCAATTTTATGTTGCCGTGGCGCGGGTCTGTTGGGTCGCCTTGAGTACGTTGATTGAGAGAAGATGATGCGATCAACCAATTTGGGTTTAAAATTGACGCAAGCACGTATTGTTCGGTATTATTTGATGGATATACTGGAAGAACCAGTTGCGACTAGTGAGAGATCCAAAGCGAGCTCATAGCATAGCTGAACCACCTGCATCCAGACAGAATCCAGTGATCATCAATTGGGCTGCGCTGTTGAACCTATGATCAACCCGAAACTAAGGGGAACACGCATATTATGAGCGGAATATACTAGAAAATAAATTCAGAGCTGGGATCTTGGACGATGGAAAGCATGGTTGATGCTTTTGGACCGCCTGCAACAGTCCCAGCTTGATGCTCAACGAACCTCACTCGCCTCGGTCAGCGAAGGTGAGCGAAATCCGGCGAAGATGTAAAGCGCACAGGCCATGCTTGGTGGGGCAGAGAAGGTACAGTCGGGAAAAGGTCAGTCCTTCCGTGGTGGTTGCCCGCCTTACCTAATCCGGGTACCTGAGCACCTAAGGTGGCCAGGGTGAGGTAGGCACGAGCATCTTGCGTAGCTGTGGTAGCCTCCCACCAAACACCCATCAGCCTCGCCCATCGATCAACAATCCCACGACCCTCCATCACGACACCCCGCGAAACCCGACCTCACCCCTCCCATACTACCTCCCACACACAGCAGCTCGACCAATTGTCAAAATGTCCGAAGGCGCGCTGAAGCCCGAGAAGGACTTCTCGAAGGAGACCGACAAGCAGATTCCGGAGGCCGAGAAGCTCGCGAAGGTGGGCGGCGTCGAAATTGCCGGCATCTGGAGCTCTTTCTGACTGACTTTTGTTTGCAGAGCGATATCTCAGCTGCCATCGAGAAGCTTAGTGTGCTGGAGAAGCAGACCCGCCAGGTCAGAACCCCGCCTCTCCCTTCGCCGACGTCACCAAGCTAACCAGCAGCAGTCCTCAGATCTTGCGTCGACATCGCGTATACTCATCGCCATTGTCACGATTGCCAAGGATGCCGGGGACTGGAGCTTGATGAACGAGCAGGTCTTGGTTCTCTCCAAGAAGCATGGCCAGCTCAAGCAAGCTATTACCAAGATGGTCCAGGCCGTGATGGGCTTCCTCGACTCTACACCGAACCTCGAAACGAAGCTCACCGTGATCGAGACTCTCAGGACGGTTACTGAGGGCAAGATCTTCGTCGAAGTCGAGCGTGCGCGCGTCACCAAGATCCTCTCCGACATCAAGAAGAAGCAGGGCGATCTGAGAGCGGCGACGGATATCCTGTGCGAGCTGCAGGTGGAGACCTTCGGTTCCATGGACCGTCGGGAGAAGACCGAGTTCATCCTGGCACAAGTTGCTCTCTGCATCGAGAGCGGCGACTGGACCCAGGCGGGCATCCTCAGCCGCAAGATCAGCACCAGATACCTCTCGCGAAAGCCTAAGAAGACTGCCGAGCAGCTGGAGAAGGAGAAGAAGGAGCGTGAGAAGAAGAAGGCAAGGGGCGAGGAGGTCCCCGAGGAGAAGGAGGACGACACGACCGACCTGAAGCTGCGGTACTATGAGCAACAGATCATCCTTGCAAAGCACGATGACAAGTACCTCGATGTCTGCAAACACTACCGCCAGGTCCTTGACACCGAGGCTGTCGAGGAGGACCCTGAGAAGCTTCACCCCGTAAGTTATTGTGGCACTGAAACTGATGATCTGTTTTCTGACTATCTTAGGTTCTGCAACGCATCATTTACTTTGTGATCCTCGCTCCCCACGACAACGAGCAGCACGACCTTCTCCACAGAATCCAAAAAGACACCAGAGTTAGCCAAGTCTCTGAAGAGGCTGAGCTCCTGAAGCTCTTTACCGTCCACGAGCTCATGCGCTGGCCCGAGGTCTCCAAGAACTTTGGCCCGCATCTCTGCGAGACGGACGTTTTCGACGCCCAAGCAGGCCAGTCCGGAGACGAGAAGGCGCACCAGCGCTGGCAGGATCTCCGCAAGAGGGTGATTGAGCACAACGTGCGCGTTGTGGCCAAGTACTATACCCGCATCCAGATGAAGCGCCTGACACAGCTTCTGGACCTCACCGAGGACGAGACCGAGAAGTACATCAGCGAGCTCGTCACCTCCAAGACCATCTACGCCAAGATCGACCGCCCCGCGCGTATTGTCAGCTTCGCAAAGCCCAGAGACGCGGACGACATTCTCAACGAGTGGAGCCACAACATGAAGAGCCTGCTCGGCCACCTGGAGCGTATCGACCACTTGATTACCAAGGAGGAGATGATGGCCAACATCCAGCCCAGTGGAAGCTCCAAGTCGAGCAAGGGAAAGGCTACCAAGGCGCATTAGAACGGTTCTTACGGTTACCAGGGACGGGGATATGGCGTGTAATTGTAGAACACTAGAGGCAGGCAATGAACAAGACTGGGACGCGTAAAACGGTTTCGGTCTATGCTTTGATGAAGCTTTGCGTCTATGTCTATAACGTGATCTATCATGTCCTCGTGTGTTTCTAATGCCCATCAGACCTTGCTCTTCGCCGCCTCCTCGTCCGCAATCTTCTTGATAAACCCAATCAGCGGCATAGCCCACTCCTTGGAGATGGGCACGTAATGTCCGCCGGGATGGACGACAACCATAGGCTGCTCGCATCTCTCCACCAGTCCCTGACTCCTCGACTCCTCAACGACAGTGTCCAAGCTTCCCAGGAAATGCAGCGTGGGCGTCTTGATCTTCGGCTCATACGCCCACTGCAACTCCGGAGGCGGCGCAAAGAAGCCACAGTACATCACCGCAAACTTGAATGGCTTCCCGCCATTGGCCTCCCGCAGCTCCTGCACCCAGGGCCGCATCTCCTCGGGGACATCGCGGTGCGGCGTCTCCAGCATGGCGGTCAGCAGGCCCGCGAAGGCGGCGCCCTGGCTGAAGCCGACGACGCCGTCGACGTTGCCGCCCGCCTCGCGGATCGCGGCGGCGACGGCGCGCACGCCGGCGTCGAGGTAGCGGTAGGTGCCCGAGGCCTCGTCCTTGCGCCACCAGGCCCAGGCGTCGAGCTCGACTTCCTCCTCACCGTCGGCCGGGGGCTCGTAGCCTGGGATGTCGCGCGGAGAGAGCTTCGTGGGCCCGGTGGGGTAGATGAGGGCGGTGGCGAGGTTGAAGGGGGCGAGGGATTTGAGGATTAGTTTCTCGAGGGCGCGGGTCTTTGAGCGGAAGAGGGGGCCGGATTGGGTGTATCCTGGGTGTGTTAGTGATGGGTGGTTGAGAAGGTGGGTGGCGGGGGGTTGAGTGGTTTGAGCCGGGGTTGATAAGGTGGTTTAAGAGGCTGGTGAGGGAGATGTAGGGGAGCGGGTACATATCTTACCGTGAAGCATGAGGATCTTGATCTCCTTCTTTCCGTTGGGCTTCTTTGCGGCGCCGTTTGGCGGGGGGTTTGTTATGGTGGACATTTTGCAGGTGAAAGTGTGGGCGAATAGGAACGGCTGCTGGGAGGTTGAGGCAGGTGAGAAGTTTGGTCTATGAGAAACAAGTCTACTATTAATGCGAAGTTGAAGCGGGAGCCTCATGAGAACATCTATGAGCAGGCTGAGAAATGTGTTGGTGAAGTCAAGTTTGTGAGGTGAGAAGGTGGGTTCTGACAAATCCACCGCATGACTCTACGCCGAAACATGCCGAACGGCGTGAGATAAGTTATCTGATCGAATACTCAGACAAACAGTCTATTACTGCGAATAAAACATGGCACATTGAATGTGAACTTATTGCCAATGCCAAGAGGAAAACTGCAGCTCATGGCCATCTGGGATGGGATGCAGGCTCGCCGGGGTGAGTCTGATGACATCACGTGATATCCGCTCCGGCCGTCCGGGCCCCTCGATGATGTCCGTTGCCCGGAGCGTCCTCCTGCATGCCGAACGGATCAATCGGACATGCCCCGGCCTCACGGTCGCTTAACAGCGCTCGTCTTCTCGGCGGTCCTCTAGTAGGCTTCAATTCTCGCACTCGATTGAATCCGGCCGATGCCCGATATCACCGAGCCAAACATCCCCGCGAAGCACCAATCACTTGGACAAAGGATCAAATAGGATTAGTACAACAGCTCAATTGACTCCCGAGCCGTCAGTCTATGGTACAGCGTCCGTAAAGTACGCGTCTGGCGGGTCTCGTCTGTATGATCCCTCCCCCGAATGCTTCTATGCCATAGCCCGGAAAACTTGTCCCATGTCAAGAGAAACCGCTTAGTGCTTGTTCTTGGCGAGGGGGTTGCGGGCGTCGTTCTTCCACTCGTCGGCTGCGTTCCTCCATGTCAGTACGGATTCGTTGCGGGAGGCGGAGCCGCGACATACACTTCATCATGGCGTTCTGGGCGGAGTTGATGCCGTAGGCGATGACCAGACCTGTTGTCGCACATATCAGTCCCTGCTGTTTTCTTTCTCGCGCGCATTGTTCCTCCTCAAATTCCCATCGCATTCACTTCGTTTCGGTTCTCGTCGAAGGGTTTTTCAATCGCGGGATGGGTGTTGGGACCTACCGGCAGCGAAGAAGGGCGCCATCGGCTTAACTACAAGGGATGTTTAGCATTTCGCGACAACCGACGGGGGGATGCAGGCGCTGGCAACTTACGGACGGGCGTGGGGTACTTCTTGAGGGCGCGAGCTCCGAGCCAAGACATCTTGTCGGTTTGTGATGGGGGATGAGTGACCGGGAGGGTGGAATTGAACGAGGTTTTGGAGGGGCGGTTGTTGATTTCGGGTTCAACGTGCAGCTACTCAGGACGAGCCTTTTTCCTCCGATTGAGCTTTCGGCGGTTGGACCCGTAGCCGAGATGCGGCGGTTGTGGCCTGAGGCTGCAAGTTGCCAGTTGAGCGCTTAGGTAAGGTAGCTGCGCACGTGCCAGCGATAACTTGTGGAGGCATCGCGGCTTCATTCTTTGATCATAGTCACGTAATGGCGATAATATACTGATCCATTCTTGCCAACTTCAATCAGTGGGCTTTCTGTAGCGGGTAGCTCCATCTTTTGACGCAACTTGTGAGTACCAAGAATGGTGTCTCCATTGGGAATTTGTCGATACGATTGATGTGTCACGTGACGTATTCCTTCGAGACAAGCTTTCATTCTCAACGGCTGCGTATCGCCTCAATCGATGATCTATCAACACCTGCTTGAAGTACTCAATGCTTCGCAAAGAATACAAACATATGAGTACTTACACAGTGTATGCAGCCGTACTGAAGAGACAAAAGATATGGGCCATTCGTACGAGAGCCGCAAGCAATCGTATCACCCTCACAGAAACGGGTAACATCGGCGCAACGCCGGAACGATTGTCCGCCGCTTGTTTCTTCCAAGATGGACTTCCCACACGCCCCTCTGCCCCAGTATCAAAATCTCATATTTCTGGCCTGTGATTTGCTTTTCTTAGCACCTGAATCTAGCCGTTGAATCTACCCGAGAAGGCGATGCCACCAGAGTCAGCTGATTGCTACGGGCCATCACCTCGGGAGGTGTCCCGTTTCCCCACATGGACCCCTGTGCGGGTATCGCTGAAACAATTGTCCGTCGCCCCTTCTGGCCCCGAACACCCCTGCTGACAAGGACCATGTGACATCATTCGACCCTTCTCCGCATCTGGGCGCATTTGGCCGGGATACGTACCGTGCCTGCAACTGCCCAGGAGCTCAGCTCCCACGTCCGCTGCTCCGTGCCGTCGCTGTCAGTTGCAAGTGAGGTGGGAAGCGGGCGTCAGCTTTCCCCAGGTTCGGGGCCCTTGCTAAGCATGGATTGGCGTGCTGGCGTGGACGGTGGTGCTTGATCAGGACGAATAGCGTCGCAGCAGCGTGGAGGAAGAGAGGAGAAGCACCAGTACACAGCCGGTAAAGAGTTGCAGGCAAGCAGCAGGAACTCAAGGGCACGTCGTAGCCGAGCAGGCAAAGAGCAAGCAGCCAAAACGTCCTCCTCCCTTGTGTCACATTTCTCCCACGTCTTGTCCTTCCTGCCACACTACACTACCTCACACTACACTCACACACACCACCACCACCACCACCAAACAGACGCCTGCCACACCTCCTACCTGAAGCTGTCTCTGCATTGCGTTGCGCTCTCTCCTCCCATCCCTCCCTCAAAAGTGCGGGGGAAGCACGTTCAAAGACACTCAGGTCGCACGGTTGTAGGCCGACCATCAGCCCGTACTCGTCCAATTACATTCGTCCCATTTGCCTAGTCTACCATTCTGCCGCTTCCCTAAGACGCAAGCACGGTCTCGACCACCACCTCGACCACAAACAAGCAAGCACCTCCTCTCCCCAGCTACCTATCCGTACCTTACCACCAGCTACTACCACCATACCGCTGTTCTGCTACCAGAGACCAGGCCACCAACACCTTCCGCCCGTCGCCGCCGCCGCTGCACGCCGACTTGCTTCCCGTTCTGTGCTCCAGTACCAATAAACCCCTGCTCTCGGGTGCTTCCTGCTTCTTGCCGATCGAGACATATCGAATATCGTTTTCCTTTCCTCCTTCCACATTCCCGTGCCAGAGGCTTGTTACCTGCAAACAAAGAGCTTGTTTGTCCTTCTTTGTCGGACCCGACGGACGACATACCTCTCGCAGCAGACAAGACACCTCTAGGTCACCTCGTCATCACCAACCACCAATCCCACCCTTTCATCTACACCTACCTCTCTTCCTCCAACACCTTTCGCAATGCTGAGCCGTCCATTGGTGCGAGCTGCCGGCGCGGTGACCCCGCGTTCCGCGCTGCGAGCATTCTCTACCACGAGCCAGCAGCTGAAGGTGCCCTCCATGGCCGACGTCAGCGCCGCCCCTCAAAGCGTCGCCTCCTTCAACGAGAAATCGAAGCAGTTCCGAGAGCAGTTGGTCGAGCAGCAGAAGCAACGGGAAGCAAGTGCGTATCAGTCCTCTCCTCCCCCCTCCGCCTCTGAGTCCGCTAAGGACGGCATCTCATCTGTGATTGCTACTTCAGGACAGAAGGCCGAGGCCACCCAGGAGCCTCCGCGGAAGGCCGGGCCCTTGACCAACCTCATCTACGGTACCAAGGAAGGTCGCGAGCTCGATGCGCAGCTCGAGGCTAGCTTTAGTCAAGTCCTTGCCCGAGGCAAATACGTTCACTCGATCGTTTTCCACGAGGTCAAGCCTGACAAGGTCGACGAGTACACCGAGCTCGTAGGAAACTGGTACCCGCGCATGGCCTCCATGCCGGAGAACAAGGTCCATCTGGTGGGAAGCTGGAGGACTGAGGTTGGCGACTGCAACACTTTTGGTATGTCACTTTCAAGGAGCTCAGGCACGACCGAAACAGCTGCTAATATTAGCTTAAACAGTCCATATTTGGGAGTACCAGAGATACCAGGGTTACCACGAGTCGATCCACAACATTGGTTCCCACCCCGAGTTCGCCGCGTTCGACAAGAAGCTCAAGAGCTTGATCACCTCGAAGAAGACATCCCTTATGCAGGAGTTCTCCTTCTGGCCCACGACGCCTCCCCGCCAGCTTGGCGGCGTCTTTGAGCTGCGATCCTACACTCTGCACCCCGGTAACCTGCTTGAGTGGGAGACCCACTGGAGACGGGGCCTGAAGGCCAGACGTGAGGTCATGGAGGGCGTCGGCGCTTGGTTCGTGCAGATCGGAGATCTCAACACAGTGCACCACCTCTGGCAATTTGCCAACCTGGAGGAGCGCAAGATCCGTCGTGAGAAGAGCTGGAGCGTTGAGGGTTGGAGCGAGACCGTTCACAAGACTGTTCCTCTTATTCAGACGATGAAGTCACGGATCCTTGTCCCCATGCCTTGGTCGCCTACTGCGTAAGACGGCATCAGACATGGTGTCTGTCGTATTTTCTTGCCTGCTATCGGAACCCGACGTCGCACATGTCGAATTATCACACCATCGTTAACTCGTCGATGCACGTACGATTAGTGCCAAGGGATTACTTCCGTTGGCCTTTACTTCACGCGCTGGTAGTAAGCGCATGGAGGCATACCCGTCACGAAAGCTCGGCCAGGGCCATCGGGTTTGGTCTGCATGGATTACCACGGGTTGCTAAGGGCTTATAAGTGTACAGAATTCTGGTAAACCCAGCACATAAACATAGGAATTCAAAATTGTAGCCTGAGTAAATGCATCCGTTCCCAAACGCCAGGGTATAACCTCAAATGCTATGACCAAGGCCAGAGTGCCATTTTGATCCACCAATGCGATGCTTAATTTAATGTACAATGCTCACTCGTCGACCTCCTCTCCCATTACTGCAGCAAGATTCCTCCTCGCGCCCGCCAAAGTGTGCCCCAACGCAACCAGCTTGGCCGACAGACTCATCAGGTTTGGATCAGGCAAGCTCTCAACCCTCACCTTCTCCCTCACGTAGACCTCGTTCGGCTCCCCGTTACTCGACGGCGTACCCAGCCCGCTGACACTGGTCTGCCCGCTCCTGGGATGCGCCCCGCCGTGTTTGTGCTTCTCCCCGCCGTCCGTGATGCTACTATACGCGAACCGGAACGGGCGGTCCATCTCATCGTGCTCCAGCCTCCTGACGGTGCCGAGCGCCAGGCCGAGCTTTGTGCCGAAGCTCGGCGGCGCGTCCACGGGCTCGAGGGCGCGCAGCCAGAGCACGAGGGACGACTCCTGCAGGGAGAAGTGGACGGAGATGTTGGGCCCGAGGGGCGGCGCGAAGTGGATGGGCGGGCAGGAGTCGGACTGCCAGGCGGGATCGGAGGCGTTGAGAGGCGGGCCGCGGAGGAGGGCGGAGGACTCGGTCAGAGAGGCGTAGAGGATGCGCAGTTGGGCGGCGAGCTGGGAGGGGTTCGAGGAGGGTTGCGGGGTGGAGGTTAGGGAGAGGAGGTCGATGCATTCGGTGAGGTGGGTGTGGATCGTCTCGAGAGCGGCGATGTGGATTGGGTGCGAGGGGTCGAGGGCAATGGTTTGGGTTGGGAGGGTTTTGAGCTGGAGGTTGACGGCCTGGAGAGGGTTGATTGTCAGTTGAGGGGGGAGTTAGAGGGATGGATGGGAGACGTACGCCTTTTACTATCCTTGTGCCGACGCGGGTTACTGTGCCTTTGACGCGCTCGTTACGCTGCGTGGACATGACGAGGGTGCTGCCCGGGTCGATTGGCGCGAGGAGGGCGTAGCAGTCTTGCAGGCCGTGGCGGATGTCGCTGAGGATTGTGTGGGTTTCGTTGACGATCCATTCTAGCTCGCGCTTCTTTGGGTCGATCCTGATTAGCATCTTGATCTATGCGACAGCGTCTTCGCGACAGGTTGAGGGAAGTTTTGAGCTTGGGAGTCTGGGAGACGTACGAGGGTTTCCTCCGTTTTGAGGGCGAGCTGGTCAGGGGCCACGGGAGGCCAGATTGCTATAGACATGACTGCCTGCTGCTGAATTGAGAGGTATATGTGGTTTGATCGAGGTGCTCGTAGGCAGCAAGGCTGGAGGTTGCAAAGGAGCCGCGGCGGGCGTAACGAATTGAGGTGTCTGGTGTTTTAGCTCATGGTTGGATGTTGGAGCTTCGCATTGTAGTTCGTCATCGTGGGAGGTCTGGGGTCAGTGGGTTGACGCGCGCTAGTGGGCTCGAGCAGGGGCCTGCTGGAGCTGCAGATGCTGCACCGGTGCGGGTGCATGTGGACCCACTCTTTTGCACTTTTTGCGTTCCTGGCGGCGAGTGAGGCACCCATTGAACATGTATTTTCATCTTCATCACAGCTTCTATCTTCAGCTAATACTGATTGACTGGGTTAGACCAACCCAATATTAGGGAACAATACTTACAATTCCCCATATCATACACCCGAGCCATACCAGGCTTCTGACCACGGCATCATAAAGAAGAAATACAGCAGAAACTAGCAGCAGGCTACCGCCTCAGCTCACCCAGACTCACTTCTGCCTACAATGGCGCCGACTCACCCCAAGAGCCAACCTGGCAAGAGCGATTCCTCATCAAAGAAAGATGTGTCAATAGACAAGCTTCCTCGTCTGCCTCAAGGTACTTGCAACATCCCTCATTTCACCCTTCCTTTCTTGTCCTCCCGTTTCACCCCATCCCCCATCTCATCGCCCGTCTCAGCTAACACCACCCTAGGCAGCAAGATCCAGAAGCGCGCCCTCCCGCGCAGCCAGCAGCCCATCTCCTCCAAGTCTCGACTCATCTACGTCTCCTCATCGACGCCCTTCATGGCCGTTGTCTCCCGCGTCAGGAAACAGCTCGACAGGGCGCTCAAGGGCAACGTTCCCTCCACCAAGGGCATGTCGCTGCCGCAGCGGGTGGATCTGCTTCACCGTGATGGAGGCACCAAGGCGGAGGGCGAGGCGGTTGTGCTGGGGACAGGCAAGGCGGTGGAGAAGGTCCTCAGCGTGGCGGCGTGGTTTGAGGAGCAGGGGGATTGTGTCGTTGAGATCAGGACGAGGACGGTGGGCACGGTGGATGATGTCGTTGTCGAAGAGGATGACGATGGGTTTGGAGGTGAGAGCAGGGTGAGGAGTGTCAGCTGTTTGGAGGTTACGGTGAAGTTGAGGTGAGGGAGGTATGGAAGCGGTATGGATAGAGGACTTCTCGATGCGAGTGGAGAGAGACATGAGGGCGTTATGAGAGGGGGCTCAATATCGAAATATCGTCGACGATGCCTCAGAACAAGCGAGATATTATCAGGAGCAATTGGAAAGACGACGCGAAGGCGTTGATGGGAAAGGAGGAGCCGGTGGATGTCCGAATAGAACCGCCACGATACCCAGCTGACAAGCTTTAATTTACGTTTATCCCCATAAACCTCCTAACCCGAGACACCCAGATTTTCTTCACCTCCGTCGTTTCTGATGTTCTGGCGACGTTGGAAGTGGATCTGGGGAGGAAGATCCATGGCAAGTCTCCGGGACGGCCTCTGTAACCCTCATTGCTTACGTCTGCGATCCCTCACATTCATCCCAACAAACCGCCCTTCATTCGACTCAGAATTCTCATTCTTGAGGTAAGTGCTAGAATATAGACATCGATATTGCTATGATGATGCGGTAACAGCAGACTGATGTGTTTCTCAAACTCGAAGCTTCACTTTAGGGGGCATAGTAGAGGCATTCGATGAGATGAATGCGTTGCTCAATCAGAACCGTTGTGAGGCGCTGGTGCCCATTAGTTCAAGGCCCCTCTCTGCGGTCAAGTCGTGTTCGATCGGAGAGACGCCGAACCACGCGGAGTTCCAATCGGGAAACTTTAGTCGCTTACTCAAATGGGAATTGCGGGAATTGTTTCCCCAGAGACAAGGGCGTCGTTGGGGTCATCTTACGAGAAACAAGATCATCCCTGTCTTCCACGCACTTATCGACGTGAATTAGCAGTGTTTATTACGGCCCTTGGCACCGTTTATCTTCACCGCTAGCGATACCGGAAATTTCGGTGTGGGGTACGACAACCCGAGAGTCACGTCGGCGCTTCCTTTTGACATCATTCAGTCCCGGCCGGCAATGAATACCAAAGAGGGGGATTGAGGCCCCGCCTCGCATTTTCTCTTTTCTCTCTTGAGCCGTCGCGGGGTGGAAAGTCTCTTTCTTTCTCCCGTTCAACCCTCTCTCCCTCAGCCAAGAGCCATCTCCGTTCTAAACCAGCGGGCAAGATGATGTTCCAAACCTCTGCCGTGCTGATGGCCGCCCTCGCCGGGCCGGCCTCCGCAAGCTACGCTTTCTACGTCGGCAAGGACCTCACCGCCGACGGCAGCGTCATGGTCGGCGGAACCGGCGAGGAGGTCTCCTCCCACTGGCTCCAGCTGTTTCCCGCCCGCGACCACGCCTCCAACGCGACGATCACCGTCGGCGTCACGGACAAGGCCAGCATCCCGGGCGAGCTCTTCACCATCCCCCAGGTCAGCCACACCTACCGCTACCTGTCGATGGAGTACTCCGACTTCGAGGGCTTCCCCGCGCCGCTCACCAACGGCGGCCTCAACGAGAACGGCGTCACCGTCCGCGACGTCTGGGCCCAGAACCGCGACGAGCTGGTCAACATGACCCCGACGCCGCAGCACGGCATCCAGTACAGCGACCTCGCGCGCATCGTCATGGAGCGCGCCAGGACCGCGCGCGAGGGCGTCGAGATCATCGGCGAGCTCATGAACCAGTACGGCGAGGCGACCTACGGTGGCAACACCCACCTCATCGCCGACAAGGACGAGGGCTGGGTCGTCTGGGAGATGGCCGGCGGCCAGAAGCTGTGGGCCGCCGAGCGCCTCAAGACCGACGAGGTCCGCGTGCTGTACCCCGGCTACATCGAGGACTTCCCGACCGACTTCGCCAACAGCTCCGATTACATGGGCTCCGACAACATCGTCTCCTTCGCCGTCGAGCAGGGGTGGTGGAATGCCAGCAGCGGCGAGCCGTTCAACATCTTCAACGCCTATGGCGAGAAGGGCGAGAACATGACCGCCCGCGACGGCGGCTTCAAGTTCATGTCCCAGGCCGCGCTCGAGAACGCCACCCTCGAGATGGCCCCCGTCACCGAGGAGAAGCTCATGGAGCGCGTCCGCGACAAGCGCATCTCCGATGACGAGGCCGGCTACGGGCAGATCGTGTCCCTCAAGGACGGCATCGACCGCGACCTGCTGCGCATCTGGAACGCTCCCACCGGCTCCGTAGCCGCGCCCTTCGTCCCGTGGTGGCTCGGCGTCAGCAGCATCCCCTCCGAGTTCGGCGAGCACCGCTACCTCACCACCGGCGCCTCTGGCAGCTTCCTGAACCCGGACTACCAGCTGCAGGAGGCGAGCGAGTTTGCCGGCCGCATCTTCAAGCGCGTGCTGTACTACATGTGCTCGCAGCCCGACACGTTCCACCCCATCGTCACGCAGATGCTCACGGGCTTCGAGAACCAGAGCCGCAGCGACATTGATTGGGTCGAGACGAGCGCCAAGCTGCTTATCGAGAGCGGGGACCGCGAGACGGCGAGCTCGCTGCTGACGTACTACTCCCACAGCCGAGCGTCCAAGGCTCTTGAGCTCGGCAAGGCGATGACGGCTGCTCTGGATGGGTACATCAAGCTCAGTGGCCAGTGGCGCAACCCGGTCGGTAGCGAGATTAATGATGCTGGAGAGGGCGCCGAGACTGTGAACTGCTTGGTTGGGTATGACCCCGACCAGCCCATCTGGAAGCAGCCTGCGAACCCCATGAGGAAGAAGAGGAGCCTGAGGAACCGCATGTTTGTGCAAGGTCCTCGCTACTAGATCAACGATCAATAGGGGTCGTTTGCGTAGACTATCTAATACAAGTAATCACCAATAGGATTTGGCCTCGTGACAATGCAAGGGGCCAGATTGGGAAAGAAAGAAGCAAACAAGGTCTCAGCTGCTAATTACATAATCCTGTTGCCTTCTTCGAACGAATCCAGACCGCAAACTTCAGCTTTGTTTTGGATTGTCTAGCAATTGTGAGGAGTGCTTATCAGCAGATTGTTCGAATGTGCTGACCTCCATCGCGCCATTTGAGTTAACTTTAGTGGTTAGAATTATGGCCCCTAGTCCAGCCTTCTGTTCCTCCATGGGCTTTCTGAATGTCCCATCGGAGCTCTTCACGATGATCATCTCACACCTTGAAACACGGCACCTCAAACAGCTGATGGAGAGCAACAAAGCAATCTACAGCCTGGTTACACCCGTGTTCTACCGCAAGGTGTGGACCAAACGGCAAACTTGTTGCGACTTGGCCGGGCTTGTTAACCTACTTAGACGGCTCCCAGACATTTGCCAGCTCATCAGTGTTCTGAATATCGACGAGATGGATGAGAGCGGCTTTCGAGAGCTACTTAGCCTTGAGCTACCAAACCTCGAAGCCATCAACGTCGAGCATGCTTGTGGAACTGTCAAGACTGCCGACACGGAGAGAAGAGAAGAACTCAACGCCGGCATACGTTTGAAACCAAAACTCAGTAGCTGCACGTCAATACATCAAACTCTTCCACAAATATCAGGCTAACTCGAAAATTATCAGTCAAGTTTGCTATCCTCGATGCTTGCAGGCACGTGGATGCAGTCCAGTCAAACGAGGTCGAAGAGACGGCGTCTCTGTACAAGATCCACGCACAAGACTCCGTCTACTTCAGCCAACCAACTCTTGCCCGCCTGAAACTCGCACACTTGGACCTCTCAGCATTCAGAAAACATCCCGCTGAGCCCTTTCCTATGGAGGCTCTCAGGCACATGGAAATTGACGACTGCCACATCCACGTCGCAAGTCTTGGGAAGTTCTTGTCACGAGCCTCGTCGCTTCAGAGCTTCCGATTCCGCCACCACCGTGAGCTATCATTCTGCAGGAGCTCTTTTGTTTCTCTACTATCGGGATGCAAAGAAACCCTCGAGACTCTTGAGATGTCTTGGAGATCGTCTGTTTCGCACTATGATTTCAGGGGTCCGATGCTTTTCGAAGAGTTCACAGCTATGAAGCAGCTTCTGGTCGACCCCCAAGCACTCTTTGTGAATTACCTTGGGAGCACAAACTTGCGCCCGATGTTGAAGCATGTTCTCGCGCCAAATCTGGAAGTGCTCATGTTAGAAGGCGTGAGGGAACGCGCTCATCAGCATGACAGTGACCATGGTCACCTTGGGCAAACGTCCACCATTGGGCAACCAGACGAGAAGTTACTTAGCGACATCATCAAGTTCAAGAGCGAGATTCTGCCGCATTTGCGATATGTACTTCTCTGCGACTGTTCGAGCATCGAAAATCTCGATAGATTCTACGAGATGGCGGATGCGCAAAATGTTCGCTTGGCATTGTTGACCACGCAGATAGACCAGCCTATACCGAACCTTGAGCTGCTAGATTCAAGTTGGGCTGAACATGCTTCGGATAAAGAGAAAAGAACAGACTATCAGCAAATTCGTTGCTATGACGGAAGTAATTGGGTTTGCCGAGATGCATCATTCACCGTCAGCGACGCCCATAGCGAGGCGAACTCACCATGGGAGCAGTAGGATCGGTAATTCATCACCATCCCTTGCATCTTTCTTAACAATCGAGTTTTAATGTGCGAGTAGATACTTCAAGCTTTAATCAGATCTAACATATGCAGCACTACGCGGTACCAGCTCGAAGTACACGCCTGGACACCATCGGCTGCCTAAAATGGAGGGCGTCTGAATCAATTCGAAGGTCTTGGAAAAAGTAACATCTCGTCGTGATGTTTGAACAATCATTAATCTCCTTCATTTTATTGTGATGTCTGGACGAAACTTCGTCGACCAGCTGGTTATCGATCTTAGGCCATGATGTTCTTTGTACTAGGCATTAGGAACGGCCACCAGTGCATACGCCCAGCGCCCACCCCAAGGTGCGTGAAGTGGCTTGATTAATCTAGCTACGAGCACCGGGCGCGGCTGGCTACAAAGTGGTGTGGCCGATCCCTTACGTAAAGGCGGGATTCGGGCCGGGATTCGGGCCTCGGGCCCGGGCCCGGCCGACTACCGTCTCGCACAAGGCAATCAATTAAGTTTGAGGCCCATAATTAACTTGATTGCCACATCGCGATGCTATACTTGATTGATTGCTAATTAATTGCAATTAATTAGCAAATTTCCCTATATATAGGTGAGGGCTCCAGAGGGGGGGCCCTAGAGGGGGCTAGAGGGGGGCCCTCTAGAGGGGGCTCTAGAGGGGAGGGCTTTAGAGGGTAGGGTCTAGAAGGTTAGGGCTTAGGAGGGTAGCCCCTGGAGGGGAGGCCCCCGGAAGGGGGGCTGGAAGGGGGGCTGGAAGGGGGGCTGAAAGGGGGGCCCTGGAGCTGGGTTTTTGGGGCTGAGAGTTAGGCTGGATTAACGATTTTCCGGACTTTTCTAGGTCCCTAAGGCCCCCCTATCAGGCTTTATAAGTCTTAGTAGCTCCCCTCCCCCCCTATTAAAAGAGTTAAGGTAATTAATTAAGTTTAAGCCTCAAATTTGACTTGATTGACTAGTAATAGCTTTATAATTAATTGATTGATTGATTGAACTTGACAAGTTTACTTGCTTTGTGGGGAGCGCTGCATACGCCCTATGTCAGCCATGCCAGCTTCTCTTTCAAGGCCATTTCAAACCGACCACGGGACGGTTTCCAACCAAGTCACTGCTAGTGATAAGTACTAGTAAGTTTGAGAAAAAGAAGAAGAATGGACGTAACTTGTTGAAATTCTCAAGGTACCATGTTTGAAACTATCGTCACTTGTGGGAGACAGATTTCGGTCTATGTTATCGCGAGCAAGTATAAGTATGAAAAATCCCTAGCTTCTATGAGATTTCGAAAACAGCACCTACTGTGTAGGTATTCTTCACAGAGCTTATCAAAGCAGCGACCTGACGTTAAGAATCTAGACCAGGCTTGTTTCTCGTTATGTCCGCATGTCCGTCCGAGCCGTCTTCGCTTTCGCATAACGACTGGGGCAGAGCATGGGTACCACATAGAGTTGCACCGTTGCGGATCGTGGGGTCCGGGCTGATGTGTGGGGTTGTTCAAAGTCGGTCTAGAAAAGGGTCCCTGATATCGTATGATAACCACTGTTGAGGTATGCAAGCCTGGAATATCCGGAAGCCAAGAACGACAAGAACTTACTTCAGACGATCTTTTGATGAACAGCCGACGGGATGAACATCTGCCTCATCAAATATGGCTGAGATCAATCGCACAGTTCATGAGTAGTGGGTGCCCAGATTGTCTGATCCCCTCAGGCTAGCTCAATCCACTCCACTTCGCCCCTGCCTGAGACACGGGTGCTGAATCAAGAGAAAGTATGTTAGATGACACTGCGCATGACTCTGTTACTGGGCTTTTGTCAGCCTTGGATTAACACTAACATAAATACGCATTTTCTCCCGTGGAATGCTTCGAATCACACAGGTTGCATCATCCAATTCACCAGCTATTTTACAGTCTACTCTTCCTCAGTTGATAATTATGAAGGCTTCTTTCATCACCGTTCTGCTGGCTCAGGCTTTGGCCGTAAATGCCCTCCAGAAATACTGTAACGGTGGACAAGGTCTCGATGCTGCACTTACATGTGAGGTGTGTATCTCAATCTCACCTGCTCTGCACTACGATCACCACTGACATGTCTCCGCGTCTAGGGAAAGGGAGCCAACTCTTATTGCGTGAGTAGCAGTTGTTCTACTTGACAACATGTTGCTAAGTATTTCCAAAGTGCAAGAACACTCAGTCAGCAGATTTCCCGACGTTCCGAGGAGCATGCTTCTCCCCGCAGAGCATTAGAGACCGGGAAGATGCCTCGCAGTCCTGCACCGGAGGTGTAAGTTCCCTATTTGCCATTTCGCATCTAACCACTTGATTGCTGACAAACTGAACCCACAGTCTGTTTACTGCGTAAGTTGCCACTGGCTTACCGTGATGAAAGAGTGCCTATTAACTTTCATAGTGCGACTAAGCAGCTCGAGCGCGCGTGGCTCTACAAAGGAGTTGCTCGGAGAGCAATTAGAATGTTCTTGTTGTGGCTGAAGTCTTTACGGCATAGCAATAGAGGCGCAAGGTGCATGGCAATTGATAGAACCTAGAATAGTAACGACGGTGTCGTTAGCAAGAGAAAGTTCCGACCTCAAGTGTGCTATGTTCCAATGCCCGGCGGCCCGCCTCGATTCCATTGCTAATAACAGCGACTGGCACCATCCACAAATCAAACCATAGCCGGATCTCGCATACTAAATATACAAGAAGTCGGCATGGAAAATGCGCATCTCCAAGGGAGGGATTCCTGTCATGGACGAGGTGCGACGCGACGAAGTTGTTACTAGTCGAGAAGCTGAGATATGACTGGAACGCGACGTGACCAAAAGGGACTTTGAGAGTTTTGTGTGTTTATATTGAGATCGCTACTTACCGATCAGCATAACGATAAAGATTGTAGATATGATAGCGAGGTGCTTATGGTCATGTTCTTATGCATAGCCGTGCCCTTTGAGTAACAGCGCTCTTTCCAGACTGGAGGTATGGGACCCTTTTCACATATGCTTTGTTGCACGAGCTTGATGGATCAGATGGACGAATCAAATCTTACCACACCTAGCTTTCATTCATATTGAGTTTTGCACCAAGCCTTTGTGCGGGTGTCTGGACTGGAAGTCTGGGTCAATGAGTGAAATTCTCTTTCCAGGCTGTTTCAGGCCAAGTACTCATCAGGCAAACAGAAGGACCAGAATTCTTAAAAGCCAATTTGACGGTCGAAACCATTATATCAAAGATGGTAGCAGCTTATAAAAGACTCGAAGGCCAAATGATGAAACGGTCATCATTCCTGAGGACTGACACATCTCGTTCCTTGCTTCTGCAAATCATTATAAAGCAGCAAAGTCACTAGAGAGCTACATGACTATATTCGTAGAAATCCTTACTAGCAGATCGTTTGAGAGACCCGAATATCACCATCACCATCACCATTGTCTGGCACAATGGATCCTCTCACAGCCCTCGGCCTAGTTGCGAACATCGTTCCCTTCATCGAAATCGCCGCCAAAGTCCTGAAAACCGCCAAAGAAATCCACGACTCCGAGTCTGGCGGACTGGACGACAACATCAACTTGGAGAAGTATGCAACTCAGCTGGAGCAGCACTGCGACGACCTTCTCGATCCCGATTCTCCCGATCTCATTGGAGATGACAAGGAGCTTTTTGATCTGGCGACAGATTGTCAGAAGCTCGCTCGCGACCTTCTGGTTGTTCTTGACAGATTAAAGCCCGCAGACCGGTCTTCCAAGTGGCAGTCTCTGAAGTCTGCCGCGAAGAATCTCTGGCGCTCAACAGATAAGGAGATGTTGGAGAAGAGACTCGAGTCATGTAGAAGCCAGTTTGAAGCCCAGCTCAACCAAAGACGCAGGTAAAGTTTCCCGTTCGCTTCTTTCAGTTTCTTGGAAATTGGCTAAAATTTGTTTTCAAGCACGAAAATAGTGGTTGCGATCAGACACCTGTTGGAGAAGACCGAAAAGGACACCGAAAAGCTGAAGCAAGTCGAAAGTCATGTCGCGAATCTCCGGCAAGGTGTTCAGGTCACGTCCCTCAGCAAAGAAGTCCAAGATCAACTCAATAAGTTCATCAGTACCCCTGAAGCTGTCATCCATCAAACTGCACTGGAATCTTTTCTCATAGGTATCGCCTTCGACGGCATGCATGAGCGTTTTGAGACGATTGCCATAGGAGCAACGTCTGGATTCCGCTGGATAGAGGACGGGGCGTTCATCAACACCCAGCATTTAGAAAGGTTCAAAAGTCTGCGTTTAGAAGTGGAAAATGAAAATCGCCAACAAAGCCAAAAATCGTTTGCGGATTGGATTTCGTGGGGAAATGGAATTTTCCACATATCAGGCAAGCTTGGAGCCGGCAAGTCGACACTAATGAAGGGGTTGTGTACACGCGGTAACATTACCAATCCTCTGGCGGATTGGGCAGGTACGGCGTTCGTTCACTGCAGTTTTGACAGACAGAAGGCTAACAAATCTTGCGTCACAGAGGACAATGACAAGAAACTAGCCACAGGCAAATTCTTTTTCTCGAATTCCGGCAACCGTTTGCAAAAGTCGTTGGCTGGGCTCAGCCGTTCATTGTTATGCGACGTATTCCGATCATCTCCGGAGCTGCTCCCTAGCGCTTTTGGTTCCCGTTGGAACGAGGCTTTAGCCTTACCATGGCATACACAGAGACAGTTATTGATCACTGACCAAGAATGCATCGATGCATTAGAGAGGCTGATCTGCAATTCAAAAGACAGCACCTCATCGTATCGCTTTTTCTTTTGTATTGACGGGCTGGATGAACTTCAAGAAACGCCGGATTTCTCTTTTAGAGATTTGTCTCACGTCATCAAAAGATGGGCCCAGAAGAGTGGCGGAAACGTCAAATTCTGCGTTTCTAGCCGTGAGTACAGCCAATTTATGGACGAGTTCGATGACAATGCAAGACTTCGCCTTCACGACCTCACAAAGCAAGACATGATCTTGTGTGTTGAAGAACGACTGGAAAAGATTTCCCAAGAGGCCCAATTTGACAACTTAGCCCGGCTGATTGTGGAAAAAGCACAGGGCGTATTTCTTTCTTCCCTTCTAACTTTTCTTCCGCAGTTTGCCGCCTGGAGGCGCACCTTGTTAACTACCGTATAACTCTCACGGGGAAATATTCGAGGGCTAGGATAGTAGAGAAACCTCTATAGCTACTTATAGGGGTATATAAAGAGAGCGCGAATTACTAAGGGGTAAGTATCTCCCTCTTTATACTACTATAACTTATTACTCCTTTAATATTAAGATATTATCACTATACTACGTTAACACTATCTATTACTACTTCAAAAGTAGTAATAGCTTCTTTATAATTACCTAAAAGAACTAAAATAAAGTATATAGATTTTTATATATATAACTTAGTCCCCTAATATAAAGCTTAATAACGTATTAAATATACTATTATTTTTTACTAGTATACCTTAATAAAATAATATATTATTAAACTAAAATATAGAGATATTTTAAATATATTAAAATAAACTTTAAGATAAATAAACTATACGACGTTAATTAAATTAAATATCTTATATTATTAAAGTATAACGCCCTATTAAAAGAACTTAAGGATATATATACGATCGCTATAGCGTAGTAGTAGTTAATAGGGGCGGTTAGATATATAGGGGGTAGTTAGAGTAAGGGGGACCTCTCATGTATCCCTGGTCATACAAAAATTCACAAAAGAATTCTTCACAAAATGCACAGGGCGTATTTATCTGGGTTGTGCTTGTCGTTCGTGACCTGTGCGAGAAGCTCCATGATGGCTGCTGCTTGAACGACTTAGCTGAGAAAATAGATTCGCTTCCAGACGAGCTCGACACTCTTTTCGAACATCACATCAAGTCGCTGCCACGTCGGGACAAGCCAGAAGTCTACAAACTGTTGTTGATCATGATTGAATCGAGCCACTGGAAACTTGCCTTCGACGCTCTCGCCTTTACATTGTTGGGGCCATACGAAGAGGATCCACGCCCAGACTTCTTCTTCAATCGATTTCCATCATACGATCATAATAAAATCTTAAATTGCCAAAGGCGATTAATCCGGTGCTCCAGGGGGTTGATTGAAGCTGGTAAATCTGCAACCTGGGGCTTCGAGTTCACTCATCGTTCAGTCCAGGAATTTCTACTGCAGCCCAAAGTTAAAACAGAAATGGAATCATTTGTGGGTTCATTCAACACAAAAGAAGCTTTTTCCCAAACCATCTGTCTTGCTCATCGAGTGTATGGGTTAAGGAGACGGCATCAATCTGACTGGGTGCCAAACCTTCTGGCAATGAGAGAGGCCGGACAGCTGGATAAAGCGCCGTGGGTATTTTTGAACAGCCTCGACATTTTGATTTCTCGAAACTGCTCTCTCTTTTCTTCGACAATTGTGGAACCAAGACGTCGTGGAGCACGTTCCGCTAAGCATTGTCGACCGATCCATCCAAACCTACGCTCCCGAGACTCCCAAGCGCGCATCGATGGAACCGATTTGCTGTCTCCCGTCTTCTTACTCACATATCGAGGCCAAGCAGAATTTCCTCTTTGGTGGCTGCGACAAGCGCCGATCACTGAAAGCTTACAGGCGCAAGCGCAATTGCTCATATCTTGCGCCGTCTCCGCTCACATGCCTTCTACTGGTTGGGGGGAGATTGTCACGAGAGCACCCAACGACCACTTAGGCCCTCAAATTGTGCAAGCAGTACTAGAACGTGGTCTAATCACCCCTGATTCGGCGATAGAGTTTGTCGTTGATAAATGCTCAGGATTTGAACCCTTTTGCATTTCGGCCCCGAGAAGGCATTTGAGCCTGCTGGAGACGATTTTTCTAGCAGCACTGCTTAGCAAGATCCGGGGGCAAACGAAGCTCAGATGGGCTGGCGAAATTCTTGAGCATTTACTCGTTCATGAAGCAGATCTCAATTTCACCGCATCTTACGCGTGTGACAGGCCGATGCTGACGATCAAGACTGGACAAAACGACATCGGGGAGTTTTGGCTTCACAAGCCCATGGCTGACTCTCAGCCTTTCTCAGACCTTAGCCCATGGGATGTTGTCAAGTTGTGTGACTTTCACAACAAAGATCGCCTCCTAGAGCTTTTGGATGGTCAGACGAATCGATCCAGGCAGAAAGACCAAGCCAAAGCAGCACTTGTCACAAGTTACAAGTTGTGGGCTCGAAGCACGACAAGCCATCTTGTTTTTGGGGCATTTCTTGGTAAGTCGGGAATGCCTGACTAATTTGCTCCCATGAAATATCATACTGACTTTGACTTAGGAATTTTGATGGTGATCATTGTCCAGGAACTGTGCGGTTGGTCACTGAGGGAAGATGATCCAGTCTCAACAACTGGGTGATGGCGACGGATGCGGTTTTCTTCGGCTTGTGAAATTAGAATGGAGTTCCTGAGCACCAAAGACATGGATAAAACGATAGAGACAGTGTAACCAGTTAAGATTAAAGAGATGTCACTTCTTGCCCAAGGTTGCAACCATTCATTCTGCTCTCTCACCCGAAAAACGACATTGAAAATTGTTGGCTGCAGACATGAATCCCACTTCGCACACAAATTTGCAGACAGGTCTCATTAGAATCAAGGAATCATACACCTAGCTATGCAAAGTTGCCTTTTGTCTAGACTGCCTTCTAAACCCATATCGCAAAACTCCAAAGACAAGATCGTTTCATGACAATCCGGGTAACTCCTCAAAATCGAACCCCTTAAAGCCATCCTCGACCGCCCAAGTTCGCCCCTTCTCCTTTTCATACAACGCCTCACACGCCCTGCCAACAACAAGCAGCCCAGGTGGCCTGCTACCCTCAGACTCAATAGCCTCAGCAACGTACTCTAGCGTTGTCCGTATCACCCTCTGGTCGGGGCAACTCGCTCTCTCGATGACCGCACAGGGTGTATTCTTCGGCCACAATATCCTCCTTGGCTTCTCCTCGCCTTCGACCTGCTCCTCCGTCTCAAGGTGGCAAGTCAACTCCCTCACCAGGCCAACGATCCTGTGCAGCGCCATGAGGAACACAACCGTCCTGCTAGCGATAAACTCAGGCGGCGCAGGCGGCTTGCCCTTCTTGCCCGTACCAGTGCACACCAGAACCTGGTCCGCAACGTCGCGTTGTGTGGGCGGGATGCCGGCAAACAGCGGCGCGCTGAGCGACGAAGTGATACCAGGCAGGACTGTCACACGATCGCCGAAGCCATGCTCTCTGAAATATGCGACCTCCTCTCCACCACGTCCGTAGATGAATGGATCGCCTTGCTTCAACCTCAACACGGTCTTGCCTTCCTTCGCACCAGCCAGAGCAAGCTCGTGCAACTCCTCCTGCGCCTGATCCGCATTCCCAGGGAACTTTCTCGCGATCTGAACCGGTGTCCGCCTTGGGATGAGATCCAGTACACCAGCAGGCACAAGTTTATCCGCCAAAATGAGATCCGCCGTCTGGATAGCCTTGTGCGTCGCTCTCGTAAGCAAATCGGGATGTCCGGGACCGCTTCCTGCAAGAATAATCCTGCCCTGCTGCGGCGGCTTGCTTGCCCCTGTTCCAAGCCCAGCAGCAGGCGGCTTCCCAGCCGTCTCAGGCAGCGCGGCAGAGTACGACTTCAACACGCTCTCCGCCTCCTCGTCCGTGATAGCAGCCAACCTCTTGAGCGGCCAGTACTCACAAACCTGGCTCAACCACCTCATCCGCCTGCTCTTCGCCGCTTCCAGATCCGCATCCGTGACAAGCTTGTTGAAGCTCGCAGACTGGTCCACAGAGTCGTCAACCTCGTCCGGCAGACTATCCTCGCTCTGGATCCTCCGCCTCACATCCCCAAGCCTCGCGCACGCAGCACCCAAATCTGTCGGCAACGCCGCAGCGACTTCCCTCCTGATCCTGCTGGCCAGCTTACACCCCCTGCCATTCGTCGTGACGCCAATCTGCAGCGGGCCGTCGGTGTGCGTGCTCAGCAATGAGAACGTGCACAGCTGCGGCGCGTCGACCACGTTGACGGGGATGCGGTTGCGCCTGCACAGCGCCGAGATGTGCGCGCTGAGCGGATCGCGCGGGCCGCTGGTCACGAAGACGGCGTCGACGACGTTGTCGACCTCGTCCCGGCCCAGGGTGAAGAGGTCGGTGTCCTCAAAAGCCTTCTTGTGCCATGCCACCTCGCCTGCGTCGATGCGTTTTTGGAGGTTGTAGTGCAGGTCTGAGGTGTCTGGGGCGAGGAGGATGGGGGTGGCGCCGGCGTTGATGGATTGCGTGCAGCGCGCTGCTGCGAGGGGATTTGTGCCGATTACGAGATGGGTGTTGCCTTTGCAGTTGAGGGCTGTGAGGAGTGATGTTGTTGTTGTCGCCATTTTGGCTATGTGTGACTCCTATGAGTCTGTCTGAGAGGTGGTGAAGACGATGTTGGTAAAGGTCTTACAACCCCTGTCGCCCGTGTGGGTGAGTGTATTGGTGAAGTTCCAGTAAGGTACTCAACCATGCGCAACACGAAGAGAAACTTTTGAGTGACAAAAAGTCAAAAGATGAAAAGGCCCGTGATAAAGTCGGTCTCTCATAAGACGAAGAGTTAAAGGATCAAAAATGGCGTCTTGGCCACTGTGATTAGATATCTAACAAGAAAAATAGAAATCGCCCATGGACTGTCATTTGCCCTTGCAGCGCCAGCGCCAGACCCCGAATTGCGATTGCGGAACCCAATCATGCGCCGGGCAAAAAAGGTCAGTTAATTTTTCATTCGCTGGCGATGACACCATCCCGACAGCCGGCCCTTGCGGTGTCTTATCGGCCTTTATCGGCACCTCCCATCGTGACCAATCAGCGGCTTTCGCCCCGACTCCCGCGGAGCCGTCGCCGGAGATGCGTCCCCCTGGCACGGGCTGCTTCAAGCATCTCCGGTCGACGGCCTCTGCGCATGGAGGGGTAGAGGGGTAATCTGTGTTCTGCATGTCACAATGAAAAGATCAATGGTGCAAAAGATAAGATGGGTTGTCATTCAGTTGAGTTGTGGTATTGAACTGTGATAAGTGGCGGCTCGTTGGCGCAGTCATGATGCCCTCATTCCCCCCGTGCCTATGTATGTAGTATAATCCGTGGTGTTGTTACAGTATTTTGATGCCTTTCCCACCCATATGATACACAGTCATTGTTACAGTTTATGGTGATTCCTTCAGTCCTCTTTCTCCGCCAGCTGCTTCTTGAGATCATGCAGGGCAGCTCCTCTCTTGCTCTTCCGTCTCTGCTGCGGCTGCGCGCGCGCTTCGATAGCATCGGGGTCGCCAATCACGCCGTGCTCATTAATGCCGACCTCAACGACATTCCTCTTCTTGCGAGCGGCAGCATTCGCCCGCTGCGCGCGAACACCGCCGTCATCCTCGGCCTCCGGCCTGCCCAGGCGCACATTCCTCTGCAACCGGGTCTTCGCGCCCAATGCCCACAGGTCACCCCACTTCGCCTTGCGCGCATCGTGATACGCCTGCTTGCTGAAGCTCTTCGGGATGGTCCACCGCTCAATCTTCGCGGAGGGCGTGCAGACGTCGAGGGTAACGTGTCCGCGACGCTTGATGGGCGGGAGAATCTGGCGCGGTAGGGAGAGCATGTCGGGCGCGGTCTCGGCATCCTCGTAGCCTTCCAAGGCGCGAGTGGTGGCCTTGTCGCCGGCGAGAGGGCCTGACTTGGCTGTAGTACCTCGCTGGATGGCAACATAGCTGAATTGCACGTCGTCGTGGTTGCGGTGCGTTGCGCCCATGATCCTCTGTAGGAAGGGCGGGCGGACGAAGCGCTGGGTGAAGTGGCAGTAGTCCTTGCGCCCCTTGCTCCTACCAGGAACAAGATACATCGGGCACGACTTGTGGTTCGTGCAGGGCGCGATGATCATGCCGTGCTCCTTTACTCTCTCAAACGATGGGTCGAGGTCCTGTTCTTCGGCCTTGAGTTCTTCCCCTCCTGGAGGGATGAGGAACTCCTGAAGAAGGCGGTCGCGAACTTCAGCAACGGCTTCGAAGCCACTAGGCTGGCCCTTCTCGAGAACGATGAGAACACCACCCTCGGGGTTAAGCAGGGACCAGATCTGGTTCAAGATGGCCTTGCGTCTGTGACCTTCCTTGACAGGAAGAAGCAAATGGGAAGCGATGATGACATCGAACATCTTCCTAGGCTGCGGGGTCTCGTTGGCATCAATGTGCTGCTCCTGTTGGTCGACGGAGTGTAGGTAGTCCGGCAGGCGAGGCAGGAAGCTGGTATTCTGCAGGAACTTCGAAATGCGCTCTCTCAGCTTTTCGGCTCCAATAACCACACTCTGCTTGCCTGGAGGACCTCGACCAGAGACTTCACCACGGGACTGCATGGCTTCCCACTCAGCGCGGATAATGTCTTGCCAAGCCAGGAGACCTGCACCACCGGCACCAACGTCAAGGATGCGGGGTCCCTCGCCGTTGCCTCTCTCGAATAGCTTGCGCATCCACTCCGTGCCCAGGCGCTTGCGAACCTCAACCAGACTGGCCATGGCAGAGGCGTAGGTAGGCGGCAAGAACGTAGAGATGAACGCATCCGCATCGATCTCTGACATCCTAGCCTGCCAGACAGCCATGCCAATGGGGTTCTGCGGCAGGTTCATCTTGGAAGCAGGTGTCGCCGGTGAATGGGGCAGGCCAGGGCCTCCGAAAGCCTTCTCCGCCGCCTCTTGTACGTGCTTGATATCGGTACGGCTGAGCATGGTGTTGACTGGTGATATGAAGCCCGTGTAGGGCATGGAGACCGTAGCCGGGTTTGTCGAGAAGTGGCCCTCTCTCGAGTAAGGATGCAAGCGACTCGCACGATTGGAGATGCTCTGGTCTTGAATTCCATCCTCCCTCTCGTCGAGGTCCTCCTCATCCTCGTCCATCTCTCGTTCCTCGTCTCGTAATTCTTCGTCCTCCTTTTGAGCTTGTGCCCTCTCCGACTCCTCATATGCGCGGGCACTGGCCTCAAAGTCCTTCTGCAGCTTCATAAGCGCATCGTATTCCCTCCTGTTCCTTGCCACAACATTGATGTAGTTTTCTCGCTCTTCGGGTTCGGGCTCGGCATCGGGCGCAGGCTCTTGCGCAGGTTCGACCTCGGTCGATAGCTCAGAGGCAAGGTTGTCCTCCACGATTTCTTCAAATATCTGGTCAGGCGTTTTTCGTTTGCCTTTCCGCACGTACGATACCTCCTCGTAGGAGCCACCCTCGCCCCGTCGAAGGAGAGCAGGTTCTGCAGATCCATCCTTTCGCACTGCCGCCTCGGATGTCTTCTCGTTGAGATACTCGATTCCAATATCCTCCGGTGTGGTCTCTCTCAGTGGCGGCCCGTACCAGCGCTCGTATAGCATGTATTCTTCCTCGCTCAGGTAGCCCTTCGGTAGTGTGTCGCGAAATCTCTGCTTCGCCTCCCGAACGGTCGTCTCGATATCGGCAGCACGTGTAAGGTCTTTCGCATCATTTCGGCGTGCGTCACTGTCTTGGAATCTTCTTGATGTTGTCGTGAGGGGTCTGCGGGCAGCGGGTCGCACCACCGATCGTGATGCAGCTAGCTTCGAAGAATTCGAAGGTACTGATCGTCCTGGGAAAACTGTTGCTGGAGTGCGCTGTCCTGCCAAGCTCAGAATACGAGCTCTACAGCTAGGGCAAGCATTTCTGAGACCACCTGCGGTCAACATGATTGCGCTTTTGGCGGGGTGGCAATTGAGGTGGTGAAAGATTTAAAGCGGCGATGGAGCTTGTCGCAAGAAATTTGGGCAGGGGACCTCAAGCTCAAAAAACTGCCGCCCCACCTGTTGCAAATGAGGGCTACATCATTGGCCAACTCATGTCCAGTATTCAATCCATGGATAACAGAACCACAACACTTGCCTTCACCGTTGTTGATTTCTCAAAAATTCTGCGTAAAATGAGTTGTATTTATCTCCTCACAGATTTTCACGTATTCATATTCATGCTAAGAGAAAATTCATGCAGTATGTATGAATTCCAAATAGACCTCCGCTAATCGCAAACAGCCATTCATACCTACCACGTAACACGGCGAATGACATGAGCTCTTGGCAAGTATTTCACGACAGTAGTCAATGTCCTCTATGGGATTGTATACCTCTTTCAGTTCATTGGTCGAGGAGATCTGGTACCTCTTGGCTGTTTTCCGTTCTTGCCCGTCTTTGCTTCTCCCGAAGACTTGAGAGGTTCAAATTTCTGGAGAATCTTGACAATGCTGATCAAGTCCGCAACCTCACCCTCTCCATCTGTGTTCGAGGTGCTGCGAGCGCCCTCATCAGCGATGAGGTCTTTTGCATACTGCAACGGCGGCGCCAGTCTCTTCAGCTTGGATGTATCCGCTCCTCCGTCCACAAGCAACCGAACGGAATCCTTGTCCTTCCGCTTGATGGCGTAATACAGGGGGTTTAATCCATCATTCGATTTGACGTCGGTGCGAGCGCCATGTTCCAAGAGGATAGGCACCAGAGAAGACCGATGCTGTTCGATCGCGATGAATAGCGGAGTCAGGCCATCTTTGTTCTTGGAGTTGACTTTCGCTCCCTTTTCCAGCAACAGTTTTGCCGTTTTTTTGTAGCCTTTGTGTACAGCTTGCATCAGCGGAGTTGAGCCATCAAGTGCGTTGGCTAACTCAAGGTCGACTGAGTGATCCAACAAAAGCTCAACAACCGATCTGTGACCTTGGTTCACCGCCAGACTGAGGGGTGTATCTGAAGCGTGGTTTGTGGGATTGACATTTGCTCCTCCCTCGATTAGAGTCCTGGATATTGTTATGTAGCCGCTCTCAGCGGCTAGGGCAAGTGCGGTGTAGCCGGAGTTGTCTTTGGACTCGACATTGACCTTGAGATCGAGCAAGAGTTTCACTGTGTCTAGGCTTTTTCTTTCCACAGCTCTTCCAAGAGACGTGCGTCCGAGCTTGTCCCTAAATTCGGCATTGGCCTTGCGGTTCAGGAGCAACCTGGTCATGGTTTTGTGCTTCAGTTGCTCAGCCAGTGCCAAAGGTGTTTGGTTTTCGTTGTCCAAAGCCTCGATACGAGCCTTCTGATCGAGTAACAACCTTGCCACTTCCTCATAGTTCTTGCTTGCTGCATATGCCAGAAGCGTTCGACCATTTTGATCTCTTGCTTCAATATTGGCGCCGTTCTCTATCAGCGTTGGAAGTATAGACAGATGGCCCTGCTGCGCTGCAAGATACGCCGGTGTAAGGCCTTTTTCGTCTTGCAGCTCCATATCAGCTTTACTCTTTATCAGAATTTGAAGAATTGCTGAATAGCCTTCACGAGCTGCCAGAGCCAGCGGCGTGAGTCCAAACTCGTCAGCAATATCCACATCGGCTCCTCTTTCGATGAGAAGTTGGCAAATATGCTCGTCGTTTCTCCTGACAGCAATAGCCAACGGTGTGCGTTGGTTTCTCCCGGAGCTTCTAGCGTTAATGGATGCGCCGCGATCAAGCAGTAATGTAATAGCTTCTTGGTCTCGATGAGAAATTGCTCTGAGGAGTGGCGTGACTCCCTCGCCATCTTCCGAATTAATATTGATCCCCTGATCAAGAAGCCAAGATACTGCAGCAAGGTGCCCGCGGAGGATTGCCATCGACAACGTTCCCATCCCTTTAGTCGTTTCACAACGAATGTTGATGTGATTTCCTGCAAGAAACCTCAGTGCTGCCAAATTTCCATTTGCGACATTTTGCATAAATGTGCGTTGAAACCTGTCAGGCATGTCGTTGATTGTGGCATCTTTGTTTGGTGCGCTGGCTGAAAGATGGTCGATGATGCTTTCAAGCCATTGCGACGCCCTCTCCTGCCCGCAATGTGGAGGCAGCGTTCCAGCTGATGATACGAAATCGAATATTTCCGTCTCCCTTTCTGCCAGTGTTCGGTTCGCGTCAACGAGAGAAGCCAGTTCTTGATTAGTTGATTCCAGTAGGGCCGACAATTCGTCCTTCTTCTGTTGCAATCGGTCTAGTTCCTCTTGCACTGCTTTGAGCTTTGCTGTTGTTTCGTCTACCGCGGCTGTCTTTTGCCGGATTGACTCTGGAAGTTCTAGAAGCTTGGGACGCATACGTTTGTCCTCTTTCAGTAATCTTTTGAGCTGTTTGCCGCGGTCGATGAGTGAGAGCTCAAGACTTGCGTCAACACTAATGCCTGAAGGGGAGTCCACTGAGTACAATCTGACCATGAACACAGGCTGAGCCCCAAGTTGTTCTTGTGTGAGTTTTGCCTCGAGATTGAAGAATTGGGTATGAGCGCTTGTGTTTCCGAAGACATAATCCCTAATGCTCGCCTCTCCTGTGATGTCGTCCAGGATTGCATTTCTCGACACAGTCATTACGTGGCACCGAGCTTTTGGTTGGCAGCTTTTGATCTCAAGTTCGAGCGCTATGACAAAATCTTCTGAAAAAGACGCCGCATGACGGAACTTCAACCATGTTCGCTGCACTGAATCTCGTGAGAAATCCGCTCCTGTAAGAATGAAAGAACTTTTCTTCTCCCATCTCTCCTGCGGTTGCACATCGACCAACACAAGCTCTCCCTTGGAGGGTGTTTCGATGCAAAACCCATGTCTTCGGTCAAAGGCTACCTCGTCGTCAAATTGAAGAGATTCTAGAATGCGCATAGACTTCGGATTCGTGTTGGAGGTCTTGGTGTTCGATGTTGATAGCAGGGAGGCTTTGCCACCCTGCGGCCTAATATATTCGTCGGAATCTTCTCCGGGATGAACGCGACATAATGGGATTCCCACAACCTTCTTGGTGCTGTCTCTCGGCCGACAGTTCAATAAACCGAATGCTTGCTCATCCTTGCTAGTATAGAGGCCAAGTTTGGCGTGAAGAAAACCACCTAGAATACCAGTCGCGTCTAGGTTACCGCCGAACACGATGGTTTCGCTGCCGAGAAAAGCTGCAGGAGTGGCCGCTAGAACTCCTCCAAACTTATTGACGTCTCCAGTCCGTGCCTCCACGCGAGATGAGTCTGTAGAAAGCCCCCAAGCCAGGATTGAATCGTCCGGTGTCTTCTTCATAATCTGCTCTTGGAGACGAGTGAAGGCCTGGCTACCTTCGCCATAAATCATCGGTATCATGACGTTGAAAATCCCCAAAAGGCAGTATGCAAGGTCTTCCTCCTTCGTGGTGGTTCTTTTCGCAGCCCAAGACATCCGCTGCGCAACACTGGCCGATTGAAGTCCGGCGAGTCCCAAAAGAAATGGACGCGGAATTCCTGTGATATCCTCTATGATACCTGCAAGTTGGTGCTTCGATCCCAGATGCCGCCAGCTTTTATCGTAGAATACCACATCCTTCGGAGCTAAGAGTTCCTGTAAAGTCCACCCTCTGCAGAACCAACGGCTCGCGCGGAAATTATCGTGAAAGTTCCTGTCTCCCTCGTCTACATCGACGAGATATGCGTAGCAAGTATGAGATGATTGGTACCAACGGTACATGGAGTTGATAGCTTCCCCTAATTCAGTTGCATTCGCTCGGTTGATGCAGCAAGTGTCGATCCAAACGTAGTCAAGGCCATCCTCTTGTGCTTGTTCGCAGCACCTGTCAAGTTTCAATTTCCCTATACCAGGTTTCGTAACTTTAGTCTTGATATCGTCATAGAGGAGTTCTTCCTCATCTGGCCCCCATGTGTGTGACAGAATGGCGTAGGGAGGAGGGTCTCTGTGGAAATCCTCCAATGCTCCCGTATTGACGTTGATGAGTCGCATAGTCGAAGAATCCCCGGATCACCTGGAGAATTGTGTGCGGTATACCTTTCCAGATTGGTCCGATGCTGTAGTGGGCTATGTGACTCGGGACGTTGTTGAAGAGATCGATGCTATATTGCTTGGTGCATGTCTTGAACTGGCGAGCCGAATTGAACCGTCGTGAGTTCCGGATTGTCGGCGATCGCCAGACCACATTGAATAAACGACCGTCCAATATGGCAAAGAATCATCAAATAAGTGACAAGAAAGGGTCCGATCGGAAATGGTTCGCACAGAGGGAGGGGTAAGCATGGCGCCTTAAAACATGCAGAAGCGAGGCGGTGTTGCGATTCGTCAAAGCCGAAGAGCCGCTCCGCTCCGCAAATATGCAGCTATATCCGTTCTAAGCCATCTGCATATCATAGCACGATAAGTCGCAAAGTTCAGTAGTCACTATGTTCTTATCAGCGCCTTTGGTCTTGACATGGATACGACTGATTACCTAACCGCAGCAAAGCCAGACAATTATTCAGAAAATGCCGCCGCTTCGAGTAAACTCCTAACCATATCACCAGGCACTTGAAATTCGCTGAGCCTGGTGTCGATATCCAAGGGCACACTAATGAACCACGGCATAAGTCGAACTATCTCGTTGGCCTGGGAAACACTTATACTGAGCTTGACTACTAACGAACTCAACCCAGACGTATTTGTATCCATTGGGGAAAACCTCTCATCTTTTAGTGCACTCTCTCTTATTCTCCTTCTATGTTTTTGCACGAAGGTTTGGACCTATTATGTGATATGCTGAGGGACGCGCACATGATGCTGACGTGCTATGTATGGGACTGGGTCTGGGCTGCAGACACTTGTGAATTCTCCGCCTAAAGAGGCAACATAATTCCGAGGTAATGTAAATCTGATGTGCAATCAGCAACTAAGTTTAATAAGAAAATTCCATGACCTTGTACTCATCTAGATAACTTGAGTGGCTTTTATTGTTATGACTCAATTGAAGCACTATATCTGAAGTGTATTGATGTGAGGCTGTTGGAAATTCTCTATATAAGACGGGCCTTCATCGCCTAACTCCCATGGCTCATAGTGAATCATCCTTTGCTTTGCTTTCTACATTCAACACAAGTCGCCTCTAACTGGTATCAATTCCATATATCCATACAAGATGAGACATATTTCACATCTTCTTCTCGTGGTTGCGGCTGTCACCGCAGCCAGCCCCTTGACACCTTCTCCAAAAGACGTGTCTTTAGCTCCGCGCAGCGAGCTCTTTGCTAGGGTAAATAGCGCTTATCCTTTTCGATGTGATTAATATCCTAACTGTCTGGCAGAAATTGTGCCTCTTTGAAGATGGTATGAGCTGTTACTACGATGGAGGGGCTTGCTACTATCATGACTGCACGCAATGCAAGTGTGATGCGAATTGGCTAGGCCAGAAGCTGACTCGCCGCAACTGTGCCCTTTACACTGATTGTCCTTATCGGTAGTGTGTGATGACCTGTCATACATGGACAACAGTTCACTGATGGGTGGCTGTGGCTGGATATTTATATGAGAGATTGATATTCTCTAAATATATTAGGCAGGCGTCGCTTTCGGCTGCAGCAAAGCTCTCTGTTATAAACTCACTGTAACGCACAATGGCATATATATCTGCCGAATTTGGCCTTCGCAGTTCTTCTTCACCTTCCATCATCGATGCCGACGTGATCAATAATCTGCCTGTTTCTGGGATGAGGTGTAGTTGTCGAACCCTCGCCATCGGACAGCCGAACGATAGACAATTTTGGCTGCCATGCTCCTTCGGAGTGTTGCCGCGAGAGCACAGACACGAAGGTTCAATGTTTAACTCCCGAATTGAACTAAATGACAACTTTTATTTTGGGTATCATATGCCCGCCACAATGCAGTCTGAGGTAGTGACATACATGACAGAACACTACTGGTTAAACCAGAGTCTCCTCAGCTCCGTAAGTCCGATAAACAGCGCTTCATCCGTCCTGATCTGCCGGCTGTTCTGTCCTGGGAGGACGTTGATCCAGTGGTCGAAGAGCTCCTTTGTCTTTCCCCCAGAAACATCAACCATGTCGAGTTCCTTGTCGTTCACCGCCGCATACTCGATTCCTCTAGGGCCGCCAAAGACGATCAACAAGTGCTTGAAGTCCAACGGCGTGGACGGGAATGATTGGCCGACGGAACGCCCACGCTCGGACGTGCCAATGCTGATGTCGTAACCATCCTCGTACTTGCACTCTGTCCACAATGCTGACAGAGAGGCCGCCCTGCGCACGCTGTATCCCCAGTAGTATCCCCCCTCTTCTCTAGGCGCTGCCGGATCGCATGCCTCGGCCTTCTCAGTGTCGTAATCCGAAAATTGAACCGTGACGCGAGTGTTGGGCGGAACCTCGTCCTCGATGATGACGGGCGTCTTCAGACCTAGATCGAGCTCCGTGCCCTTCGGGGTTCCCTTCTTGGCGACACCCTCACGGTAGGGCATCCAATCGGCCGGGTTCGGGTGGTGCGGCATGTCGAGGGAGGGGAGCTGGCCGGCGAGGCGCAGGTTCGGATGGAGGGGGAAGAGCATCTTGCGCATGAAGGGAGGGACTTCGAGGTAGCCGAGGAGATGCTCGAGAAAGTGGCCGGGATCGATGTCGCCGGTGTAAGCCTTCCTGTCGACAGTCTTGGGGCGGGTCTCGATGGGGCTGTCGTCGAAGATCACGACTTCGTCGATGCCGAAGACTCCAAGGGCACGGGCGATGCGGCCGGCGACGGCAGTGCGGCGCTCAGCGTTGACGGCACTTTGAGATTCAAGTTAGCTTCACATCGCAGCGTGTAGGCCGGACAGCACGTACTCTGCGATTATACTGGTAGGGATCGCAACCGAGACGGTCCACGTACGGCCTCCGGGGTAGGCGTAGAACTTGGCCGACGGCTGGGTGGTGTCGACATATTCGTCTTCGCCGGTTTTTCTGCGCTGCTGCTAGTCAGTTCAGTTCCCGGAGAGGATCAAAGCTGCAGCTGCCCTACTTTTGTTCTCTGATCGTAAGACATTTCGGCGACTTGCAGAGCTGTTGATGGTGGTTTGCAAGTCGATGCAACTTTTAGCGGTTCCCAAAAACTTTCTGAGCTGGTCCCGCAGTGGGCGGTATCAATTCCGGGGTACGCCAGACCCCTGTCCGGCAGAATGACGGATCGCCAACTGACCGCTTTCTACTCTTGGCAGCCGCCACCTTTCCGCTAGGACCAGGTCGCGACAGCTTCCGTCAGCTACACATCGACCCAGCTGTTCCTTTCAACTTCAAGTCGGCTACGTTGACTCCCGTTTCCTATATCTCACCTCGACATCATGAGCCTTATCAGTGTACAGTCCGCCGGTGAGTGGCAGGGCATTCTCAGCGGCACCAATGTCGTCATTGCCGACTGTAAGTGCCTACAATCACTCCCCCGCGCTTCCGGACCCGCTGACAAACCATTGTGACAGTCTACGCCGACTGGTGCGGTCCCTGCAAGATGATTGCGCCGCACTTCGAACGCCTCGCGAAAGAATACTCGAAGCCGAAGAAGGTTGCTTTCTGCAAGATCAACGTCGACCAACAATCCGGCATCGCCCGTACCCACGGTGTCAGCGCCATGCCCACGTTTATCATCTTCCACGGCGGCCAAGCAGTCGAGACAATCAAGGGAGCGAACCCTCCCGCCCTGACGCAAGCGATCCAGAATGCCCTCAAGCTCCCAGACAAGAGCGGTCGCAGCGGCGCCTCCTTCAGCACCCCTGGACGAACCCTCGGCGGCGACAAGGCTGCTCGCGCGAGCCTGCAGCGTCCTATTCAGTGGCAGCTCAGCGGGCTGTTCAGCGGCCTGGTAACCTTTATCGGTCTTTACCTTGTCTCCTTATTTGCGGTTAGTTGGTTCCAGGGTAACGCCGACGATGGGGGGAAGAACCGTTTGCTGACGGACTGGTAGATCGATCCGCAGAAGGCGGCCGAGATGTCACAGTTCAACCGGGTGAACCCACCCCCGCCGCCAATGAAGTCGAGCAGAGGCGCCGCGCCCGGTGCTAGACAGCCGCCTAGAGCGTCGGCAATCAAGACTCTGGCGGATCTTGGTGGCGATGAATAACATGTTTATCTGAATTATGGAGTTTGGAGTTGACGGGCTATGCACAACCAGGAAAGATGCTCCAACAGAGCCCCATTTAGCATTATAATAATACCATGTATCGTTTCGCCTGGCAGATACTACAATTTCGTTAGTCTTCTCCGGGATCTTCGTACTCTCAATTCTTTGAAGCCAGAGCCTGTCTTACGCCAAGCAATCTACACGCTCACGTCTCTCGTCCAATCATCGGCTTCTGCAACGTCGCACAACTACCCACCGATGAGCGACAAAGGTCTCACTTGGGAATACGTTTGGCAAGGCTCTGTGAAAACCCTTTTGGACACCGTTGCCATTGGGCGACGGTCTGCGGCTGAATCTACCCCTCAACTCGCCAATAATTCGTTGTGTGGCACATGATCAGGCGGCCAATCGCCGCATGGCTCTGAGTAGCTTTCCATCAAACCGTTGGTCTGAACAATATTTCTTCGAAGTCATGCCCGGATGAATGAACGCTCCCTTTAACAACTCTCGCCTAAGGCCTGAAATTCTGTGGCCAGTATATGACGAGCAGATCCGTGAGCACATACATGACACCAACGGTGTAAGGTTTGTAAGATCTCTTGTCGGTCCCACAACCCTCGGCGGAGTCTGGAATCCATACTAACGATATTTCATTCAGAAGTCGTACTTTACGCTGCGACCAGCCGAAACGCAATCTACCGGACACGATGCAAACCCCTTAACAAGAGGCATCGATGCGTCTGATAAATGTGCGAACTGGACAGTTGGAGGAATTCTTCCAACGTCTGCCACGATACGCGATCCTATCTCATACATGGGGCAGCGATGAAGAGGAGATATCATTCCGAGATTTGCAGCATGGGGCTGGCTGCTCCAAAACAGGAGTTGGTAGAGATAAATTTGATGGATGCTGTAGGCAGGCCTTGCAGGATGGACTCGACTATGCCTGGGTGGACACATGCTGCATCGATAAGGCCAACTCAACGGAACTAAGCGAAGCTATCAACTCTATGTTCGCATGGTACCAGCAGGCCGCCACGTGTTACGCGTTTCTTGCTGACGCCTCGGCCGCCGATGATGTGTCGCACCCAGAATCTGAATTTCGACGAAGTCGCTGGTTTGAGAGAGGATGGACACTCCAAGAGCTCCTTACGCCCGCCATCGTTCGCTTTTATAGTTGCGACTGGTCATCTTTGGGTACCAAACGCGAGTTATCCATGGTACTCGCTCAGGTCACAGGGATCCCTCGGCCATTTCTCCACGGCACCGAACTAGGAGAGGCCAGCGTCGCTCAACGTATGTCCTGGGCCGCGAAGAGGGTCACAAAAAGAAAGGAGGACATAGCTTATTGTCTTCTTGGGATTTTTGGTGTTACTATGCCTATGATCTATGGCGAAGGCGAGCAAGCCTTCAGGCGGCTTCAAGAGGAGATAATGCGCCGCAACACGGATAATTCCATCTTGGCATGGAATTTGAGTAGCAGTGACGACGGGCCGGGCGAAGCCACGACCGGCAAGATCCATTTCGGGGGCGTCTTGGCAGCTAACCCCGCAGAATTCGCAAATAGCGGCGATATCGTATGTCGAGAACAAGCAGGAACAGCGGTCGGGCCATCGTATGTTTTCGGAGGCCATTTACGGGTTCACCTCTGCCTTTACATCACAGCAACAAACCAAACTTTCGGTCTGCTCAACTGTCATCCAAAAGACGATGCAGAGTCTGTTGTCGGCATTCCGCTTTTCGGAGTTAGCTCCGATGGACCAACCGAAGAGTATATTCGACCAGACGGACACCCTGGGAAGCTGCTCCGCGGCGTTGGCACAAAGGGCCCGTCCAAGCTTGTCAGAATCTACAACGACCGTCAAAATCAGAAAGTCACCAGTCTCAATCGTCGATACGGTTTCTACGTGGAAGACTCGGTTCATGACACCGGGCTAGAATTGGTCGATGTGGAGCCCAGGGACCGCTGGGAAAGAGACAACGCAACCATCAATACGACGGTGGACTTCAAGCACGACCAGGTTCAAAAGACATGGGTTCGATTTCGTCAAAAGCGAGAGGAGTGTCGCGACTATGTGGCCATGTTGGAACTCGAAGTCAACCATTCCATTCATCCACGAGTCCATGCCCGATGCCATATCATGACGTCGTCTAGAGACACTGATTTGAAGATTATTGCCTCCAAATTCGGCAGCATGACTAAGAACACCTTTGGCAGGCAAAGTGCCAGCAACGGTATCTCAAACATTTTGTTCACTCTCAACGAGGAGCGTATTGGGGCCCATCAGATGTTTGTCCTGAGACTTTCGTTCCTTAGTAAGCCTCCAACAGACAGCGTCGACGTGACTCTTGCGCTGGCTCAAGCAGATAGAAAAGCCAGTCTTCGTGATCTGCTTTTCGAAGACATATCTATTGGTTCACAAAGGTCTAGCATAGGCCGCCAGATTCGAGAAAAGGAGGATGGAATACAATTGTACAAAGAGCAGCTTGCGGAAATTCAAACACAGCTCAGCCAACTGCAAGTACAGAAGATGATGTTGGACGAGGGCCTAACGGAAGCCACCAGAGAATTCAAACATCTCGACGAACAAGACGGAAAGCTCAAAAAATACCAACAAGCTTTATCCCAAGACGTCAAAGCGACGCAAGATCTCCTCCACACGGAAACCACCAGCCAGTGGCATGAATCCTTAACAAGGACCCTCCTTTTCGGGTTGCTTCCCCGCAGCGATGCTTTTGCGAATATTTCTTTGGCAGAGATGTCAAGAAAGGCATTAGTAGAGGCGACAGTCTCAGGATGTGAAGTCGTTATCCAGTTTCTCCTTGATGGAGGATTTGATTTCGAGTCCAAAGATGACCAAGATAACAGCATGTTGTCGATTGCTGCATCGAAGGGTCATGAAGAAGTTATCCAGATGTTCGCTGATAAAGGCGCTAATATCGAATCTGTCAACTGCCAAGGGGTCACGCCTCTTCTAGCAGCAACCCTTCAAGGCAATACCTCTGCCGCAAAGCTTCTCCTCGATCTAGGATCCTCAATCGAGGCCAAGATCAAGGATGTTCAGCTGTCGATGAATCTAGAGTCTCTGGTACACCAAGAACATGGAGGCCTCGCAGTGGCCGATGCCCAATCACATTGCGGAGTGGGCTGGACTCCTTTACTAGTCGCCGTGGCAAAGGGCAACCGCAATCTGACGAGTTTACTGGTCACTAGGGGTGCTGACCCAGAAACGATTACAAGTAGTGGGAAAACTCCTCTAACAATTGCTGCGATGAAGGGAGATGACGTCTTGACAACATACCTGTTGGACAGGGGGGCCGATATCAAGACGCGGGACGCCAATGGCTGGACGCCTTTGTTCCACGCCACCTCAAGAAACAACAATCCCCTTATGCGTCTTCTTATCGATAAAGGGGCTAACATTCAAGCTGAAGATACGAAAGGACAGTCGCTACTCAACTTGGCCGCTGAGAAGGGGCATAATTCGGCTTCGGCGCTTTTGAAGGACAGTGGTTCTATCGAAACGGTGGCCAATGGAGACAAGGCGTCATCCCAGCAGGATCTTCATGTAAGTGAGAGGCCTGTGTCGCAGCTTTCTAGTCGTGTTGAAGGATCTAGTGGAAGCCTTGGTTCGGGCAAACTGAAGTTCTGGCGTAAGCGTCCTTAATTCCATCTGAGGTAATATATCGACACAGGTCATTCATAAAAATCCTTATATCTTTGCGCGATAACGAACTTTCGTCAATCTATGGAATGGACTACTTAGTGACTCAAAGTAGCGGTAATGTTAAGCACCCTTGGAGAGGACATCTATCTATCCTCTGCACCGCAGCAGTAACCTTTCTTTTCCCAGATTGGGAAACAGAAGTCCGCCTAAATATTTGCTTCTCAGGGGCTCAAATTAGGAAACTATCTGTTTAATGTAGAACAGATCCAAGACGCTAGCTTGTGAGCTTTGCGTCAGTATTCTCATCACATTTCATTTTCATGTGACACGAGGACGACATTTCAACATTTCGTTTCAATTCATTATTTAGCACGAGCAGAAGCGACTCTGCTAACTAAATTTTACACTTCAAATCACGAACGTTACGCTACCACACCAACCCTGTCCAAATCCGGTGCGAACCCACCATCTACTCCAGATATGCTGATAGTGTTGGGGCCATTGACATCAAATCCTGCCAGCTCAACAGCGTAGCCTTTGAAGACGTCCGTGTCCCAGTTATAACCGCTCAGAGGGAAGCTGACCGTCACCGCAGCACCATTGTTGATGGTCACTGACGCGGTACGCTCATTGTTACCCCCACCGAGGTACCCGATGTCACCGTTGATGAAGTCGAATAGCACGTTCTGCTTCGCCTGTGAAGTCCGGATGTTGGAGAGAACGACACGACCTCCGGAAGATCCACCCAAGTTACCGACCTTGTTGGAGGTTGCGCAGCCGGAACAAGACTGGGTGTTCGCGCCCGACGACAAGGAGCCGGTTGCGGCGGACACGTAGGTGTAGCTGGCCGCGGGAGCCGAGGCGCGCTTGACGTTGGAAAGACGCAAGGCCAGAGATCCGTGAGCGTTGACCTGCTTGGAGAAGCTGGTAGCACCATCAACCGTCTTAGAATCCCAGAGATCCTTGATTGTGGCAGAAGTGATGTTGAGTTGCGAAAGCTGCACGTCCAGAGTACGGGCAGTGTTGGTGAGGTCCACAACGAGGACGGCGACGTCGCCGTTGTCGAGGTCTCCGGCCCAGAGGTCCCGGTCTCCGGTCCAGCGTTGAACAAGCTGGATCGGCTTGACTGCCGGATCTTGGTTGATGGCAATCAGGTCCTTGTTCTGCAAGAGGGCGACGGTTTCGTCTGACAACGCGGCGAGATCGGTGGAGATCATGAGAGCAGACTTGAGCATTGCCCATGAGGCAAAATGCGTGGCTTGTTCGTCGAACGTCATGCCAGTGTTGCCGACTTCTAGCAGATCAGCATCGGCAATGTGTCCTGGCCCAATGATGCCCGACTTTGCGATGTGAATTGCCTGGTTGTAGATGCGGTAGACGTTGCCCCAACCGGTGGCGATGTCATCAGACAGTCGGAATGATGTGGAAAGGCCCTTGGTCCACTGTGCAGGTCCTTGGAGACCACTTGACGACGAGAACGGAACTCCCCATTGGCAGATAAGCATACCGGGGATGCCGACTCGTTGAAGCTCCTTCCACATGGTTGTGAAACGAGTCACGAAGTCGTCTCTGGCAGACTTTGGCGCGTTGTCGTCCGCACTAGATCCAGAAGCGTAGCAGTTGTCGTCTTACGGGCAAGTCAGCGGAATATTCTCCTGAGCGACTCCGACTCGTATACTCACACTTGACATATTCAGTGCCTAAACTCTTGAAGAAGTCCGCATCGACGGCCTCGTGACCGAGCGAGCCAGCGACAGGACTCGGAACTTCAGGATCGCACATCTTTTCTCCGGCATCAGAGTACATTGTCCACTTCATGCCTTTCGACCGCGCGAGGTCGCTCAGCGGCTGAAGACCCTGCGGGAACGCGTCCAAGTTGATCTTCAAGGCGCCAGAGGTGTCATTGCGCTGTCCGTCTCTGGAAGCCCAGCCGCAGTCGATTTGGAAGAACTTGTAGCCTGCGTCGACGAAACCTCGGCTTGCCAAAGAGTTGATCGCAGCTTCGATCTTGTCGTGGTTCGGGCTGCAAGAGACTTGGTTGTAGGAGTTCCATCCCATTACAGGCGTTGACTGGAATGATTGACTCGCTGCCAGTGGGGCGCCCAAGAGGGCGAGGGCGATGAATGTTGAGAAGACCATGATGAGCAGAAGTATCCTTAACACGATAGACCGACAGTGTCCTGTATGGTCATGTCATAGAGGATTATGTACTCTTTATTATTCTCGAATTTCAAGATCTCGCTGTTGTTCCTGACTCTGCGGAACCCGCGCGGGTGCGCGACAACTAGAGAGTGGATTGTAGCGCACCAATCGAATGAAAGCAACTCGGGCCCATGATCCCATACACCTAGGTCAGAAGTGGTAAGAATAGCAGGTTCCGGTCATGTCAGTGCAGGGGATCTGCAATAGGAACTCGTATTGACCATCTCAATCTCACTGGCTGTATAAGTGATGCGCGCATCCAAAAGTCACGTCAATTGATGGCACTCTATTAGATAACCAAGACGATCACGTTTATTCATGCGCATTGCCCTCGCATTTACTCATTCAGTTGCGAGGCTCAGGAGGCATCTTCCGAGGGGTTCGGGAAGCCCCTTTTCTTGGCTTTTTTTAGCCAAAAACTGGGCGCTTGACGTCCCTCAGCCACCCCCAAACAATTACTCGTGCCGAAAGCCGTGCGCATGTGTTCGTCAGATCTACGGATGCCCCGCGTGCGAGTTCCCCGCGAGCTTCATCCACTGTGCCAGCCCAGCTAGGCTATCGGTCGATGCTACCCCGGCGTTAGCGGGCGCAAGCGACAAGCTTGATTTAGACAGCAGCACGAATCATGATTACCAGAATCATCAAGAAGAGGCAATTTGGTAGCAATGCTGGATCCGACGGGATAGCCCCTTAATGTGACAATCGTGAGCTTTGCAATGAAGACACAGCACGTTGTGCTCTAAATGAAGGAAATGATTGGAGCGGGCGTATGCAACGTCTGTTGGTTTTCCAAGCACAGAAATGGAACCGAATTACTTACGCGTTGGCTGTTGAATAGTCGCTGCGTTAGAAGCACCATGAAAGGAGCGTGCAAAGGGGAAGTTTGGTGGCCGATACTACGGTCTTGAGAATGAACAGGAAGAGGGCACTTGGTGCCCTTCTTGAAGCAGCCTCAGTCGCGATGCTCTCAAGACCTAGGATAGCCACTCGACTGGGAGCAATTAGCACTAGCGCATGTCCACCGCGGGATCGAGTTACAGGGCCGCAGTGGATCACTTTGAAGACAGCTCAGGATGCACATGCCGACATTCATTGCGGACGGACCCTCTTCCCCGTCTGTGGAGGCAAAGCTTCAATCCCTTGCCGAGGGCAGCTAGACCGGTCTGTCCCAAGAACGACCGAGTTCCCGAAACTCAATCCATACGTCACATCGTCGTCACATCTAGCTTGGGAATGGGTGACGAAGGAGAAGTCCTCATCGAAAAGCCATCGTACTGGGAGGCTTGCAGCTCTTGATTTCGAGCAACTGTCAGCTATGAGTTTGTCTGAGAAGCCAGCATTAACACGATCAAATACATCTTGAGGCCTTGCACGCTCGATAGGTCCGGCCAGACTTTACCTTATTCTTGTTATACACAGCTCGGCTTGTGAGCCTCTCGTCAGATCTGATAAGATGGACTCTCGGGATGAACATTTTGGCAGATTTTCTGCCCCTACAGGATGTCCATATGAGAAAGCTTTCGGTTAGGAACGCTTTGATACCACCAAAAGCACACATTGACCACACCAGGAAGTGGTGCCGAACAGCTCATGATCTGACAGAAAGGCTAAATGGGCAGATTGATCGCCTTACGATGCCCAAAAGCCCAACAGACGTATCTCGTAGCGAGAGCTTCTCCTGCTGACGCGGAAGTTTCACCTGCGCAGAGTTTCGTTTCCGGCGGTTTTCATGTCACCACGCCGACACGCCGAGGTGCCAGTAGCTAAGAGATAACTCATGATGTGATTTGAGGTTGCTTTGGGTTGAGTCTCAACACGCGTCGCAGGCGGGACAACCGGAGTGGTTGGAGGTTGTTGATACAGCGTATTTCCCAGCTATCATCGGCTTACGATACAAAGTTTTCTGATACGAAATTATGACGAGACGCTGATTTGGTTTCCAATGAGCGTTCCCAAATAGCTCCAAGTGAGGCGAGATAGAGGGGGCGAGAGGGGTTTCATGGTTTGAGAACATGAAATGTGGGAGTGCTGCATCGTTGCTTAATCTATTTGTGCAACTATCTAAATCATCCACCAGTTCCTAAGTGGTCGACAGAAAGAGCATCATGTATACAAACCAATTCGACTTCATCGTTGTTGGCGGCGGCACGGCAGGAAACGTCGTAGCTGGTCGTCTCGCGGAAAATCACAATGTCCGCATCCTCGTGATCGAAGCCGGCCCCGGCAATCCCCAGGAAGTCCAAGAGATCACCACCCCAGCCATGGCAATGAACCTTCGATCCAGCAAATATGACTGGGCCTACAAGACCACTCTCGTCAAGCGTAATGACTACGAGCGTATTGAGAAGCCCAACACCCGCGGCAAAGCTCTTGGAGGAAGCTCCTCCCTTAACTACTTCACCTGGGTCCCCGGATGTAAGCCCACTTTCGATCGCTGGGCTGAGTTCGGCGGCAGCCAATGGAAATGGGAGCCTCTTGTCCCGTACCTGAGGAAGAGCGCAACGTACCATGACGACGTCAACCGCTACCCTCCCGAGATGAAGAAGCTGGGCAGAGGTGGCCCGCTACCCATCTCTCATGCCGAACTACTCCCCGAGATGGAGCCTTTTCGGAAGATGCTGACCAGAGCCTGGACCTCCATGGGCGAGAAGGTATCTGAAAACATCTACGACGGAGAGATGAACGGCCTCACGCACTGCGACAATCTATCGCGGTCAGCGGTCTGGAAGCTACCTGTTCCTTAAGAACAAACCCAACGTCACAGTCCTCGCAGGGGCGCATTCCAAACGTCTCATTATCGACCGCGCCAACCGCACCTGCAAAGGAGTTGTCGTTATTGACAGCTTCGGCAACGAGATGAGCTTCTTCACCCGACGGGAAGTCATCGTGTCACAGGGCGTGTTCGAGACACCCAAGCTTCTCATGCTCAGCGGCATCGGCCCGACGTACCACCTAGCCAAATACGGCATCGACACCATCGTCGACTCGCCCCATGTTGGCCAGAATCTCCTCGATCACCCCGGCGTACCCTTTGTCCTGCGCGTCAAGGATGGGTATGGCATGGACGACCACCTCCTCCGCAAAGGTCCAAAGCATGATGCGACCGTGTCTGCATTCAACAGAAACCATTCTGGCCCCATGGGATCCGGTCTACTGGAGATGGTCGGGTTCCCTCGTATCGAAAAGTACCTAGAGCGAGATCCGATATACCGCCAGGCGAAAGCGGCAAACGGTGGCGTAGACCTCTTCTGCTCCGAAGGCCAGCCTCACTTCGAGCTCGACTTCGTGTGCATGTTCGGCACAGCGTTCCAGTGGCATTACCCCATCCCCAAGAACGGACAACACATGAGCGTTGTGGTCGATCTCGTCCGCCCCGTATCTGACCCAGGCGAGGTAACCCTGAACAGCGCGGATCCCTTGGAGCGGCCGAACATTAACCTGAACTTCTTCGCCAATGACCTCGACATCATCGCCATGCGCGAGGGCATCCGTTTCTCGTACGACCTCCTCAAGAAAGGCGATGGATTCAAGGACGTTGTCTTAGATGAGTATCCGTGGGAGATGCCGCTCGAGTCCGACGAGGAGATGAAGAGAGCCGTCCTTGACCGCTGCCAGACTGCCTTCCACCCGTGTGGCACCGCGAGGTTGTCCGGAAGTATCCAGCAGGGCGCGGTGGATCCGCGGCTGAGGGTCCATGGGATCAAGAACCTGCGGGTTGTGGATGCGTCCGTGATTCCTGTGATCCCGGATTGTCGTATCCAGAACTCTGTATATATGGTTGCGGAGAAGGGCGCTGACCTGATCAAGGAGGACCACAACGATATCTACCAGGTGAAGTCTGGATTTCAGGGGTCCCGTCTTTAGTATGGTTGCGGACCGAGTCAGTACAGAATGATCATTGCGCAATACGTCGTATAGCCCACCATCAATGACATGGTTCGTCAAAAGGCCAAGGGGGCCCTACTATGACAGAGAAAAATAAATTATATTATCACTAAAAGGGTTCGTGAATTAGACTCAAGCATGCTGGTAAAGCGCAATGCCCGCCGTGAATCCCGCAATGTTGTCCTTGTACAGCGCGACGTCCTTGCCGTGCCGCGTGACCATCGCCTTCGTCCCGACAATGTTGAGGTTGTACGTCTCCAGGTGCTCCGTCTTGGTGCAGTTGTTCGGCGAGTCGCGGATATCGTAGATGCGCTGCTGGCACCGCGCGCCGGCGCCGACCTGGCAGCACGCCGTGCTGTAGTTGTTGAAGAAGGAGTATAGCCCCGCGCCGAAGATGGCGATGTTGCGGCTGCCGATAACGCGCAGACCCCAGGCCATCTCGCAGGGGGCCTCGCTGGTGTTCTTGCCCTTGCAGTCGGCCACGAAGTCCGGGTCGTGGTAGCCCTTGACGCGGGGGAAGGGGATGGAGGCGACCGGGTTGGGTTGGTAGTATCTGGTCATCGTTAGCTTACTTGTTCTCTCTGAGATGTTGAAAATACTCACGGCGTCTCGGTCTGGATCATGCCCATGTAGATATCCCTCGTCTGGTACAGCTGGTACTGGTACAGCGTGTGATGCTCGACGCCAGAAGCAGAGAGCCAGATTTTGCCCGCGGTCGCCTCAATCAGCAAACCTCTGCCCGCGTAAATCGTCACCTGAGTGTACGTCGGGTCCTCCAGATCGTGGTCCGCGACCCACAGCCAGCAGTTCTCCATGAAGAGGTTCGACGCCGGCTTGGTGATGTGCATGCTCATCCACGCCGCGATGCAGTTCTTGTCGAGCGTGTCCGCCGTCACAGTCGCGTTCGGCGTGGTCGGGCACTCCTTCAGCTGCTGCTGCGTACCAGCGTACCCGCCCACGCGGATGTGCACATCCCACATGCCCGCCGGCTCGCCGAGCGTGTTGAGGTTGTACTCGACGACCTTGGCGCCAGGCGCGGCCCCGCGCGTGGACACGATCATATCGGACCACTCGATCGTCCCGCAGTCGCCCGGCAGCGCGACCTTGACGACGGGGTGCGGGCTCGAGATGTCCTGGAACTTGGGCCCGCCGCCCATGATGATGGACGCGAGCGCCTCGCCGACGATGCGCGCGCCGGCGGGGATGAAGACGGTGTCGGAGACGTAGTAGGTTCCCGCGTCGACGAAGGCGACGAGCGAGCTCTTGGAGGCGACGTAGTTGAAGAGGTTGTTCAGCGCGACGGTGTCGTCGGTGACGCCGTCGCCCTTGGCGCCGAAGGTGCGCGCGGAGACGAAGCAGTCCGCGGAGAGGGTCTCGTAGTGCGGCTTGGAGCGCTCGTAGTACTTTGTGCCGTTGGCGGTGGTGGCGACGAGGGCGTTGTAGACGGGGAAGTAGCCCGAGTCGCTGCCGGTGTAGTCCGTGGGCCCGGAGGGCGTGTAGATATGGCCCATGGCGAAGCCCTGGCTGACGACGGAGCCCTTGGTGCCGGAGATGATGGTGTTGTTCTGGGGTCCTTGGAGGATGGTGCCGACGTTGGAGAAGGCGACGTTCTCCATCATCAGGGTGCCGGCGGCGATGGGGACGATGGAGGCGGAGCGCGGGGTGCGGATGGCGGTTTGGACGTTGACGAACTCGGAGTCGATGAGGGTCACGGAGGAGGTGCTGTTGTCCTGGATGCGGATTCCGGTGCCGCAGTTCTCGACGTAGATGCTCTTGTACGTCCAGCCCCAGTCCCAGAGCTGGTTGATGGCGATCTGGGAGTTCCAGAAGCGACCGGGGGATTGTAAGTACATGATGTTAGGTGAGGGTGAGGATGGGTTGCTTACAGGTTGCGGGCGGTGTACTGCTGGTTGCCAAAGTTGGCGCCATACTGTCCACCGTAGAAGTCCAAGTCATTGAGGAGACCACCGGATCCTTCCTCAATGAAGATACCGGTGTGCTTGCTGTCAGCGCCGGCGGCAAGGCGGAAGACGCAGTTGGTGATGGCGGTGGCCTGGGATGAGGGCCAGTGGATTCCGAGGGCGGCAGAAGAGGCGGGGATGGCGGTGGTATCAAAGATCAAGTTGCGGACCTATTTCATGTAAGTGTCAAGCTTGTCTCCGGTGAATTGGATCCCGTAGCTTACCTGGCGGAAGAAGACATTGGTGGCACCCCAGCTCAACCCGTTGGCACCGTACTTGTTGCCGTCAATGAGACCAAAGTTGTTAGTGACGTCGAAGTTGGCAGCAGCCTTGATCACGGGTCGGTCTGTCGGGTCGCCGATGATTTGGGTGTAGAAGTAATCGACGATTGAACCAGAGATGAGATATGTGCTGTCGTATGTTAGGAATGAATCCCTTCATTGTTACTCATAGCACTCACCCGGAAGGGAAGTAGACCGTCGCAGGTGACGTCGTCTCACCCTTGCATGTTCCCGGTGCACATCGGTTTCCGGATGAGATGGCGAGGTTGATCGCCGCCGTGTCGTCAGTAACACCGTCACCCTTGGCCCCGAAGTCCTTGACGTTACGGAAGACCTGGTACTTTGGATCGGCGTTGTAAGCCGAGATACCCTGGTGCTTGATGTCCTCCATCCAATATGTCGCCTTGGCGACGGCCGCGGCGGCGAGCCAGAGCCCTGTGGTGAAGCGCATCCTGACGAGTATACAATAAACAATTATACAGAGTTGATATCGAAACTATTAGAAAGAATGACGATGAGTAAAAGAAAGACTGTGGTGTGATGGTTAGGTGAGTGATCGATGCCACGAAAAGAGTGTGTATTCCCCTTTCTACCCAAGAGGCGGGGGTTGACAAAAAGTCAAAAAGTGAATGAACGATCCCGATGAGGAATCAATGAATGGCAACGTTAACAAAAGAATGGACGACGATGATCCTAGCAAATTATACACATTTGATCTCCCGTCAGTACGGATGAACCCAAAGTTGACGTGGTATCAACCCGATGGTCCCGAGGTGAGCAGAACTCAAGAACAGCAAGCGAGCGTGGCCAGGGGGAAGGAAAACCCTTGATCCTTTATTAGACTTAAGTTGATGTGGAGGGGTTCGGGCTGAGCACGCATGTCAGCGATGACCAGCCCTGCGTGTTAGTCCCGTTGGTTCCTGCGTCCGCGCCATTCAGGAACCACGCCAGCGGGATAAACGGCCCTGCTGCTGCTGTTCTCCCATTGCCCAGTGAGGGAAGGGATAGGGCGGGGGGGGCAGGATACGGCAGAAAGGGCTGTCTCATTTGTTTTAGTCTGACTCTGTTCGCGAGCGTGCGGGACGGACGGTCTTCTCCTCCCTGCTCCATTCCGAGATGACACCACTTTGATGCCCGCTGTAGAGAGCATCCGGGCAGCGCGCGGTGACGATGTCAGACGTGCAGACGTCGGGAATTGGGCAGGGCCAGAGCAGACACCTTGATGACAAGTCCTCGTTACCCGACTCGGCCTAAGACGGGCCAACCTGAATCAACGGGGCGCGAAGCTCGTCAGCCAGCGAGGACGCCATTTTCCAACAATTTCCTGCCGAAAGGGGAGCTCGTCGTCTGTGGCTGGCTGTCTAATCCACGCCAAAAGGTTCAAAAAAAGAAGCTGGCTGCCTTTTTGGCTATTCACCCACGCGACGACGCGAAAAGGTTGGAGGTGTGCTAGACTGGACTAAGATTGGAGCCGGGCCTTGGTCGCCCTGGGAAATGATGAATGAGGGGGAAATGAGGAGACGCCTCCCCGGACGCGCATCACTTCTGGGTATGGACGAGCTAGGCAATTGAGGCTGCAGCTTGTCGTTTATGCCCCCGGCCTACCTTTGGATGTCGAGAAGGTTTTTCACTCGTGTTCGCTGTGGGAGGATTGCATACGGCTTTGGTCATGGAAGGGAGTGGTTGACATCCGGTTATACGGGCGAGGAATTCCGCCTGTCCCATGTTCATGCAGAGAGACTCTGTCAAGCAATGAGGCGTCTAATCCCCCTGACTCAGCATGGCTTGGAGTGAGTCCAATGTTTCGCCAGTCAGAAGTCTATCGAAACTTACCGGCAAAAAGAAAAGAATGGCGACAATAGAACGGCTTTTTGTCCTGTGAGTTTGCCAGAAACAAGCAGGCTTCGAGGGTAAAAGGTGAAGACGTCGGGCTGCCACTCGCAAGCAATTGACTTTCCCACCAACGGAGCGAACCCCTGACATGATGGTGCATGGAGGGGTAACATCGCCAACCCTGGCTTGCAGCTCCAAATATCAGCTGAAAAAGCCAAGATCGGGAGACATTTGGCGGCCTGTCAGGTCCTTCGTTTTCAACGCAAAAACGACTGTTGCCAAATTCCCCAGACTGTCGAACACACATGGAAAGGGAGAAGGAGGGTAGGTTTCACGGCTTTTCCAACGTACGCTAGACCCCGTCCGGGAAATGTAACGTCCGCTGATCTGCTCCGTTCATCAGTCTCGGCCGACGCGTGGCTGGCACGCGGGGAAATGGGCGCCGAGACGGACGAAGCCGATGTCACCAGCCTAAGTATACAGCAACGGATACCCCCTCCTGAGATTGTTAAGTGCAAAATGAAAATGAAGCGTTATTATTTCGTCTCTGTATCGGTGGCCGTTGTTGAACGCCGCCTCACGTTATGTATTTCCGGTCGTGACACCTGGATAGATAGATAGTTGCCGGGAAGATGGCGATGCCCATGATGAATGTATCCCGTCCCCCGTCCCAAAACGCCCAACCATGCCGCCCGTCTAACCCCCCACTCTTTGCCTTTATATTCCCCCCTTCTTCAGATCGTACACGCATTGAGGAACGAATCGACCTCAGAGAGAAGAAGAGGCCTTCAAGCCCTCCTCCAGCGCGACCGTCTGCCCGAGCTGCTTGGCACCGAGGGGCGCCTTCTCGCCCGCCCTCTTGCGGAGGACGTTCTCGATGAACGCCTCGCCGGCCTTGTAACTGCTGCGCACCAACGGACCGCTGGCGCAGTACAGGAATCCCATGTCCAGCGCCCGCTGCTTCCACATGTCGAACTCGTCCGGCGTCACGTACCTCTCGACCTTGAGGTGGCGCTTCGTGGGACGCATGTACTGCCCGAAAGTGACGACGTCGACGTTGGCCTTGCGCAGCTCTGTATGAATCCTCCCGTCAGCAAATCTCGAACCCTTCAGAAACATGGGCCTGGGAAGAGCCAAAACTTACCCCTCAACGCGTCCATGACCTCGTGCTCCTGCTCGCCCAACCCCATCATCATACTCGTCTTCGTGATCAGCTCCGGCTTGACCTTCTTCGCCTGCTCCAGCACGCTGAGACTCTGCCTGAACGTCGCCCTCCTATCCCTCACATACGGCGTCAGCGCCTCCACCGTCTCGACGTTGTGCGCAAACACGTCCAGCCCGCTCTCCGCCACGATCTTCACCATGTCCAAGTTCCCCATGAAGTCGCCCGTCAGCGCCTCCACCAACAAACTCGCCTTCTTGCTCTTGATCCGGCTGATCGTCTCCGCGAGGTGGTGCGCACCACTATCCGGCAAGTCGTCGCGGTCCACCGTCGTCAGCACCACGTACCCCAGCCCCCACCGCGCCAGCGCCTCCGCCGTGTTCTCGGGCTCGTGCGGGTCCAGCGGCGCCGGCGCGCGGTTCGTCTTGACGCTGCAGAACCGGCACCCGCGCGTGCACGTGTCGCCCATGAGCATGATCGTCGCCGTCGCCGCGCTCTTGCTGCTGCCGCCCCAGCACTCGCCAATGTTCGGGCACTTGGCCTCCTCGCACACCGTGTGCAGCCCCAGCCCGCGCAGGTCCTTCTTGATCGCCTTGAAGTTCTCGTTGCCCGCCGGGATCGGCGTCTTGAGCCACTCGGGCAGCCGCGTGATGGTGCGCTTCTTGCCCGTCGGGCCCGTCACCTCCACCGTGCGGATCTCGTACGCCTCCGCGGCCGAGAGCGCCGCCGCGTCGCCCTTCTGCTTGCCGGCGATGAAGTCCTCGAGCGAGGCCACGGTGCGGTCTTTGAAGTACGTCGGGCGGCGGGCGACCGACTTCGGCTGCGGAGCCGAGGGGGGTTCGGGGACGGTGGCGAAGGCTCGGTAGCCGCCGCCGAGGGCTTTGCGGAGGGGCGCCTGGATGCGCTTCAGCGGCGCTGCGACGGGTGAGGCCATCTTGTGTTTGATTTGTTGTGCGAGCTTCCTCCGCCAAGGCAGGTTGGTGGTGGTGGTGGTGGATGGCGGGTTGAAGTATGGGAAAGCTACCAAGCAGCTGCGATGGGGCAAAAATTGAGTGACGATTAGAGCTGAGATAAGGAAAAAGGCCCTGCAGCTCGGATTGGGACCCGACGGCCCGGATTGAATCGGCATAAGGACTGTGCCGACCAATCACAGGCGGCAGCGCGCCTGACAGCGGCAATTGCTGATTAAGGCGGGGGGCCACTGGAACCGCGCTCAACGGCGTCCCGGGGCTTTCCGCCCCAACGGATTCAGAGTCACCAAGCCTTTCCAATCAAGACGTTCGGATTGACAACCGAAAGACCAAGTTAGTCTTGTCTCGGGCATTTACAAGCGACTGGGATCTGAGTAAGGCGATGCAGGTGTGTGTGAGTGTCAATTGACAGTCCATTCAGCTATGCTATGCTGGTAAACTCCCCTCTCATGTCCTTGGTAACTCCTCCAATGTCCTCCAAACCCTCCTCTCCAGGCAAGATCATGCAACCAAGCCGTCAGTCAAGTCAAAATCGTCCGCCCGTCCGAATATCAAAGCAAATCCATCGTTTCCGCCCTCGCGACAGCACGTCTGGTCGCATCAAAGTTAAGGCCGGTGCTCGAGAGCAGCGGCCATGACCATGAATTCCCCAGCCATGTCTACGCGAGCATACAACAATAGGGGTATCAACAACTCGAAGAGAAATGTGAAACTTTTGTGTTCCAACACGAAAACTCCGTAAAATCCCTAATCATCCATCCTGATCAGTCCGACTCAAGGCCCTCCGAGGGGTGGCGATGAGACAACGTGATCTCGTAAATTGATTTCCAGCCAGCAAGCACGCTTGCATGCGCCGTGCGGTCCCGAGTGGGTGAAGCTGCCAGAACGGGTGATCCGCGCTCTGAAACAGCATCGTCTCATCTCCCCTGCTCGTACACAGACATGAGATGAACGGATCGATGAGATCGAGACTTGCGGCAAGCGCAAAACGCAGCCAACGGCGCATGAAGGGTAGAGATCGACTTCGCATTCCATGCGACCCTTGTGCTGCTGGGGAAGAATCGAAACATTAATAATTGTAGTCGGCATGGCCGAGTGCGCCTCCCAGCTGAAGGGCATACGGCGCGCCGTTGAAGTAAAGAGTGAAAAAAGGTTTGTCGTGGCAAGTGTCCCTAATGACAAGTTTTTGCGTCCTTTCCTGCAGGTTGGCGATGCAAGCATCGCACATGTTGGTCGAAGAGGAGTAGGGTATTGGTCGTTGATGCCGTCAACAAGTGGTATCCGATCTTTACAATCGTTCAGGTCGTAGAAATGTGGTGGCGTCGGAGCGATGTCCGGCGCGCGAGACAAAAGAAATGTTTGAAAAGATGTCGCATCGAAGAAATCGGTGTGGCAGTAAGGCGTGGTTGCTCATCCCCCAAAACCACATCGCAATCCGTCGACGACCTCGTCCGTCCTCTTCTCGTCCATCTCTCTCCTCCTCCG